TAAAATCGATTTATCCGTAGTTTCAAGTTGACTTCTAACAGCGTGATCCTTATCTAATTTTATCGATAACCGTTTGTTCTACCCTCAACTTAGGTGACAAGTAAATTCATAGCTTGCTAACAGAATTACATGGATATTCGTGTCAAACATAGTCAGTAGTAATCACAGGATTATTATTAGATTCGGCGTTTTATGGAGCTTTCTCAGTTTGAGAACAAAGTTATCCTGAAACTATACAAAATCGCCAAGACTGTTTCACCAAGAAGACGAATATATACAAATTCAGTAGAATCAATGAATTCGTCTTGTTCTGATTTTGTATATACTCATTTTTTCTGAGATATTCGTTTATTTATATTGAAAAATATGAAATTCGAAGCTTGTCTCAATTAATCGGTAAATGGAATTACTGGTTAAGAAAAAACAACCACTTTGGATGTATGAATATCAACCATTAATAGCCGAGCTTTATTGTGATTTTGTAATAGATGCGTTTGAATTATGCGTATAAACTATTTATTCGAATTAGCCATTAAAATATTGACAACTTCATACCATCAGGATGCATATGACATTAATATAATGAGAATTACAATCAGGATGTGGCAATATATTTCTTTTCAAGTGATTCAACATGTAATACTATGGCACATGTATAAGAATGCCCCACGTATTTGAAATAAATATGATATCAAGCAAATGTTAAGCTTAAAATAAGATATACATAAAATTACAGACCACATGTTAAACAAATTTCCACCATCAGTCAGCTAACTTGTCTTCAATAGTGATAGGTAACTATATTTGTGAGCAACTCAACCTTTCATTAGTTAATCAAGTGTTTTCTTCTACAAAAAATCAATATTCTGTATACTATATAAGGCAAGGTATCCGCCTGTAGTTCCCAATTTTAAGAGGCATATATTTCATGTCAACTAAATATTCCCTATTGGTCAGCTATTCTTGACTTGTTTACTTTCAGATGTGTGTTTAGATAAATTTAAAAATACTTATCGATAAATAACACAATATGTATATCTATAATGTTTAAATTCACATTTACCACCGATTGTATCTATAATTCTTTCAGTATATAACGAACCAATTGAAGGTGGAAATTTGAATAATCTGATTTAAATCAAGTGGTTTAAAGAACGCTATCTCATCATGATATCTAGAGATCGTCTAGAGATCTCTTGACGAGTTCCAAACGAGGCAAAAAATAGATATCCATTAGTCTTCTAGTTAATACTTATTCGTGAAAAAAACGATCTTATGTTGTAAACTTATCATGTCATAGTTGGTTAAACCTGAATATGAAAAAAACTCCAACAGTACAATATATCAGTATAGGAGTTGTGTAGATTATTAAGCTTTTGATTGAGATCATGAAATGATTGATGTTAGACCACTGTTGGAAACCTGGAACCACTGGACGACCGTTTCGTCCTATTGTGGGACTCCTCAGCAATGTGCACCCGCTCGCGGGATTCGGACTCGGGGTCTTCAGGCTCGCGCGCGAACGCTTAACCTACTGGACCACTGAGCTATCATCCCATGGTGTTGGTGTCTATACATATATACATATAACATTTTCTTGTTTGAAAGCATTCAGAAAATTTTCTATTTAACTAATTTTAAAATTTATTAAAATTATATTACTATAAAGCATAATCATAATAAACTTCAATGGTTAAATACAATAAATAACTGATAAGTTATTATTAACTATTAAATTCAACATTATCAGTCTAATTAAGGTCATTTTTCAATAAATCACCAATAGATAATTCAAATAAATGTTTTCAGGTCTTCCAACTATTCTAGAAATATTAATTGTCAATTTATTCATATCAATTAAAGTATATATCTATATCTATCTGTAAATTGAATTACATTTCTTACTAAAATAGTAATTTTATTAACAATTACATAAATTCATATTCATTGAATCTTAACAAAATATAAATTATATTGAATGAATTAATTTAATTCATAAGAAATATGAATAATAAAAGTTATATTCATAATAGTTGATAAATAAAAATCTTAATTTTAATAATTTAGATCATGAATCAATTGAAGTAGATCACCATGAAAAAAACATGGAAACACTAGATGGTCATTTCATTCTATTATGGGATTCCTCAACAGTAAAGTGTCGACATCCAGTGATTCCAGGTTTTTCATGGTGGTGGCTGAACTTCAATTGATTCATGATCTCAAACATTAAAAATTTTAATGTTTATTTATCATTAAATATATTTAATAGATTTTTTTAAAAGATTAAATTACCAATAGTATTATTTAATTTTTGTATTTAAAAATTATTGATTATTATTAGTTTGAATGTGAAAATATTGATTGATTGATTAATCGTTGAAACTCTACAAACTTACTTTATTATTCTATGATATAAAAGTTAATAAATAAGTAGTGTAATGAAATTTGTTTTTAGTTCAGATTTTAATTTATTCACATATACTTCAAAATCGTTTATTTCCAGAGTATAATTATTTTTCTTAATAATGACTAATAATGAAATCAAAGAGGCATCCTAGTTTTAAATCATTAACTAAATGTATCATTTGATAGTTACTGAGGTTCAGTAGCCTAGTGGATAACTTAATGGTATCTAAATTAATAGGTACTGAGTTCAAATCTCGACAGAAAAATCAACATTGATATGTAAACACATTCAGATGTCAAAATATGCGTCTTGGATTCTATTACTAGCTACTATCCAAACTAACATATTACTTTGATTGAGAAAACGCATGTAAAGAATTGTATTTTGCAACATTTCAGTTGTCTTCTGATGATTTTCCAGTTTACTGAACAACAATGAAGTAATAGTTATTGTTTGGCATTCGTTCCTTCCATCAATGGATTAATTCGCTCAGCAACTTCAGATGATATAATTTGTTGTAAACCCTGTTCTGATAATATGTTAACAATCATTTCCAAAGAAATCATGTTCATTTGCCAAGTTGAGTTGTTTCAAACATTTTGAAAAACAAAACACTAATTCTACTAGTAAGCAAGTACAAAAAATGTTTATTGCTAGCTGTATAGAATCCTAATGATTTTCTGTTCGGTGTTAGGTCATATGTGAATACACTGATTCATACTTAAACAAACAGGGCCAGTGGACGAACAAAGAAGAAGTTTATCATGTAAACTCCATAAAATCCATTATATTTTTATCAATGAAAATTATTATTCCATTCCTTATATCACATCTTGTTCTCAGTTTATAGGTGTATATTTCACTAATAACAAAATATGAAACTTATTTTCTCTATTAAAAAACACTGTCAACCAATATCAAAGTGGAAATCATCAATAAAACGTCAAGACAGTTCTGTTGTACGGAGCTGAAACTTAGAGAACTACCAAAGCTATCATCAAACATTTACAAGTAATTATATACAATTGTCTACTCAAGATATTCAATGTTCTTTGACTGTATACCATCAGCAACAGTCTACTGTGGTAGTGAACATATCAGCTTCCAGCTGAAGAGGAAATTAGGAAAGAAGTTGAAAGTGGATAGGACATACATTTTGGAAATCCTCAAACTGTATCACGAGGCAAGCTCCAACTTGAAATCCTAAGGGGAAACGGAAAAGAGGAACGCTGTAGAACATACTGCGTTAAGAATTGAAAGCAGACATTGAAAGGATAAATAGCAACTAGAGCGAACTGGAAAAGGACTGTTCAAAACAGAGTTGAATGAACAATGATGGTGGGAAGCCTATGCTCCTCCATGTAGGGTAACAAGCGTAATTAAGTAAGTAACTATTTCCTCTATTCATAAAGTAGAATCTGTAACAGATAAGAACTTTAAAAACAAATATATAGTTAAATCTTTTAGGTTTTATGAAATCTACCATCTATACCATGATTAATGGTTAAATGTAACCTTACAAATAGCTCCCTATTCTATCCAGATATCTAAAGTTCTGATGATGATGATATCTAAAGTGAAAAATTTATAAATAAATCTTCATACTACACTTCATCTAGCAGTCACACTAATGAAAGTCTTTATCAACTATTAGCGTATTCAGAGACAATATGATTTGAACAAATATACATTAAAACAGTGTTCAAAGGACTCTATTTGTCGACTACCAATAAATAATCCATAATATCATTATTGAATGCTTAGTTTATTCTGCCTATACCTTCGGTTAAAATAATAGAAATAAATTGAATTAAGTAACAAATTTATTTTTGAGGTTTCTATGCAAAATGTATGTTAAATTAAAAAGAAAGCAAACTCTGCATTAGAAAATAAGATTTAAAAGAGGATAAATAAACATTTGCATTTATACATAATAATATTTCACAAAATAAGTCACGTTTTGCCATGTAGTTAGTAATGGTAGGTAGTATATCCTGAATTTAGTTCGGAGCTATTCACCACTCATTCATACACAATATTTACCGATTGTTCGGTATAAATCGATACAAAATATGAGATTGGTTACTAATAATTTGTCGATTAACATAAATATCTTAGTCATGTAGTATGTAAGTCGAGAGAATAATTTCTTAGTAGTAACATGTTTGGTTTTGAGAACGGTTGGAGTCCCAAGCAGATAATTGATTCCTTCAAGATTAAAGATAAATCTCGATGATGAACACTAAGCAGAACAAAATCTAGACCAACGGATTGGATTTAATCACCAGTATCTACAGTGAAATGTGACTTGCCAAATTCAGTCGTTACCAACATCTACACAAACGTGACAGTGGTCATTTAATATTTTATTTAAGGGATTATGGATTCCCCATATAAGTAGTTTGTTCTGTAAAGATTCTGTGGACGTAAGATACACTCTAAACTTCTGAATTTAATTTTTATAAAAAAGTACTTTTTTAAACTAATGAACCATGAATTACGTAGGGTAGATGGAATGTGGCTAGTAGCGAAATTCAGGATATGCAAATAAATAACTGGATTTACCGACATCTTAGAGTTAAAGTTCACTCCGGGACTCGAAGCCACATTTTCTATACTGTAAATAAGTTTATATCATAATGGCTATATCAAGGCGATCTACATGTCAACCAAGACTGATCAATTCCAGTCAAAATGTCAACAACGGAATAATCCAAATCATTACAAATTACAATTGGTGAGTTCTAAATTTAAAAAAAAAACAATTTACAAAAATTCAAACACTGATTTTTCATTCCCTTCAGAAAGTCTCAAGTTAAACGGATATGAACAATTGGGAGAAAAATTAGTATAACCACAGGAGTTCAAGTGTAAAAAAACATTATGGATATAAAGAATTATCAATCCATTAACAATCACATGTGCATTATGAACAAGGGCGTTTTTTACAACGAACTAAAGGGTTTAACATGAGTACTCTTTGTAAATACGAACATAAAGATATTTATAAATTATTAAGTCCTAAATGAATCAAAATATCTTTTCAGAAATTGGTTACTTCAAGCAAATAATTCGTCATCTCTTGAAAAAGGGTTATGATTGAATTTATATTACAGATTTATATGAACATGCAAATATAACCCATGTAATCATTGCATTTTCAGCATATGTAATAATGCGTAAACCTAAGGCAAGTTGAACATGATCACCACGACAGCTTAGTATATCCCGACATAATTGGGAACGTAAACAACTTCGTAATATTCTTTGAGGATTACAATGGGATAGCTGAGAAACAAATGTAGGAGAAGGAAAATAAAAATAAGTATATTGACAACAAATAAAATGCGATATTGCAAAATATAATCAAATCGGATAAACGAGAAACCAAATTAACTATCCAAAGATTGTATCTGTTTCACTGTTGTGATAACGCTTCATTTTTATCTTCTGGACGATAGCATTCGATCTGCACTAGGAATGACTTGACACACATGACATTGACCACCACCCAGTGATCAATCAATTGTGATTACATGTCAGTCCTACAGGAGGTTGGTCGCGGCCCGGATAGCTTAGTGGTAACGTCTTTGACTGTGAAACTGGGTGACACGGGATCGAATCCATCAGGGAGCACCAGTTCCCTAAAGATTACGGGTACACCTTGCTGACAAGTGCCAAGTAGCACAAAACCCGGGTCCAGGGCTTCCTGTTGACTACTTCCAACTACTATCTTATCTTCTGGGTTGTACCGTGAAAATTATTTGATCCAAATAATGAAAAGCCGTTCTAGATATTCTCAGAATTATTTTAGTCAATAAATTACCAAGAAAAGCAGTCTATATCGATTTAGTAATATTGCAACACTTCATAGTGTATTGTGACCAGATTTACATAGTGATGTTTCCCAATGTAAAAATTATTTTTAACAGAAATCGCGTCATCATACCCAAGGTATTAATCAACGCTGATTAAAAGATGAAATTTACAGTTTACGAGTATAAATTAATTTTATAATTCCCTGGCTTATAAATAGCTCGACTGTTCTGCGTTCCAGAACTGATGTTCACTTTGGGACTTAAACCCAGTATCATTCATAAACAAACTCCCTTATTTTCAAGTTTAGAATAATTTATTTACATTGAGGCCATTTCATGTCTAAAGTTATGCAACTCTTCTCACAGATACTTTTAACTGAAAACAACATCTAATTGTTGTATGGACTAGTGAGAATTATTTTGGTATCCTTTTAAACTGGATTATTTATAAGTATATTGGCGGCTCTTCACTTCAATCATATAAATCACTCATTTCTAATTTCATGTTATTTTGCTAAGACAACTTCGATATAATTCATTTAAAAAATCGCTAAAGAATTTGTCTGACATGACTGAAAGATTAGACATTAGTTAATCTTCACTTTAATTAAAAAATTCTTTAATCAACATGCTTACCTAACTAACCATCTACACTAAAGCCACAAATAGGTTAACTAATTTTAATTATATTAATTTTTATGTACTACTATGAAGATTTTAAGTTACCTATATTCAATTAACACCATTCTTAATGAACAATGTTAGCTGAAATAGAATTAGTATGGAAAATTCAATTCTAAACAGTACTACTATATGAAGTAATAACATAGTGTTTTCATATCAATTGACAAGCATTATTATGATAAAGACAAATCATGATCTCAGAAAACAAAAAGTTTACATTAAAAGTGGATTAAGATTGAATACATCAACCTTCAGTAATTTATTTAGTAATTTAAAAGATTGACACATAGACAACAAAGCCCATATATTTATTCAGTAATCTTTAATCCTCAACTTTGTTTAAACTAACACTCAAGTATAATTAAAACAATTTTCAATTAATGAAAACCCTTAGGCTTAATAATTTTAAATACAATGCTAATTGATTTTTTTTCGATCCCTGTTCTTTAAATTCACTTAACAGTTCTGTCTAAATAATAAAATCAAAAAAGGGTTTTGTGGAGATTTTTAGAAATTTCACTAGTTGAAATCATGAGTCAGTTGAAGCTAGGCCACCATGGAAAACCTGGAATCACTAGACAGCCGTTTCGTCCTAGTATGGGGCTCTTCAGCAGTGCGTATCCACGATCCCGCCCTCCGCGAGATTCAAACCCAGGACCTATAAAAGGTTTAAGCAAGCATATAGTCCCACAGTTGAGAATAATTTAAACCTTAATTTGTTACACATGTTCTAGGTTTTTCAAATAAATTGAACAAACTGATCAAAAAGACAAGTGTTTATGGAATATCCCGATGATGTCACAGCTTTTCAAATACAGATTCCAAGAAAGACTGTTTTAAATATAATGTAATGAATACTTTCCTAATAAATATTTAACCAGGAGAAATTTAAGTGACTAAACATTATTAGATAAAGTGTAAGAAACAGGATGGTCAACTGATTACTTTATCCATAATTAGTTCTTTAAATTTATTATATCCAGGATGATTTAGAATCTTCATACTTAGTCAAGATTAACTTAATCAAATTCATCTTCATATACGTTCAGAGAACGTTGACATCTAATATTTATGATAACTCGAAGTAGTAAGCACCAGTTGTTAGTTAATGAAATCATATAATAATGAACAGAGATGGATGGTGGCCATCAGTGGAATCTAAGACGTGCATTTCGTCTTATTTGAGACTCATCAGAGTTGATGTTCATTATGGGACTCGAGCTCAGTACCGTTCGCCTCAAACTCAGTCGCAATGTAATGATGACTCAAATAAGAACTTTTGATAATTAAAGAATAATTCAAATATCAATCTTTACAAATGTTCTGTTAGAGTTTACCTGGACTGGATAAGATTTGAATGTAAAATCTTTAGGTATATGACGATGAATTGGTGACATAATCAAATCATTCTCTAATACCTCATGTATTTGTACAACGTTATCATTATCATCATAATTTGATAAATTTTTTTGATCTGCTTCATATTTAGCAATCAAAGGTAATAATAATTGTTCTAGTTTATTATCCCATTTCCATGTAATATGATTATTACATCTTAATTTTTCCATACGCCAACTATCGGCTAAACGACGTAAGGATTCATGACATTGTACAGTAATCTCATCTATAGATTGAATGGCAGGATTCAATTTTCTAAGGTATAAACTTGAGTAATTATGTACTGTTTGAATGACTTCAAATGACATAGGACGCCATTGACATGAATTCTAGTTATGAAAAAAAATGAGAAAAAGATTAAGATTCAATTAAAGAAAGTACAAAATAAAGTGTCTTTTTGAGGCTAAAGTTAGAGAGGATATGAAATATTCACTGTTCAGTGACTGAATAGTTTATATTATGGAAGGGATGAAATAAAGGAAAATATAGAATCGATTTAAGTATATTCTATGAGTGCCTATCACACATCTTATTATTTTCTTATTGTTTTAATTGTAAGATCCTATTAATTTTTTAATGATTGGGGTCTCAATAACCAGTCAAAAATCACAATTAATCAGCCAGAAAAAAAACAATTATGGATTGTGTATTTATATGAGGTCTAGAAATTCCACTTCGCGCATATCCCGTATTAGAATTGTACAAGCAGAAGAGTTAAAAATCAGAATAATAAAAAGTGCTGGTGACTACTAGTCTGAATGTTGCTTCATTTTATTAAATTGGAAATTCCTGTGTTTAATCAGTCATGTAAAAAAACCAGAGAGGTAGTTGTTAACAGCATAAAATAGAAACACAGATCTTTTCGACATTTCTTGCCTTTTTTCTTCCGTTCAGGCTCAAGACTAAGGACAAGAAGGAGTTAACAATTCAATGTCAAACGTTCAAATGCCAGATGTGTTAGATTATTAATCGAAGCTTTCGAATTTCGATAGTTTTAGAATGTTCTTCTTCATATACTGATACATTTATCATTTTTAGTGTGTTCATTCATAATTTTAAATGATATCAATATATTGCTTTGCATCAGCTTGTAATGAATGTCTTTCGGCTTTACTTTAATATAACAACATGATCGATGCTATTACACTAAGAGCAAGGTGTTTTGTAAGAAAAAACTGCATAATTGTTATAACAAAAACAATGGACACTTTTATAATATTTTCCACCACCAGTTGTTATCATTTACAGCATATTTCTTGTTTGTTTTATTAATGCATTGATGGATACTACTCCTCTGAAAATGCATTGAATGTTCTAGCACCTGTAAGTGCATCTTATTCCACAGGTGATATTATAGAAACTTTAAATGTTTATTATTATTATTAGTGAAATCCCTAAGTAAAACCACCTGCCTGTTGTCACTTTACGTTAACATTGTCCCTAGCAACCTTAACTAATTTGAATAATATCTAACATTAACAGTATATCACTGTGTCACATGACACATGCATTTTGGCAGACCTGATTGACACATTTTGGTAATTATTAATTTGTTGTTCCGTGCTCTCTGTTTTTGTTTTACTCTCTCTAGTTGTAGATAATATCAACGTTCATAAATCAACAGGCTGTCCACTTAATAAAAATTAAAATTTCCCGGCTGATGCAGTGGGTCGCTGTAATACAGTGCTACCTAAACAATTACTGAAGTAGTGTACTTAAAACTATCTTATATCACATGTTTGTTCTCCACATCTAATGTTACTATTTATGTCAAAGTAATCATGCCTGTAAACTAGCATGAATTCTGAAATTATTATTTTCAAAATATACTATGTTCGATATTTCTTATTTATTTTATTAACACAAGATTATCTATCTCTGAGCTGACTGCTTTTCTGGCTTTTACCATGGTATTCTGTTGAGAGTTTAGTGATTTCTAAATCTAAAATATCACTGAATGATTATCTATCACTTTTAAGATAAGAAGCCTTTGAAGAACTAACTTCAAATAGATGTAAAGCTGATCATCTTTTTGTAATTGGTGTGATTATACGTTGAAAAGCCATCCATTTCAATGGGACTTTGTAATAAACATTAAGTTAGAGTCTCCAAGTAATTTAATAACTTCGTTAACATATGGAGCCATTTACAACTTAGAAGTGAGATGTTTTTATCAGACAACCTATCTCAAGTAACAACAAGTTAACTAATCATTCATCTAAGTTAGAAACTTCAAAAATGACAAAGGAAATTTTAAGAAATTTGGAAATGTTCAAGTTAACTGTTTCATAATTTAGCAAGTTGTAACGTGTTAAAAAAAATTGTTACTGGTACAAATATCATAGATATGTTTTCCAATACTTTTGAATTAAAATCAAAGTAAAATATTTAAATACCCACCTTTAAATTAAAAAGACAGTTTACTACTTTATCAGTTGGTTGAATATTGGCAAAAATGAACTGTTATTGTATAAACATCCAATGGTATAGAATGGAGAAGGATAGATTTTTTGTTCGCAACCACCAGTTGTATGAATATAACAACGACCAGTTATACTATCCCAAAATGTGATTCGTTGATAATCGTCCTAGAATTTAAAGTTGAAGTCATGAAGCGTCATCAAACAAACTGGAATGATGCCATGTTCTTAATTAGTTACAGTTAAATGTCATTTATCAGGTACTTTTTATGTATTGATAACTTAACAGATGCTCATAGAAGGTATTTTGCGAAATTTCACTGTTATTCATGACAATGTGAACCAGAGCGTCGAATAATCAAAAAATTTTCGAGCACCTTAATATGTTTTAATTATATTAACACTCATGACAACGATAAAATGGCAACAAATGGGTAAATTCAAGCAATAAACTGTGTTATAAATGACTATTCTAATCCTGAAACGAAAATTCATAATGAATTATCTAAATACTGTACTCAGGGACTTCATCGGATTATAGATGAATAAAATAATAAGACATGGAATACATAGCTTCTAAATTTACATTCTTTAACAAATAGTACGTAACAGAGGGGACGTAAGAAGGACTGAAAGAATGCCACACAAGTTTTTCTGTGTATATCCATCGACAGCTGTTTGAAAGTTGTTAAATAATTTAGAGGTATGACAAAATACTACTGAGCAGTAGTCAAATTAGAGACTATCATTTTTTTTCATTTACATTCATTTACATCTACGCCCTGGACTCTACTATTTGCCACTATCTGAATCTAAATATATTATTCCTCTGACATACGTCTGAATTTTTCAATTACTTGGTAAACACTTACAGAACAAACAACGACCCATGCATATAAATGTGAGGAAGTAGTCATTTGCTGCTTATTCATATTGAATTGACTTGTGCCTAAAGCAACGTATGCTTCAACTCCATAACCCAATAGTAGAGAACATAAAAGGTTTGCATGATCTGCTACATCTCCAGAGTTTGAAGAAACAAAAGCCAGTCCTAGAAAAATGGAATATATAATCACTAAAATAAGTTTTAAATAAACATGGATGTTTATATTGTAAATTCGAGTAAAACTGCAGGAATAAACGTCAAAAAGTTTAATCAGCGTAACAAAATATTAAAATGGTAGAGGCTGTCAAACTCCTAATTCACTGTTGGGAACGATCACTGAAACATGAATGAACAAGCATTAGAGAACATGACCACTACACAAGTGACTAAATCCACCAGGTCTTTCATGTTCTGTAATATGACTTACTTACTTACGCCTGTTACTCCTCGTGAAGGAGCATAGGCCACTCACCAGCATTCTCCATCCAACCCTGTCCTGGGCAATCCTTTCTAGCTCCGTCCAGTTGTAATTCATCCTTTTCATATCTGCTTCTATATCCGACGCAATGTGTTCTTTGGCCTTCCTCTTTTTCGCTTCCCTTCAGGGTTCCAAGTTAGGGCTTGCCTCGTGATGCAGTTTGACGATTTGCGTAATGTATGTCCTATCCATTTCCATCGTCTTTTCCTAATTTCTTCTTCAGCTGGAAGTTGGTTTGTTCTCTCCCACAGAAGGCTATTGCTGATGGTATCCGGCCAGTGGATGTTGAGTATCTTGCGTAGGCAGCTATTTATAAATACTTGTACTTTCTTGATTGTGGTTGTTGTAGTTCTCCAAGTTTCAGCTCCATACAGTAGAACTGCCTTGACGTTCGTATTGAAGATTCTCACTTTGATATTGGTTGAAAGTTGTTTTGAGTTCCATATGTTCTTCAATTGTAGGAATGCGACCCTTGCTTTGCCGATCCTCGCCTTTACGTCTGCATCTGAACCTCCTTGTTCATCGATGATGCTTCCTAGGTATGTGAAGGACTCTACATCTTCCAGAGTTTCGCCATCAAGAGTGATTGGATTGCTGTTCTCCGCTTTGAATTTGAGGACCTTGGTTTTCCCTTTGTGTATGCTGAGGCCTACTGATGCAGAGACTGCTGCTACACTGGCTGTCTTCATCTGCATCTGTTCGTGTGTACGTGATAGGAGGGCTAGGTCGTCTGCGAAGTCCAAATCGTCTAATTGATTCTGAGCTGTCCATTGTATTCCGTGTTTTCCTTCAGATGTCGAGGTCTTCATAATCCAGTCGACCACCAGAAGAAAGAGGAAGGGAGAGAGTAAACAGCCTTGTCTGACTCCAGTCCTTACTTGGAATGCATCTGTCAGCTGTCCTCCATGCACTACTTTGCACTGTAGTCCGTCGTATGAGTTCCGGATAATGTTGACAATCTTCTCAGGAACTCCGTAGTGTCGAAGAAGTTTCCATAATGTCCTCCTATCTACACTGTCGAATGCCTTTTCATAATCAATGAAGTTGATGTATAGTGATGAGTTCCACTCAACTGATTGTTCGACGATGATCCGTAGTGTTGCAATTTGGTCTGTGCACGACCGATCCTTACGGAATCCAGCTTGTTGATCTCGAAGTTGGGCGTCTACTGCATCCTTCATCCGGTTCAGCAACACTCTGTTGAAGACTTTCCCTGGTATTGACAGTAGTGTAATGCCTCTGTAGTTTTCACATTTGCTCAGATCTCCTTTCTTTGGAATCTTGACGAGGTGTCCTTCTTTCCAGTCCATCGGCACTTGTTCCTCCTCCCAAATCTTTTTGAATAGAAGGTAAGCATGCTTGTGGTTGCTTCGATGTCTGATTTCAGTGCTTCAGCTGGTATGTTGTCGGGTCCTGCTGCTTTCCCGTTCTTGATTTGTCTGACGGCCATTCTAATTTCTTCCGTCGTTGGTGGGTTGACATCTATAGGAAGATCTATGTGTGCTGCTTCGATGTCCGGTGGATTCATTGGAGCCGGCCTATTCAGGAGTTCCTCGAAGTATTCCACCCATCTGTTACGCTGTTGTTGAATTTCGGTGATTGGCTTGCCTTCTTTGTCTTTGACCGGCCTCTCTGGTTTACTGTATTTCCCTGCTAGTTTCTTCGTTGTATCGTGAAGCTGTTTCATATTTCCTTCTCTAGCAGCTTTTTCTGCCGTCGTTGCTAGTTCTTCCACGTATTTCTTCTTGTCGGCTCTAATGCTCCTCTTCACTTGTTTGTTTGCTTCTATGTATTCAGCTTGTGCTTGGACTTTCTCTGCTCGTGTTCGGCTGTTGTTAATTGCTGCCTTCTTGTTCTTCCTTTCTTTGATCTTGTCCAGTGTTTCTATAGAGATCCATTCCTTATGATGGTGTTTCTTTAGGCCCAGAACCTCTTGACACGTTGAAGTTAATGCTTCCTTGATGCCTTTCCAGTTGTCCTCCATAGTAGTTTCTTCTTCTTCAGTAGATCTTGTAAGGCTTGGAACCTGTTGTTGAGAGCTATCTTGAATTCATTGAGTTTGTCAGTATCTCGAAGGAAGGCTGTATTGAACCTTTGTAGTGCTGTTTGTCCACTTGTCCAGTTCTTTTTTAGCTTCAGTTTTAAATTGGCTACAACTAGGTGGTGATCTGAAGCTACGTCAGCACCTCTCCTGGTTCTCACATCTTCCATTGTCCTTCGGAATTTTTTGTTGATGCAAATATGATCTATTTGGTTCTCTGTAGTGTGGTCCGGTGAGATCCATGTAGCCTTGTGTATACGCTTGTGTGGAAATATTGTGCCTCCTATGACCAATTTGTTGAATGCACACAAATTTGCAAATCTTTCTCCATTTTCGTTTCTTTCTCCCAGTCCATGTCGTCCCATAATATCTTCATATCCAGTGTTGTCTATTCCGACTTTGGCATTTAGATCTCCCATCAGAATAGTTAGGTCCTTTCTTGGCATTTCTCAATGATTGACTGCAGCCGCTCGTAGAACTGATCTTTAATGTCGTCGTTGCTATCATTGGTGGGTGCATAACATTGGATAATATTCATTAAGATCCCCTCCTTCTTTGTTTTGAATGATGCTTTGATGATTCTGGATCCGTGAGACTCCCATCCTACAAGTGCATTTCGTGCTACTTTGGACAGCATAAGAGCGACTCCCTGAGTGTGTGGAGCATTGTCCTCCTCGTGACCGGAGTATAGCAGCATCTCTCCCGTAGCTAGCCTTTTCTGTCCAGCTTGGGTCCAGTGGGTTTCGCTGATTCCCAGTACTGCTAAGTTGTATCTCCTCATTTCCATTGCTATTTGACTGGTCTTCCCGGTTTCCCACATTGTTCGAACGTTCCATGTACCTATAAAAATTTTTGCTCTGGTTGTTAGAAGGGGCATCGGCCTCGTGGCTTCCGAAGGAACTCGGCTTTCACCATGAAGCGTCATAATTCTTCTAACTGAAGACCTTCTAACTCCCAGGGCAGAGTTTAAATGGTTTGGATTATTTTTTCTGGTAAGCGTTTTTTTAGCGAGTTAGTTTTCTACGGGATGGGGACGCTAACCCCATGCCCAACCCTCCTCCTTTACCCGGGCTTGGGACCGGCAGTAACCCTGTTAGAGCTACAGGCGGAGTTGCTGTAATATGAAGGGATGAATAATTGCTTAATAAAAAATTGAAATGGATATTTTTCAGCACACCATCTTAATCTTTCCTCTAGGGTAAAAATATTGAATAATAAAGAGCATAAGCTTTATTGTCTCTATGAAATTATTCACTGTTACAGTTTTTAGACCGTTATATGACGACTATGGTTTGAACGATGAGCAACAGTAGGATTCTGTACATACATTGACCCAAGTAGGATTTGTAAATACAGACAATACTGAGAAGTCTATTCAAGTATTTCATATATTCACACAAAGTGATATGAACAACGGGCAGATTAAAAGTCTTTAACCAGTAATATATCCCCAGGAGAATTTAAATGATTGAGAGTTAGAACTGACTTAGAATAACAATTTTCATATGACCATCTTTTAAAATCCTTCTATCCACTTCCTTTTCACTACTCGAATATACATCAATTTAATGAAGTTGTAATTTGGTCTAACTCAGTAAGCAATTAAACGTTTGCTTTGAATGATACTTTTTATGCAAGAATAAATAATGCTATTTACGCGTCCAAAACGAAATAAATGGAAAAGGTTTCAAACTGACAATCCTGTAATGAAAACTCTAGTGGTATTGACAGGAATGAAAAAGTAAAAGTTGAGTAGGAAGGTGGTGTTCAGTTACACTTACCAGAACACCAACGTTCTTTTATCCCAACCCCGACGCCGTAAAAGGGTTCATAGGGTATACTTGAAACGAAGCGTGCGGCTATATATGGGGTTTCAAGAATATGACTTGCACTGAGTGGATTTACGAAGTTACACACAAATCTGACGAAATGAAATGAAATTTGTGAAAATAATTTGCCATATCAAATATACCTATGGCATCACATAAAAAAGAGTAGACTTTTTATCATATAACATTAAACTAATATCAAAAAGATGCTCATTATATTTTTACTCAAGGCTAGCGTAAATGTATCACGTTTTCTAGACCAAATAATCTGGCCGAAAGTAAAAGCTCATTATGATTAGAATCTTTATTTTAATCAACTCTTCGCTTAAAAACATGTACATTGAAATATGCCAATGACTTTTTAAACTGATTAGTTTAAGTTCGATATAAAACACTGACACATTTATGTTTTAAATAACTATAGCAGTCATCGTAACAGCTATATAGGACGAAGATCATTGAAATAGTATTTTTAACTTCGCCTGTAGCTCTTCTAGAGTTACTGTCGGTCCCAAGCCCAGGTAAATGACGAGGGTTGGGCATGGGTTTAGCGACTCCATCCCGTAGAAAACTAACTCGCTAAAAAACGCAAACCAGTAAAAATAATTCAAACCATTTTAACTCTACCCTGGAGTTAGAAGGTCTTCACTTAGAAGAATTATGACGCTTCATGGTGAAAGCCGAGTTCCTTCGGAAGCCACGAGGCCGATGCCCCTTCTAACAACTAGAGCAACAATTTTTATAGGTACACGGGACGTCCGGAGTTGCTCTTATGCGGTCCAAAGTAGCACGAAATGCACTTGTAGGATGGGAGTCTCACGGATCCAGAATCATCAAAGCATCATTCTGTTGTGTCCCGATAAGAATAATGAGTGGTAATTTTTGGGATCCATTTGTGGACCAATACTATACGTATATTTTTATCGTATAATTGTTAAATAACTAAACTATTCGTATTCATGTCTCTCTTATCATAAGCTTTATTTTAACCTATGAACTGCTATAATACGATTTTCCATTCTTGAATTATTCCCTGTCTATTAATCACTACCTCCCACGTTCACAACCACATTTTGCCAAATTTTGTACAAATGTTGTTTCATATTTTATCGTATGATCTGGTCTGCTTGATTGGTGTATAAACAGGGTATTTTTGAAATACATGATTCATATTGCAGAGGCTGAGATTGGCGTTCTGGACTTAACTGGCTGGGCTAGGCGGAAAGCATGACCAATCAGAACTCTAGGCTGCTCGCAAGTGTTTTACGCGTCCTTAGTCCAATCGGTAATTCTCTGCTTCTGATTGGCGGCTTTGGGCTATAACACACTCAAAACAAAGAAGGAGGGAATCACAATGAATATTATCCAATGTTATGCACCCACCAATCTTAGGAACGACGACGAGAAAGAGGCTGCAATCAATTATAGTGAAGTGCTCAAGAAAGGACCTGACCATCTTGATAGGAGATCTAAACGCCAAAGTTGGAATAGACAACACCGAATGTGATGACATCATGGGACTACATAGACTAAGAGAGAGAAACAAAAATGGGGAGAGACTTGCAAACCTGTGTGTATCCAACAAATTGGTTATAGGAGGCACAATATTCCCACACAAACGTATACACAAAGCTACATGGATCTCACTGGACCACACTATAGAGAACCAGATAGATCTTATCTGCATCAATAAAAAATTCCGAAGGACAATGGAAGATGTGAGAACCAGGAGAGGAGCTCACATAGCTTCAGATCATCACCTGGTAGTGGCCAAGATGAAACAGAAGCTAAAGAAAAACTGGATATCTGGAGGAACAGCATTAAAAAGGTTCAATACAGTCTTCCTTTGAGATACTAACAAACTCAACGACATCAAGATAACTCTCAACAGCAGGTTCCAAGCCTTACAGGATCTACTGAAGGAAGAAGAAACTACTATGTAGGACAACTAGAAAAGTATCAAAGAAGCGCTAACTTCAAAGTGTCAAGAGGTTCTGGGTCTCAAGAAGCATCATCATAAGGAATGGATCTCTATAGAAAAGGAAAAGAAGACAGCAAATAACAACAGCTGAACACGAGCAGAGAAAGTTAAGGGACATGCTGAGTACACATAAGCAAACAAGCAAGTGAAGAGCATTAGAGTCGACAATCAGAAATACGTGAAACAGCTAGCAACAATGGCGGAAAAAGCTGCGAGAGAAGGAAACATGAAACAGCTTTGTGATACAACGAAGAACCTAGCAGGGAGATATAGTAAACCAGAGAGACCGGTCAAGGACAAAGAAGGAAGGCCAATTACTGGAATCCAAGAACAAAGGAACAGATGGGTAGAATACTTCGAGGAACTCCTGAATAGGCCAGCTCCAATGAATCCACCGGACATCAAAGCAGCGCACACAGACCTTCCTATAGATGTCACTCCACAAACGACGGAAGGAATCAGAATGGCCATCAGACAAATCAAGAGTGGGAAAGCAGCAGGACCCGACAATACACCAGCTGAAGCACTGCAAACATGCTTCATCTTCTATTCAAGAAGATTTGGGAAGAGGAACAAGTGCCACTGACAGACTGCAAAGAAGGACACCTCATCAAAACTCTAAAAAAAGGAGATCTGAGTAAATGTTAAAACTACTGAGGCATCACACGACTGTCAGTACCAGGGAAAGTCTTTAATAGTGTTGCTGAACCGGATGGAAGACGCAGTAGACGCCCAACTTCCAGATCAACAAGCTGCGTTCCGTACGGACCAATCGTTCACAGGCCAAATCGCGACACTACGGATCATTGTTGAACAGTCAATTGAATGGAACTCGTCGATATACATCAACTTCATTGACTATGAAAAGGCGTTTGACAGTGTAGATAGGAGGACATTATGGAAACTTCTTCGACACTACGGAGTTTCTGAGAAGATTGTCAACATTATCCGGAACCCACACAACGGACTATAGTGCAAAGTAGTTCACGAAGTACAGCTGACAGATACAGTCAGTGTAGCAGCAGTCTCAGCATCAGTAGGCCTCCACATACACAATGGGAAAACCAAGGTCCTCAAACACGACACGGAGAACACCAAGCAACACAATCACACTTGATGGCGGAACTCTGGAAGATGTGGAATCTTTCACGTACATGGGGAGCATCATCGGTGAACAAGAATGATCAGATGCAGACACAAAGGCGACAATTAGCAAAGCAAGGGCCGCATTTCTACGATTGAACAAAACATGGAACTCGGAACAACTGTCTGTCAACCAACATCAAAGTCACAACCTTCAATATGAACGTCAGCACAGTTCTACTATACGGAACTGAAATTTGGAGAACTACAACAACCACTATCAAGAAGGTACAAGTATTCATAAATAGTTGTCTGACCATCCATTGGCCGGATACCATCAGCAACAGCCTTGTGTGAGAGAGAACAAACCAGCTTCCAGGTAAAGACGAAGGAAATGGATAGGACATACATTGAGAAAATCACCAGACTACATCACGAGGCAAGCCCTAACTTGGAATCCTGTAAGGAAGCGCAAAAGAGGAAGGCCAAAGAACACATTGCGTCGCGAAATAAAAGATATGAAAAAAATGAATAACGACCGGAAAGAAGTGGAAAGGATTGCCCAGGATAGGGGTTGGATGGCGAGTGCTGGTGGGCTATCTATGCTCTTCCAGAAGGAGTGACGGGCGTAAGTAAGTATAGTATTTTTAGACTAAAACAAACATTATTTCTTGCAGTATACACTGAAGAGAACGTTTAACAGTTTTATTTGTCATTAAACTATTTATTTCACATAATTGAAAAACAAATATTTTATTTCGTATATCACTTAAATATTTCAAATTAGTCCGTCAAGTCTGTTGGTCTTTAATATAAATTAATAATTATAAGAACACGTTCAAAAGCAAACTAACTGTGTACGTCCATTTTCATCAGCTGCAAATATTTTAATAAGACGTTCAGAAAAGAATCCTTCACGCAATTGTGTTAATTCACGCCACCATTGACGAACATAATTAGTGAACGTGTTTTCCCTTTCAAATGATCGATTTAATTCTAATTGAAAATGCGCTTGAATAAGTGAGGGTGATAGTTGTTTTAATTTACAAGTTTGATGATTAATTACACCAGGTGCATTTGAATCAAATGTCTGCTTTACTGGATCAGACCATTTCGTATTGATAGATGCATTAGGACATATTAAAGAAAGACGTAAATCAAGAACACCCGCAGGTACCTGTAAAAATTTAATTTCACGAAACATTTCTAACACCATTGAAAAACAACTGTAATAATAAACACCTTCATTATCATGATTCGAAAATATTACAATTTAATTCCATTGACACTTGTCAGTTGCAAAATAGAGATCTTGAAGCCAATGAGATTTGGTCCCAAAGACGTAAAGGTACTAGAATTGATATTATAAATAACCGATAGTTGTTGCTTAAAGAACCAATGTATTCAAATTAAAACAACCTGTACTGTTTTATGCTTTATTTTTCTGTTAATTAAATCTCATAAGGACCACTTTATCATATAGACTAGGTTGTGTTTCGTACTTATTGGTTGTCGATAAAAAAGTTTACTTACTTTAGTACACTTTTGAAACCATCAATAAGAAATATATCCTGTTTATAAAGCCTGATCCTTAACCAAACGTGTTATTGCATTGGATTTTTCAAAATTCTATTATTTTATGTATTTACTGAGGAATATAGCATAAAAAATACTAATCTGACAACGTTTGTGCTAATGTGTATGATTAGGACTCGTATGACTCACAAACCCTTCATCGTACATCACAGATAATGGTTATTCAACTCAGCAACTTAATGAAATTACAAACTGAAAAAAAAATAAGGCATATGGTATTTTTTGATAAATATCATAGTTTCAGAATTGAAATGCCTAAAATATTTTTAACAGATTGATTGTGGTGTCAACTCATTTGAATAAAAATAGGTTAAACATATTAACAAAAATCTAGCAGTTCATAGTTTGCGTGTTAACTTTGACAATTAGTGCAGTGATGAACTGTTATTAAAGACTAAAACCTTAGTTAATATACCTTAATCTCTCGTTCCATATAACTGGTTTAAAAGAACATTAACATTCTATACTTTCTGTATGACTTAAATTAATCAGGAATGCCTATATTTATAACCATCATGACACTCAAGATAAATGAGATTAGGGTTAGAAAAAATTCTGAATCGATAAAGGCAAATACATTGGATTTCACCGAATAGCCTCAGAGAAAAATATGGCAGGGATCAAAGAATGGAGACGGTGAGCGGTACTAACCAGAATCAACTTATTTGAATACCTAAGTTCAGTCCACTTGTAACTATCTTGGTATTTTCAAAATTTTCTTTTGCATCAGAAATGTGAGAACTCAGAAATTACTGGCCTACTAATCTCTACGTTACGGTTAAATAATTCCTGAAATATATCACACAAATCCCCGCCTTAATAAATAAGTGAAGTATTTCACCCAGTAATTTGTTTTATTTTAATTTAAAATGTTCAATTGTTTAGGCCAAATACACGAACGTTTAATTTTTTAAAAAGGCTATCCATCTAATAAGCACATAAAGTATTGAGAAAAGTTATCAACTTACATTACAGTCTGGATCGGTGCTTTGTAGTTCTATGGATACGGTATTAGTCCAGTGGTTTAAGTTTACTTCTTTACATTTAGAATTGCCCATGAAATATGGACGCCAGTCAAAGTAGGTTGATGAGATCAAACCTCGTTTTCCAGTTGATAATACGTTCGATGTGATTACGATTTGTACAAAAGAAACTGGTTTATCGAACAGCAAATCTTCAAGGGTCACCTTAAAGAAAGCAGTAAATCATGTATATTGTTGATAAATATCGAATTTCGTATAAAAATAAGGTTACCAACTTTTCGTTACATCTTCAACCCCTAAGAAGGTAGACTAAAACAGATCTTCGTATATATATATATATATATATATATATATATATGTTCCATAAGTATTTAGATTGTATTCGTTTAGCTTTCTTTCGACACTGATGTTACCGGTTAGCAATATGTTATAATCTCTTTCTTACGGTTATGACCCAGCTATTCCTATTGCTTATTATTCCTGGACACCAAATCACTTGACAAGACCCCAAATCAGAACACGGTTGAACAGGAGAGAGATTATATTCCAAATAATAAGGTTAGATGGAAGCAAGAAGAAAGTCGGTGGTGCAGTAGGGAAAACGCCAGTATATTGATAGTTTTTCACATGAGATTTCTAGTGTTCACTAATTGTTGACTAACGCCGATTGGCTAATTCTTATCCAATCAACGTGCACCAAAGCAATCGTGAATTGAGCATGCTTTAATCCCGTCTATGTCCCACTAACACAATATATCTAGTTTTACTTGATTTTCCTAAATCTTTTGGGCTGGTAACCGGAAATGTTAAAATTTGAATTTTTCAAATGAAAAGTAATGTTAATCAAATTTTCTCACGCAACACGCCTGAGTGAAGCACTGTTTTTATTCGTTTAAGTAACCTTGCTCAACACATAAGATTGTTGCTTTCATTGTACGCAGATAACATTAAAATGTGAGCGGTAGCACATGAGCAAGCAAAACCAGTTTTCAAAACAATTATGTTAAGGCATCTGAGTAATTAGATTTTTAGCGATTTGAGTGTGATCAATCGAGTGACCGGACAAATAAATCATCAGTGTAACAAAAGACACAATGGTCATAATTATGGTTACTCAGCCTGGAGGCTTCTGAAAATCTGTATGACATTGCCTAAGGCTTAAAAAAGCTTTGTGATTTTGCACACGGGCTGCTGTAAGTTTCTGAAAGCCTTTAGAAATAAAAGTAAAGTTTAACCACAAAATATAAAACGCGACTACAAAGTTCATAGCCCCAGTAGTCCAAATTAATAATCGAATGTTACCTACACACGAACTGGCGGTTCCTGTGATAAACTGAAATACTAGAATCAATGATTTAAAAGTCGTATAGAGTCCCGTCCAATCCACGAATAAATAAACAAAATTTACCTACCATACAGACACCAGAGAACGTTTTCTATTTGCTAAAATACAGTTTATATCTTGTCCTCACACTACGTCAAGATTTAAAAGCCTCAAAGCACTTTTTATCTAACTAAAGTACTTCTTATGTATAACGATAGTGCGACACTTGTGCTAAGTTCTTTCAAAGATTGTGCTAAACAGTCAACTAACACAAGATAACGGTGATGTTTGTATTACTCTGTCGTAACTATTTTTTTCTCAAAAACTGGTTTCCCCAGAAAGTTTAACAGTGAAGTAAAATTACTAACTTATGAGTTTCACTTATCGTATCAAGTGGTGGAGTTTTGGGATTCTTTACCAGGAAACGTTATCGGTATTTTCGGCTTCTACGTTTCGGGTAACACTCAGTCTTAATAGTACATCAAATTTCGAGTAACAAGAATATTCGCTTAACCTGCTACTCCTATCACTGAAGGCTAAAGACGGTGATGGTCAAAATAAACAACATGAGGATACCAGACCAGTCACGCAAATAATGATCTAGAGGACAAAAAAAGCTGTCGGAAAGTTCAGCATTTTAAAATAAAAAAAGTGGATTATTACCAATGAATGCCTACTAATAATTTTTTTAGGGCTTATTAATCACGAAAGTGATGACTACTAACTTTGAAGCATAATGGTATATATATGGAGATTCTAGCCTCAACACATAGTAACAGCTTGTTCTAAGGATACATTAAGAGCAAACCAATGGAAGTTAAAGGCATTTTTCATCACGACTTATGTAATCCTTTCTTTTTTACGTCTTTATCAACTGCATATGTATTTGAGAGTTTAATATATAGGTTAAGCAGACTGCTAAGTAGACGAGCCTATTCCATTTGAGCGGCTGATACATAAAATTGATATAGATAGGTGAATATATCACTCACAAATATATTTAAATGGTGTAATATATCTCGGGAACAAATTCTCAAATTCTATGAACTATATGCCTTTGTAAAACATATACCTCGGAGATCTCCAATAACCAACGACACTATCCGCACTAGCCTTAAAAACAGATCAACCAATTTTTATATTTATACTTACATCTCGTCCCTTGCTAAGGTATCCAGAAATAAGCTCAAAACAAAAGATCTGATTGATAATGGGCTCCGTTGTGCACTGGAATAACTTGCTGGAAAATCTACAGTCCTTGTAAGCAATATGTAGTTGCAAACTGATGTCGGAGCACTTAAATTCCTCAATTTGTATGTCTTCATATGTCTGGAGGTGACTCGTAAACGCTCTCCCCTGCAGAACATCCACTACTAATACTGCAGTGGAACTCGTATTGATTGACATACATCTTCTAGGATCTTCGTATGTACCCACAGAACTATCATGACCTCTGGAGAAAATCTTGGACTGCTCTTTAGACTTTATTTGAGAAACCAGCATGTCAATTACACCCTTAGACCTTAGCATTTCCAGTAGCTCAAACTTTGTTAGTCTGGTCATATCAACGTCCCCTCTATGAATGAAGGACTTTATTTTATCAATGATTCCCTCGTCCGATAAAGCTTCATCGATCAGACTACGCCAACTAGTCATGTTTAGATCCCAGTTGCTAGTGTTTTGAATTGGTTTTATTTAACTCAAGGTTAAACATCCAAAATTCAATGACACTGAAGTGGTAAATAAATCCATCAAATAAACAGTTCTTTAAGTCTTTGAAATCTATGCTGACCTAATTAGTTGTTTCCGATTTATCCTATCTGAGGGCTCTCGGCTACCTAACCGCATCGACTTACGAGTGAATACACCGTACAATGTGACCGTAACAACTAGTCTGGTTAAATAATAAGACACTTCTCGACTTACCTAGTCTTCAGGAGTAAAGATTAGAGACTAGTTTGCCTTTATTTATTGTAATTTTTGGTTATGCGAAGATCCAATCTTGCCTCAAATGTATCAACAGGTGTTGATATTACCTATCCTGATACGGGAAACTAGGTATTTCACTACTAGGTGCGACAAACGGAACTCCAGACGTAAGTGATTTGATTTCGGTCTTAGAAACTTTTTCAAATATTCACTCAAATGATAAGTTCCAGATTAAAGGGAAAGATAAGACATATTATTATCACGATTATCGTTCAGTACACGGTAACCCAGTATTAAATCGCTCCGTAACAAGATGTAAGATAGAGGAAACAGACTGAGTCGTCTCGATTTGCCATAATAATGGAAGCCAAAGAGATCTTTCATCATTTTCGCTGCTCAATGTTCAATTTTTCCAGCATATCCGCCTCATTTTTGTGACAAGGACTCTCTTGAATCCCAAATTCCAAATGCAGCCTCACAGATGTCGGGTAGAGTGCACTGACTATATCTTGGTCCAGGTAGTCAAATGATTCGGAGGAAGTCAGTATCTTGATTGAATGTCTCCTCACGTATGATACATTACTAAAATGTATAAGTGGTTTGTCCAGATGAGGAGATTACGAACAGTTTTGCGCCTCATCATCATATTCACCCCATTTGTCCTCCGACGTACTGACTTTGGGTTAGCTTTCAAGTCATCTGGGAAGAATTTACCTAAGCACCACTTCAGTCGCTCTCCTTTGAAAACGTTTCAAGAGGGTAATATCCTACTTTAGGTAAACGAAACGCATGTAAGAGATTTTTCGAGATGAAGCCTTGGGCAAACGCCGAGAACAATTTAAAATCATTTCGAAGTTCAGGAGACAAGTGTTCTCATTAGAAACAATGGGAGTGAGTAAGCTTTATTAGTTGAGAAAAGCTAGTGGGAAGATGAGATAAGAGTATCACAGAGAGCGGTACATACGTTCATCTGAGTTGTTTGAAGTGTGATAGAAGGATCTCCTAGGACGTACTTCTCGGACACAGTATTACAATAGTTCATTGATAGTACTCTGCATTCTCTGACACTTGAAAGAGGTATTTCTCAAATATTCTAGTCGTATATTTTGTACAGGTCTTTCTGAAGAGTTGAAATATTATCTGGATTAACTATTTCCCTCCACATATTGGGATTATCTCACTTAAGCAGAGCATAAGTGTCTGGAGAGTAGGAAGCGTCGGTAGTGAATGTTTAGAATAAGAATGGTTTAAGGGTTTCACTATGATACTGCTTGTCTGTCTGACATGGACGTTTAGACTTTGACAGCTCACAACCACCCAGACATGAAATCTTAGAGGCATGTCATCGGACACGCACTCATACTCATAAGATTCAACTGTCAAGCCAGAAGACAATGATTATTGCAGTTAAATTCATCGAAAAAACCAAGAATTCCAATATGCACATAATGCTTGTATTTCAATGAGGTGATCCAGTCATTCCAGACTTGTGTTACATAATCTACCAGACAGGTGGCCGAGTTGTGGTTTAGCGATAATTGATTAATGGTTAAGGCAGTTGATGAGCGATTCGTGGCCTTCGAGACCTCTGAGAGTGAGAAAGTTGGTCGGCGACTAGATGGTTCTTCCAGTCCTTTAAACCATAGCTAGGAAATTGAAGACTGATCGTAGTGACAGGTCAGTTGTTTTGCACAGAATCAAGTAGGGTGAAAGCTCAGAACCGAAAACTCACTTTGAGGAAGACATTGAGTTGGTAAAAGGTCTACTTGATCACTTAGTATCTCAAGATATTTTTGATAACACTTTGCTAAAGGTTTACTGACTAGATAACCGAATGAATTTGAAACCGTATCAAACTAAGCTGCCAAACATAGCATTTAGATCTTCTAATGAAAAGGATTAAATGGACATAAAGCAAAGGGATCAGGATACATCATCCATAAATACATGCGGCACGCGGACCGTATAAAAAGACGAGAAGCTGAAAAAGAAGTAAAACTAAGGTTAGATGCTGGCTATCAGGACCGCAAAATTGTAAGTTGTCTAGCAGTGAGGCTTCAATGGAGAATGGTTCCGAAGCCACTCCGGGTGCAGCATAAGCCATGTAACTGGTCTTTTTATCTCTTACAGATATGCCCGTAACTTGGTCACCAAGAGATCAGAGCTAGGTGTATACATAGATGCTACCAAGCCGGATGTAATCGCTGCAACAGAAGCTTGCCTAACTCAGTCTGTAAACGGTAGGGAACTTTATTTTGACAATTTAACGTTAGTAAAAGCCTATAAAACCTAGAATCATAAAGGGGGTGAAGCTCTATTCATTGATATACTATATTACGTATATATACTATGGTATACTATGTTTACCATTATCCATATCATATCCCATAAAGGTGGGACTTGTGGATTAGTTGACGCTTAAAAAAGGACAATAGCTGCTGATTGGTTTGGTCTACCGCAGTCAAAGCTGTGAGACAAATGAGATTGCTAGAAGGTTTGAACACTTGATCAATATGTTGTCGATGTTTAGTCTTCAAAAACTTTAATGCAGCTACGGTGGACTGGAAAAATATGAAGAGTGAATCGACGGAAACTTCTTTTGAGCAGAAACTAGTTGACTTGTAAAATAACGAACTAGATACAACCCGGAAAACGAATTACCCTCAGTGGATCTCACACTAACCCATTGTGAGGGTGACGTCACAAACGTCGATTATTTCCCACGCTTAGGTGAAAGTGACGATGCAGCTATATTTTTGATTTCCGTATAGTTGTCAAAAACGATCATGTGTCAACCCAGTTCAGACCCAGCGTATGGAGAGCAAATATGTAAGACACCATATACTCAGCGTCTGCAGTAAATTGGACAATAGAGTCAGAGTCCCTAATAGAAGCGTCTTGCGATGTATTTAGAAATTTGTACTTAAAAGTCACTGAAACTCATGTTCTTCGGACTACACCAACGTGTCCGTGTAATTCCCCAGAGTGGTTCAGTAGGGAGGTTTGCGCTTTTCTCCATAAGAGGAGAAGAATGTGGGAGAGATTTATGCCAGCGGGTACTGACTAAAAAAACTCTCAATATCAAGAATCTCAAAACATCTGTGCCTCAACCCTCTGCAAGTCTAGAAGGTTGTACTTCTATATTTGCGCGTAAACCGATGGACTGAGACAAGAGGAAATATTCAAGCATTATGGAGAGACAGTAGTACTTCATCATTAGTGGAGGACGACTATGGTATAGCTCAGGTATTCAGCAGTGTATATGCCGTAGAGACACCCTTCCTTTCAGTTTGTAAAAGCCATACACATACACTGGACACTGTGATCATTAAAGAACTCGGTATCTTTGGTCCGCTAAATAAGCTTGATATAGCCAAATCCTCGAGACTCAATGAAATGCATCGTGGGTTACTAAAGGAACCAGCTAATTTTGTTGCGAACCCCTGAAGCATATGTTTCAATTTGTTCGCAACCCAGGGTCAATTACGAAAAGACTGGAAAAACGACATAGTGACTCCTGTGTTCAAAATAAGTACAAGACATAAACCTGAGAACTATCAACCCGTATGCCTAACTGCCGCGGTTGTTAAAATTTTCGAAAATATTTTTCAGTTGAAGTATTTTAAGTATCTCGACAAAAACCGGATTCTTTCTTAAAGCAGCGTGGTTTTAGAGCAGCTCAATCCTGTCCTACCAACATCTGAGTACTTCACGAAATTGGTGCTCTCTTAAGAACCAAAAGTTACCCGTAGATGTAGCCTAAATTGTATTCAATAAAGCTGTTGACAAAGTTCCTATCAACCGGCTATTATATAAGGTAAGGAATACTAGGATGGAAAACAATTCACTAATGTGAATAAGAGGCTTCCTAGTTGGGCGCCAACAAAGAGTACGAGCGAAATCAATGTTGCCTAACGTAGTGGCTCAAGGTACAGTTTCGTGGCCAATGTTGCTTCTCTTGTATGTAAATGACCATCGTAGTTTCCTATAATCATCGGTTTTATTATATGTTAGCGATGTCAGAATTGGAGAACGATAAGAAGTAGAGACGATAGTTTCAGGCCTAAAATGATTCGGAGAAGTTATCTGAACGATCTAAATTTTAACAGTACCCGATAAATGCTCCCAAGTGCATTATGATGCATATTAGTCACATGGTAGAAACAAATACAAGGTGAATAACATTGAGCTATCTGTTATCCAGGCACACAATGTCCCAGGACTCATTGTTAGTCAGGATTTAAAAACTACTGTGCACTGCCATGAGATGGCTGCCAAAGTTTTAAGAATTCAGTGGTCAATACCTAGAGCGCTTAGCAATATCGGTGCACAGTATTCATGCATCCTAAATTCAAGGATTGCATATAAGTGGCCAGCCCTCGTATAGAAAAAGACAAATAACTGTTGGAAAAGGTTCAGAGGACCGCATCTCAGGATGGCAAAGCTTTTTTGCGATGCCCGATTTGCCTAACTAAACCTACTTCAAATATCCCAAAAAAGAACCAGAGGGGACTTGATCATAGAGTTTAAACTACCTTATGATAAATTTTCACCTCTTTCAAAATGAAAAATTCACCAGAACAATTTGAAGATGTTCACAAGCCCAGAATAAATTACTTATCAGCTGATTGTCGACTTTACCATCGAACCATCAACGAATAGGATTCGTTGCCTAATTACGTGAGTGAAGCTACATCTGTTGACTCTTTTAAATGGTATTTAAATCGAATAAGAGACCACTATTGCCATGACTAGCACAGCCACCCAGCCATTTGTTCTTTTAAACACGGAATTGTTTGAATACGTCAAATTATTGACCTTTTTCAATTTTATAATTCAAAAATTGTCGTTATCATGGTTACCACTTCAGCGAAAGTTCCAAAGAAGACTTCGTCAAACAAGCTGAAGGATTTGTTTTCAACAGACATAAAAAACTCGGATGATGTTAGAGGTCTGTAACTTCAGACATTATTTGCGATCACGAATAATTTTTTAATGTTTCCATTGTATGTCCAATGTTAAATTATTCATGGCCGAATACTTTCAACCCCACTATCGAAGTACCTTCTGGGATTCTATAAGCATTAAATTCTCTATCATAATAATTGATTTTCTTATGAAGCGTGTAATAAACTAAGTTCCCTTGTTCGTCAAAAGAAGCTAACGAAATTTTCGGAGACCTATAATGTTCTTTAAGATAGCATGATGCTATTTTTTTTATTGCTAGCTTGCTACTTTTATTCAATCACTGTTACTGAGGGACAAAATTCTTATAACTTGTACGACAAAATATTCGATGGAGTGTTTGAACTTCCAATCTGAAGTATTTGTGTGAGCATTCGTGTTAATAATTATGCGGTATCAAGAAAATAGAAAAAACTTTTATAGCACTATTTTGTGTTACTCTCCTGAAAAGAAAACATTAGACACCTGGAATGCTTATATCAAGTGAGTTGTAGTCACTTTTTTGCGTCATCGGTATGAGTATTCGACCGTTAGTGCCTGTTGATCACCAATGTAGATGATCTATATCGAAATTATTAGAGGCCTACTCCATTTAGACGGGAATAGTGTGACGAACCTGCTACTGTCAAAGTCACACCACGTGGTCAGCAACGGATGTATTTCGAACATCTATCGATACAGACAGACGATAAGTAATGTGAATCAGAGAGGTGACAAGGTCTACTCAATGAATTATGGGTAACTCACCCTTTATACGGAAAGTGGTAACGTATAAATTTCCGACAGCCAATTAGAGTGAGAATGACAGACATAAATAGAGCAAACACACGTTAACGCGTATATGATACAATTATCAAGCTCACAAATGACAATGTTTAAAGGTAGCTCATAAAGTGTCTAACTGGATTAAAATGAGAAAAACGATTACCAAGACAATGAAATAAGGGCCGCTGTAGATTTTTTAATAAAAGCCTATTTAATTGTGAGTTTTCTGTGACTTCTCGTCAACCTGAGGTTTTATACTCTATGAAAAGCAAAGTATTATATTAAATCAACACCAGTCACGATTTAAGACTTATATGTAACATGTAGTGATATTTGGACCCCTAAAGAATCAAGTAAAGATTATCCATGACTCTAAGATCTCAGAAATAAACATGTAAATACGAGCCGCTAGATGCTCGTCAGCAAAGTCTGCTGATCAAGATGCCTCGAGTAATTGTAATGTATCCATTTTTTATGACTTTTCATAAGTAAACTTCAGTAAATCTCTAAAGGATTCACGTTTGGATTAATAGTTCCCAATGTTAATATTTTTATTCCTTCAGGAAGTGTGAAATATCTTGACATTCAATTACTCGAATCAACTGTTGATCATCGGGGTGTACCTTTAGTCAAGCCAAATTATCATCAAAGAATATCTTGTAATACACTGATGGTAGGTAAGCAATTAATTAAAAAGTAATTAAAAGTAATTAATTAAAAATCTAATATATCTCAAGTTATGTGCCACATTCTGTTTATTTTTATGACAATGACGCTTTGGTTACTAAACAAATTTATTTTTGAGTCGTTAACATTCATTTTCAGTTGTCTGATCAAAGTGTATTTTTGTCGAAGGAAATAGACAAGTGGAGATATCAGTTTGAATTCTTCTCTGGTGATTTGCCTGAGTTCGTGATCTTTTTGATGAAGATGACTAAGTTTTTTATCTATCCCCAGCTTTTCACTGAATTCACTCTTTAGGCTCACTTATATCTGTTCTTCTTCACATATCTGAGTGGTTAAAATTTTGGTAATTTGGAGAAAGATAACAGTTTTCGTGATTCAGAAATGTGTTAATCAACATTTTATTAATAGGAGCAAAAACGTCTGTGGCATAAAAGACAAATAGTATCAGTGCTAAGGAGTTCATAACTTTTCCATTTTTGTTAATAAACAAAACTGTAATCACAAAGGCTTTTTTTCTAATCCGTATTTCCTCGTGAAGCTTTTTGTCTCAGTTTTCTGATTCCTCTGAATTTTGATTTTGTCTTTATTAAATACCAAATTTTACATTGTATTGTTTCCCTCTTTTTGAGTTCTGTCATTCGAACTGTATTATCAAAAGGTTATGTTTCATCTGCCTTATTGCCTTCGCAATCGATTGTGATCGTATTAAAATAACTTTGATCGTTCATAATTAGCGGTCACCATAGTCTGAATTGAATAAACTGGAGGATTTACCGACTAGATATTCAATATCTATGTAGCTACCTGAAAATATCATCTAAAAAGGTTATTTAAAAATAACCTTTTTCACGGGATATGAAATGTTAAAACACAACAGAAATACTAAACATACCCAGTGCCTTTTTATGACTGAGTTTTGAATGAGTTCAAAGTGGATCTTTTACATTTCCCCTACCAAGACACTATTTCTATTCAGCAAGACAGTTGGATAAATGCTTCAAACTAGTCAGTCAATTACCAGAGACTTTGGAATAATGGGTGAGACTTTCAGTTAGTTAGAAATTTGCAATGAAATAAATTCAAAAGGTTGTCCGAAATTGTTTTATCTGAATTCATTTTTACGACAAAATAATCTTAAAACCTCCGAAATCGGAGAGGTAGCATGAACCCTTTTATGTTAGTTTAAATTTACTTATTTAACGAAGTCTGAGTGCTGAAGTTATCACAAAAACCATGTAGTGAATGATTGTTCCTCTTTAATAATCAGATGGATTTCAAGCAAACAAATTAAAACGCCCTACAAATCGTTATTTAAGTACAAACATAAGTAATAACGAACAAATACCTACACAATGGAATCGTTTTGTTGAATCATCATTATCATACCCACAGAAAAATAAAAGCAGCGAACAAGTGAATGAAGATGTGAATAAGACATTGAATCATCATCGTAATCATAATCATCAACAACAACTTCAGCGACAAAATTAAATGCATATTCACTACCACGATCATCATTATCTTCATCTTCATCTTCTTCATTTTCATCGTTTACACTAAAAGGATTTAAAGATTCAATAAAACTGAGAAATACAACAACAAAATTACCTACTACTAATTTTTGCTCAAAAGATACATTGATGAAAAATAATGAAAAAGACAATAATAAATCCTCCAAAAATGGCAATGATCTATTTAATAATGAAAAACTATCATCTGAAATTTCTAACGTTTTCATGGAAAATGATCGTGTCAAAAAGCAAACGATCCTATGTTATGAACAGTAAGTAATGATTTGGTTGATCTAATATCTTGATCACTGTTTTTTTAATGATTAATAGATAGAACAGCGAACCATGAGAAGTCAAATTTATTTGGAGAATCTGATTTAGATGGGAAAAATTTATCTCTTGTCACTCAATAAGATATATAGTGAACCAACAGGTTGATTTATCGTAGTCTCAGAATACTCCAACAAATCAATCTCATATAAATTGAAAAAATAATCCTTACGTATCCTAACAAGTAAATTGCTGTGGAGTTGAGCCCTTAAAATTCATTTGTAGATACTTTTATAGTTTATCTAATGAATGGATACAGTGCAATTATTTCTTAATTTTACTGGTACATTTCTGATAGGTTTACCGATTTGGATATTTCTAAAGCTAATGACCATTTTAAATTCGTAGCTGAAACATTACTATGAATTTGGGTTGTTCTTAGATCACGATACTATGTAAGTAACTTAACGTTACTAAAATTTAAGATAAGTTCCAATCACATTTTTTAGTTTCATTTTTGGAAGTTATCTATTACTTCAGAGATACTTTTTTAATGACGTAACATAAAATTTACTAAACGTCTGTTAGATCTGAACTTAATAGTTTCATAAGGATAACCAATACTTCAATTCAACTCATCAGTATAATTGAGTTGTCTTGAATATGAAGGACAGTTAGAAAATGACTCAATTAATAATCAGGTCAAGTTAATGGAATTGTGCAACATTTATATTTATCTATTGAAGACATATTTGCAAGCCTTTGATATAAACATAGATTCAAGTAAACATTCCATTAGTTCGGTGATTTCTCCAGTCACCCGACCGTTGTTGTTACCTTGACGTGGTGGTCGGGCTTGCCTATCGTGATGAAGCAACCGAGCTATACTGGCTGGAACAACCGTTCCTCAAGGTCCTACCATGTCAGACAGGTCGGTTGAAGAGCGGTAAGACTAAAAGCAACAAACGTAAGGTCCCAAGGCGAAGTCGTACTGCTGACTGTACAGAGGTGTGACAGCAGTAAGGTGTTTCCTTCAGACAACCAGCATAACGGCGATGCTGCCTTTTCACAAGGAGGGGTGGGGTCATAAAAGGTCGACCCTAAAAATGCACACCTCGCCTCATCCCACGGATATCCGTCTCCGGCGTTAGGGTCTCAACAAGTACGGGGCTAACACAAAAATTACTCATGAAAAGGTCGTGTGTGACCGACCTCAAGCAGTTGTCTCTTGGGCACTGCGGTCACGCTCCCAGGTCACTAAGACCACCTCTAATCCAATTTCCTTTTCAGGTCGGTGGTTCCTCCACAGATGAATGATACCGTAAATTTACGTATGACCACTTACATTTAATTCAACTATACATTTTTGAATCAGTAGCTTTTTTTCACCAAAGATATTGAATGAGCTGTAACGAAACAGTTACCAGTTTCTAAAATAAATGAGAGAATTTAACACTACAAGTCAATATGATTGAAATAACTATTAAAAGTTGGGGAACTCAAATAACTATTTTTAACTTGGTAGTGGTTACTAATTTAAAAGTCTAACCTAAGAAAAAAAGACACTTGTAAGTAAATCTTAGACTTTAAAAATCTCAACTAATAAAATTTTTAAAGTGCATGATTGAACCGTGAATATGTGTGTGTGTGCGCACATACGCTTGTTTGCAATTGTGAACCGAGACTATTGGTTTCTAGCGTATAGATGAATCACTGTTACAGAAAGAATCATTATCCTAGTTACATGTATCCCTACTTATAGTCCTATTGTGATATAAATGTCGTTATTCAATCCCTCCAATGTCGTTATTTAATTATTTCTCATTTCTTCCCTTCTTTTCATAGGATGAATCTAAAAAGTTGTCCAAAAATTGATTCAAATCAAATATACCGCTTTTTAAGTCTTCAATACAATCAAATCTATCGGATTGAACATTTACAACACTTAACAAAACTTGTTTATTTAAATATTTCAGAAAATCAACTCACAACAATGAATGGTCTTGAAACATTATATTCTTTACGTATATTATTATTAGGAAAAAATCAAATTAAACAAATTTGTTCATTAGAAAATTTATATAATTTAAATGTACTTGATTTAAATCATAATCAAATAAAAATAATTGAAAATTTAACACATTTAACAAAATTAAATTGTTTAAATTTATCATTTAATTATATTACATCAGTAAATGGTTTATCTGGATTAATTTCATTAAATGAATTAAATTTAAGACATAATAATATACAATATATTGAATCAATTGAAAATGTTCCAAAATTAATTTGGATATTTTTAAGTTTTAATCATATTGAAAGGTAGATTTCTATAATTATTCTTCGTAATAATAATTACTTATACATTTTAGTAATCATTTTGAATAACAATAAAGTATTTACTATCAGAAGGGGTTTTGAGGAGATTTCAGAAATTTCAATAGTTGAAATCATGAGTCAATTGAAGCTAGACCACCATGGAAAAACTGGAAGAACTAGACGGCCGTTTCGTTCTATTGTGGGGTAATGGATGTGCACTGCTGAGGACTCCCACAATAGGACGAAACAGCCGTCTAGTGCTTTCAGATTTTTCATGGTGCTCTAGCTTCAAGTGATTCATGATCTCAACTATCAACATATATTTCTAATTAATATCTAAACTATCAGTTTAAAATTTGATGTAATAACTTTAAATATACACATTTCTATTATATATTTGATCATTTATAAGCTGATACAACAAAAATAAAATGAAATAACAGTGGTCAACAATATGTTGATGAAACCCTTTCCTTTGAATATCCTTAAACTATTTCCTAATTTCTTCTACTTCTGTATTTTGCATGCACTCAACATTCGTCCCTTGATTCCTACATAACTACTATAATACTGACCTTTCATCAAAATAGTTTGTTAGTTCCTGTTGATATATAGTTAGGTTTCTTATTAATTTACTGAAAGATAGGCCTTACTCAATAATAAACAAAGCGTTTGGGATGAAATCGGTATTCATCCAACAATCAGTTTGTTCATGTAATCAAATGGATACTATATGAAACTGTCTATTTGTTGTACATGAGTCTGCTAATATTACATATGGTGCACCTAATGAAACCTTTCCTCTATTTGATTTCAGTTGGTCACAGATTAGTGGTTTAGCCAATTTAAATTTATTTGCTCAAGTTACTTTGGATGGAAATCCCATTGTATCTGATCCAACTTATCAGAAGATGATATCAAATGATAAAAGATTTTTTAAAGACAATACAACTGTTTATTCATTAAAAGTAAGTTTTTACTAATTGTGCTAATCAATGATTTTGTGTTTTATCTGAATAAAGGCTAGTTTACCATAATGTGTAGATTACTTCTTGAATGTAGGCTAACTTGTGACTTGCGTTGTAAGAAATTAATCTTTAAAAGAGTCTACAGCTTGTGATGGTCGTCCCATGTACGTTCACTGAGAAATCATCAATTTTGTAAACATTCTATATCTGTAGTAAATACTTCTTGTAACTCAACCTGCACGCTATCATACTTTTTGTATTGTCGTAAAACACATATATTTGTCGATTCTAAGCATCTCGAGGATTAGATAAAAGCTTTTTACGTAGTTCTTAGTAAGCTTCAAGCTATCTATCATGATGTTTTAAATTTCGTTTGAATATTCAAGAGCACCGATTGATTGATTCGCCTAGTGTGGTTTCCCCAGTAGTTGTTCTATGCGTTTTTAAGCTGATTCAATATTTATTTCCATCATATAATGAGTATAGTACACCTGAAATTATTTTAGCAAGCATAGTTTAAATAAACTTTTCAGGATAAGATATAATCATGTCTATTTCCATGGCCTCTTACCAATCTGATACAACCTCAATAAATAAGTGCGTCAATTTCGACAGTGTAAAATAGGAAGTATAATTCGATTTGAAATAGTTTGGATTATGTTGTTGTTGTTGCTGATATTTTTGACTGGGATTTAATCCATAGTAAACATGCTTTAAATATAAAGTATTACAATCTTTAGTCAATTATATACAAATGCAAAATATTGACATTAGAAAAAACAGTGATGTATATTTAGATAACTCAATGTGATAACAAAGTTATGTGATGTATTAGGACAATGCATTTCGAACTATCTGATCAGACATTGATTTGCTATGATGTTGATATGCAAAAGAAAAGGTTAAAGTGAATAAATGAGGGCACAGGATCACCAAAATCAGTAAAGAGAACACAAACCATAAAACTCTGGACGTTAGATTCAAAATACCACGAGGATAGGTTTAGAGTGCAAAGTGTTTTTGAGTAATCAAAGACAGTTCGAATCTTCGAATCGCTAGTCTCAATAGGGAGCTGTATTTTCCCCAATATATTTTTATACAACACTACGAATGACTGGCCCATTTCAACTAAGCGTATGGCAATAGATAAAGATAATTATTTATCATGTGTTCTTATTTAAGCATTGGATTCCGTTTATTTTTTAGGTTATCGGATACCTGTCCCACCACCTTTAAATGTAGGTCATGGTTACGCCTCCCCATATTTGTGTCCACATATACATGTAAACTGGAAAACATAGTAGGATCTAACTCTAGTTTACATGGTTTTTTTTAGTTTTTAGTTAAGCATGAAAATTGCTTTTTCAATACGGATGAGTTTGGTTAATTAAAATTTAGGCCTTGGTCTCAGATCAAGGCTACTCGATTCAATTCCGAGTTGTAAGGTGATGAATATATACCTTTTTGAGTGTCGAAATGTAGTAGGTTTCGGAACAATGCTGCCTTCTCACTGATTTTCGAACTCTAACGAATATTTACTTTGCATCAGTTTTTCCGTTAAAAACTCTGCTTCACCTTCAATGCTTTAGTTGTGCAAATATGATTAATTATATTGAATAAATCGTTTAACAACCCTTGGTTGTTATTGATCTGAAAAATATCTAGGAAAACTGAGACAGTTCCTTGTCCTTGTAAATTTTATTTATATGTATCATGTAAGTGAACCATCTTTTGTGCTAACACATATATCTAAGATAGGAAGTAAATTACTCATCATCTCTTCACATGAGCAACCGATATCTTTTTGAAGTATAATAATTATTTAATGGACATACATTAAGTACATTAATGTAGCCGAATTTCAGTTAATTAGTCATTGATTGAAACGTTAATATCTACTAACGTAGTACAATTGATAAATAAATATAGAAAGAAGGTATACACTATAACTTGATGTATAAGTTTGTGCATAATGATGGAATATTATACAAAATTATCTTCTTTTATCAATCGATAGATCAGCCAGTCAGAAAAATTCACCAATTATAAGCATTCACTATGTCAAGAGAGATAACTAACAGCTATATAAAGTAACGTCATCAGGAAAAGATTTATTATGATTATGTGGTAGAATGTCTCTGTCAAAAGCTTTAGTAGATCAACAAATTTTGAAACATTTAGTCCTTTTCTCATAAGTTTAGAAAATGTAATGGGAATGTGGAGTTTGTAATTGTATTTTAGCATTCTGTTTCAAAAGCATCATCTCAGCGAATGAATATGGAGTAAATCCAAAGTTTCTAAGCATTTTCAAGGAAATATAATCGAACATAAAAATTATCGACTGTAAATAAATGCATGATTATATTTCCTTGAAAAAGCTTGCACCAGATTACTGGGCGATATATCGGATTTACTTCACATTCATTCTCTGAGAGTCTATAAATTTGTTCTTCCTCCTTAATGTCTCACATCAATTCGGTGCCCAAATACTGTGGAACTAGTCAATCAAATTTAGACAAAAGATCTTATAAAATAGATTATTGTTAGGATTTTTGTTTATCTATGGATATTTTGAAGGCAGTTCACTCGATTTCTTTACATCAGTTTTTCTTTTTTTTTTAAAAGCCTAATCCTAGTGAATCAATCAACAAAATGAATATGAATGGACGATGTTTACTCAAAAGAAATGTACCAATTTCATTTTTATTAGATGAACAACAACTGACGACAACTAGAAAAACAAATATTATTCACGGACTGTTGAATTATTTCAAAGAAAATGAACAGCATGATAGTATGCATCGGGAGAATTCTATTGATAAGTTAGTTATAAATTTGATGAATATTTGAGCAAAAAATTGTTTTCATTAACTTCATCATCAGGCTCTACGGTCCATGATTATGATATTTTACAAAGGCCAAAACAAGGCATCCACTAATTAATTCGACCATGTTATATAATAATAATGGTGAACGTTTGTATCCATTACGACATAAATACTTCAAAATTGTGTTGTTTGTAAATTAGAAGGTCATTTAATAAAGATCAGAATGATTTGGAGTAAAGTGTCGAATCACAATCAGTATAATAATACCATAACAAAATGAAAATAAAAAGAATCGTGTGAATAAAATGCATAGTAGTAGGAGAATTTCGTCTTGTTGATCGGGGTAATAACGATAATAATAATAATACCAGAATGGGGGTTTTAGGAGATTGTAATAACTTTAATAGTTTAATTAATGAGTCGATCTAAGCTAGACCATCATTTGAAACCTGGAAGCACTTTATGACTGTTTCGTCCTAGTTTGAGATCACTCAGCAGTACGCTGTGATCAGTGGAGCTCAATCCGTGTCAGATAGAGACGGGTATCTTCCGCAGACAATGGATGAATGGTTGCACAAGATCATAGATCGATTGACGTTAGATATTAACACTGTTGGATGCCAGCTCAGTGTTCTAGAGGTTAGGCGTCCGTGCACGAGCTCGAAGGTCGCGGGTTCGAGTACCACGTGCAGGATCGTGGATGCGCACTGGTGTAGATGTTCATACTAGGACGAAAAGGCCATCCAGTGTTTACAGGTTTCCAATGGTGGTCTAGCTTAGATCGACCCATGAATTCAAGTATTATGATAATTATACCTACCTACGTACGTCTGTTACCTCTTGTGGAGGATCACAGGTCACCCATCGACACTCCTCATTCAACCCTGTCTTGGGCAATCCTTTCCAGTTGCTATTCATCCCTTTCATGTCTGCTTTCGATTCCCGGTGTAGTGTGTTCTTCGGCATTCCTCTTCTCCGTTTCCTTCCAGGATTCCAAGTTAGGGTTTGCTTCGTGATGCAGCTTGATGATTTTCGTAATGTATGCTCTATCCATCTCCATCGTCTTTTCCCAATTTCCTCTTCATTTGGAAGTTGGACTGTTCTCTCTCACAGTAGACTATTGCTGATGATATCCGACCAACGAATATTGGGTATCTTGCATGGACAATCGTTTAGAAATAGTTGTACCTTCTTGATGATGGTTGTAGTAGTTCTCTAAGTTTCAGTTCCGCACAGTAAAACTGCCTTGACGTTCGTATTAATGACTCTCACTTTGATATTGGTTGACAGTTATTTTGAGTCCCATATGTTCTTCAATTGTAGGAATGCTGTTGTTGCTTCGCCAATCCTTGCCTTTACGTCTGCATCAGATCCTCCTTGTTCATCGATGATGCTTTCTAGGTACGTGGAAGATTCCACATCTTCCAGAGCTTCTCCACCAAGTGTGATTGTGTTGGTGTTCTCTGTGTTGTATTTGGGGATCTTGCTTTTTCATTTGTGTATGTTGAGGCCTACTGATGCAGATGCTGCTACACTAGTTGTCTTCATCTGCATTTGTTCGTGTGTACGGGATAGAAGGGCTATAATAATAATAGTAATAATAATATCGTTTTGTGAATATAATATGTAATAAGAGGGGTGTTATCAAGGTAATTACGATGAATAAGAATTCATGCGAATTCGGAAAGATGAATGTGAAGATTAAGAAAGATATAATCAAAACTTGGGAGGGATTATGAAGTTTGCAACATCCAGTTTCGGTATCCGGTGATCCAATTGTATGCCAAGCTAAACATAGAGTCTGGATACATAAGTTCGGCTTTCTGGAGTTGATCCAGATGGCTTCAACCATATAGAGTAACCGTAATCTAGCTTCTTGTAGTAGACTCTTTGGAACTTGAGATATCATGGTTGAACTAATGCTTAATGGACATCTGGTAGGTAGTAAACTATTAATAAAGTCTAACATTCATCAATTGGAATACTAGTGTACGAAGATACGACATCATAGCTTGTCGTTGTTTTGTTCTCATTGATACATAATTCCGAGATCGTTGACTCAAAGTTGTAAGAATTTTTTACGACATTATTTGAATTATTTTAAAATGACTTTGATTTACTGAATGGATATTTATGAAGTTCACCATGGGTGCTAAAGGGATGTCAGGTTTGTGAAATTTTTGTAGCCCATGAGAACGTGGTGTGGTGTTGGATTCAGGCGCAAGGAGACGGCAATAAATGGCTAGAACGCATCAAAAATTTATATAAGCTTATCAGTTTCAATCCTCACTGAATTATATATCTCCGTTCCCAACTTCTACGAAACAGAGATTAGTTATCTAGATACAAAAAATTCTAGGGAATTTAAAAGTTATCCTGTTTCTAGTAGAGCGATTTGAAAAATTCTTTATTGTCTTGGATTTTTATTTAATAAAATTCAATGAGTAGATTGTTAAAATAATTACCTTTCAAATTTGGAACAACTACTGTATAACGTTACCCTGCCTTTTGTTTTAATAACTGTAGTCATGAAATCTGAGTGAACATGAACTAAATGTGTTGAATACTTCCTTACATTTTAATCCTTTGCTTGATAATATCAATTCATCAGAGTAAATTACTCTTACAATTAATTACTATTAGAAAAGGGGTTTTGTAAAGATTGTAGTAATTTAAGTTGGATTCATGAGTCAATGAAAGCTAGACCACCATGGAGAACCTGGATGCACTGAATAGCTAATTTATCCAAGTATAGGAATTCACAGCACTGTGTAGCCACGAGTCCGCACGTAGTACTCGGAACCAGGACCTTTGAGCTCGTGCACGAACACTTAACCTTTAGACCACTGAGCTGACATCCAACAGTGTTAATGTCTAACTCCAATCAATTCACAAAATTGCGCTACTGTTCACCATTGTCTTCAGTGAGTCACTGCCTCACAACAGACGCGGTTGAACTCCACTGGTCACTGTTTCTCACTAGAACTCCAGGAAACACCCCTTGAGGTCAGTCACCAGTAAGCACATAATGATTGTTATAAGAAGGAGGTTTTGTGAAGGTTTTAGTAATTTAATAGTTCAATTCATAAATCGATGAAATCTAGATCACCAGGTTTTCCATGATGGTGTAGCTTTCATCGACTCATAAATTTAACTATTAAATTAACTATTAATTTGAACAACTAGTTGAAATTCATGCCTAACAAGCCATTTGACTTGTAAAATATTAAAAAAAGCGACGATTCGAGTACAATAACATAGATTTATCTTATTTCTTTGTATTCACAATTTGTTGTTGTTATTATAATCTGTAATATTTTAAAATCAAAATTTAACAAGCTAATAGAAATGAAGTAGATTGAAATTTAACATTAAAATAATATCAACATTATATAGTAAACTTTCAGAAACATGAAAAGATTCAAGTAAACAATATCAAGTGAATTTAAACTTCACCCCATTGCACAAGCAACTGGCTATCAGGACTCAGTAGGTAAGTGGATCACGTGGTGGTGTTTGAAGCGAATGGTGCTGGGTCCGAGTCCCAGAGTGAACGTCAACTCTGAGGTGCAGGTAAATCCAGCTGACGTATCCCAAATAGCAGAAAACGCGCGTCGTGGATCCCACTGCTAGACACTATCTATCTTTGCTTATAAAGATGAAAAGAGTTAATCGAATTTTGGAAATATTTATATATTTCAGTATAAGTTTCCAGGATGTTGATTAGAATAGTAGTAAAAGATTGTCGAGTTAAAATTATAAAAAAACAATATGATGATATAATTGAATATAAGTTAACAACCATTGAGAATGATATGAACTAAGCTAAGTTAGTTAAAAACGAGATTATGAACTAGGTTAAATGATATGATTATGTTGTAAAATATAAGATAATACTGACTTTCTGCTCTAGTTATGTGTTCATTTAACTCACCCTAATATTCATAAAATCCAGAATCACAAACCTATCAGCCTTCTTATTTATATAAGGTAAAACTGATTACATCCTAGTGATCACTTAATGCAGGTCTGTCGTTATTTTTTCTGAATTGGACTATGAGCAAATATTCATCTGATTTAAATATATTGTCAAATTGTTAAAAATACTTTAAGCATGGTTGTTGAGCCTATCAGAATTGCCCCATCCCAACTGGGAAATATTAACTCATCGTTTAGTAGATTACTTTTTGATGTTATATTTATTCCCCAATATTAATACGTCTGTCCAATGTATTGTGGTGTGTAATCGATGTATTCTTTGATATTGCTATAGGAAGATAAATTTAACCCTGAAAACGTGAACTATTTACCATTACGTTTCGAATTAATTAGGTAGATATTTATCTATCAAAGCAGATAATATGCAAACAAAAATATCTCCTACTTTACATCACAGGATGACCTCAATAGGACGACTCTTGAAAATCAGAAAGCATAGAACATCTGTTTTATCCCAGTATGGAACTTCTGAATAGTAAACATCAATGGATCCGAGACAGTCACCCACCACACATCCACAACACAACCGAGGATAGAACTGAAATTGCCCAGGTTCCCTGGTGAGCACTCAAACTTTAGACTATTGATTCGATATCCAATAGTCTACATGTCTAACTTCAATCAATTAGCAATATTACTCAATCATTTTCTTAAGTCATCTGTAGGTATACGCCTTAGATGAGTGAATGCAGATTTCCTTGAAGTCCCAAAATAGGATAAATAGCTGTCCATTTCTCCCCGGTTTTCAATGATTGTCTAGCTGTCGTCAGTCCGTAATGCAAACTATAAAATTCATTATTTTTAAGAAATCCTCTGTACCGAAAAACACGTTGCTGCATGATTTACGAGAAGCATGAAGCTTAAAGTAGATATTCACATAATTATAATCAAGACAACAACAAAAGGTTCTTAATAGAGCATCCAGCTGAAATAAACACGAGACTATCACAAATACAAAAGTACAGTATAAATTCTTATGTGCACACTGATTTCTTCATCCCGGTCGGAAAACAAAAATCAATCTGTTAATCAAAAAAGTTTTCCTAAATTTCATACACATAGTTCCCTTAATCATTTATTTAATTAATATAATACAACTTGTATGCTATCCACTTTGTTTATGGTTCCGTTTTATTTTTCTCAGTTCTATAAATTCATCCACCGAGAATCTTACAGAATTAATGAATCAAAATGATTCAACACTACCTCGAAATGAACAGAATTTAACATATTTCCCAAATAACTTATCTAATCTAAGTCAATCAAATTTATCATTATTGTCAACCCCTTCGAATCTACAGTATTCTTCTCCTACATCAACAGCAAATCAAATGAAGAAGAGTGAAAACAACTGGACAGAAGAAGTCACAAATGTCAATGTTGAGATAAACAGTAGTGATAATAATAGTAATAATATGGTCGGTTACAGTTCGATTGGAACACTGACAGATGAAAGTATTCTATTTCCTTTGATTCCATCAAGAAGAAATAATTTATTGAAATTTACATATTATCTGAAAGGATTAACTCATTTAGTCTTAGAAGGGATTTTTTCTAAAACAATATTTGAAGTAGTTGATGATGATAATAACGATAACAATGATCATGTGTATAAACTATCAAACGTTATTGAAAACAACAGTAAATTTGAGAAACAAACAAACGAATCAACAGAACATGCGAGTAATTTTGATTGTTTTTCTTCACTAGTCAATCATTTACAATGTATCCAATCAAATAATAATAGTATTGATAATAATAATAATAATAATAATAATAATAATAATAATAATAATCTCATTATATCTAGAGATGACGATGAAGATGAGATAATGACACTGAAAGAAAAGAAGGTAATGATTCATTAAAATTGTTAAACTTCAATCGTATTGTGAAGCTAACTATTAGAAATGTGAATTGGAATGAATTTGTAATTTGTATACATAAATTACATGAATTACTACCACAATTAAAGGTAATCAATTGTCTGTTATTATGTAACTCAGTAGTTTACACTAATTACTAACTAAATAAACTAAATTATTATGTGAGTAAAAGAGCATAGATGATAACGGGGTTATGTAACTTTATAATGTTTAAAATAAGATAGGGATTATTTACTGTACAGTAAAATCGACTGGTTTATGAAGATAATTTCTATCTACATAATATTATATGATAGTTAGTCTTATCTGGACTTATAACTATGAATAAATGGTCAATTCCATTATGTTCGCAATAAAATGCCGTAGTATATATATTAGGATCATTAATTTACAACTCTGTAGCTCCCAAATGACCTGGTACGGTCGAGGGTGGGAGAATCCGTTCTACCTCTCAGAATGTTCTCACATGGCCACGCGTATACAACCACTCCCGGGGAAGTTCTCCTCAATGCCTTCTCGCGGTATAGATGTTACTTACGAAATTGAGAGGACTAAAGCGAATGTCGACGCCTTAATAGGGTTGACGGGTTTCGGATAATCCACCTCGGGGAGTTGGAAAACCTTAATTCAAAACCGATGGTGCGAATAGGCTCCAGGATCCTGAGGGAAAAAATTGCATATGCACCTAATGTTAGTCACTGGCTACCATGGCACTGCATCTCCTGACGTTGCTACATTACCTTGTGGATTAGACCTCTAGGTCAAAGGCTTGGGGAGTGGCCTCGTGAAAAAACCACCTGCTTTGATTTGGGCACCCGGACAGTATACCAGCCCTCACTCAAGTCGAATGACAAGGTGTGGTGCACTTACATTTGGTGCACCCTTGTACCAATGTTTGTGTGTTTAAATAAACAAATAACTGTAGGTATTGTGATCTTTGAGCCTTCACCGTTCTTCCAAATAACGTCATCAGTACGTACTGCAAAGAGTACAGACTGGTGATGTTCAGGGTGACGAAATATTGGATGAGGTATTGAAACCTTATCAAACGAGGTAGTCGTAATTCGTATCACTGACTGATGAATGAGATACACAAGAGACTATAGTATCGCCATGAGTAGAATACAACTGAATCGCTGAATCAAAATCCAATGATGCCCATTTGTTCCAAAACAAATTTCTGGAACTTCTTGTGAGAAGATGTAACTCTTCAATAAGGCAATAACTCATAGATAACATTGAATAAGAATGTACTATATCACAAATGAGCTGAAGTTATCAATATGGATGACTGAATTCCAATTTAACAAGTGAATAGTCTTCTAAATCCACGAGATCTAAATTTCTTGACTTCAGCCATTTGTGCTTCAAGAGTAGGATCTCAGAAAATGTCAAAAACACTTGATAATGTATTTTCTGAACTGAGTAACTTGACTGTGAAACATTTACTCTCTTTCTGAGTAATATTATCAACCTAAAATACAAATCGTTTCCATTATTTCAAAATCTCTAACTAGAATAAAATGGTACTCCAGCGTTCTTTCATTTTTTCAATGGTTATTCAGATAAATTCGATTTATGATGAAGATTATCTTCAGAGGAAACAATTATTCTTTTCTACGATTATCAGAAGGGGTTTTGTGGAGATTTTAGAAATTTTGCTGATTGAAATCATGAGTCAATTGAAGCTAGACCACCATCGAAAACTTGGAAGCATGGACGGCCGTTTCTTCCTAGTATAGGACTCCTCAGCAGTGTGCATCCACGGTCCCGCACCCCATAGATGCGTACTGCTGAAAAGTCCCATACTACAACGAAACGGCCGTCCATGCTTCCAAGTTTTCCATGGTAGTCCAGCTTCAATTGACTCATGATTTCAATCAGGAATTTTCTACAATTATTGTGAATATCAGTTTTTTTCTCAAATGGAGTTTTTTCTCTATCATACGTATATATCAGGAATTAAATCTTGAAAATAATGGACTTAAATATTTGCATCAAATTACTGATCTAATTGATTTTGAATATTTAACTGCATTACATATAACTGGTTCAAATAGTAATCCAATTGTTGAACAAGCTGGTCAATTATGGCGTCCATTTATTATATGGAGTCTTACTGATTCATTAAATTTAACATTTTTAGACGGTCAACTTGTAAGTAATTCAAATATTCTATAAATAATATTGGTTCGTTTTAATTATATAACATGTTGTATATTCAGAAAAGATTACCGTAAACTATATGAACGACTACATTGCAAAGAATTAATTAATTCATATCACAAGGGTTTTGTGGATATTATAGTAATTTCAATGGTTGAGATCATGAGTCAATTGAGAGTATGTTTGTACGCTTCTTATCCTGCTCATCACATGTCTGTAGCTTATTTTTGTGTGACTATAAATATTGATTAACGCTTGATTAAATGAAGTTGGTTCACATGCTTTCTCCGCCGCGCATCGTTTCGCTTCTCTCTCTTCTTTTCACTCCGCTCTATTCCAGGATCTCCTGTTCAAATCAATGAGTGCATGAAATATACTCATTCAAAATTCATTCTCGTATTTCGCTTATTTAATTCCGTTATTCACGAACGCGATCTAAGTCAACAGTTATATACGAGAATAGTCAGGATATATATTCCGACAGCGAAAATTCATACGATGTAATTGAAATCAGATCCCGGGCCACTAAAAAAGCTATAATATAATACCATAACAGATTGGACTTTTAAGTAATACGTTTTATGCCTGAATCCTATTGTAAGAACATTTTGTATTAATTAATCTAGCTTAATTAGTATAAAGTGAATACTCTATCTGTTCGAAATTCACTAGACTCTTAGAACTAGATAACAATGACTGATATTTGTCATCACCATTCGATGAATTGATATACAACTAAAAATGAATCAATGATAACGCATTGCTCTGAAGAGTTTTATATTAAGACAAAATAACTATTCAAAGTTACTACGAATTTTAATGGTTATATAACTGATACCTGCTCGTTCTGTCAGCTATTTCTAAACCAGAAATCTAAGCAAACCTTGCATTCTGAAAGTAAATATTTATCCCTGATTCTCACTATAGACACCGTAGAAATTCGGAATTCAGCGATCGAAATTGAACCCAAAACTACTGAATTTAAAAGGATAGAATAATATTAAAGCTGAACTTTATTTCAAAAATCGAACAGACCTCTAAAAAAATGTTGGCAAATTTTGAATAATGAAGTTATCTGGATGTAATTAAAAGGAAAATAGGTCTTTCAAATACAACTAAGATTAATATTATGCATTTGAGATTTTCTCTTCCATTAAGTAACTTATTAAAGCTATACCGTTTCCCCCATAGTTTTTAGGGGCATGTAAATTTATAATGTAATCGACAAGTATTGAGTCATTTCAAACGTTATTGAAAATATATTCCAAATATCAAGCAGAAATTAAATAGTACAACTAGGAGTAATATGAAACCGCGAGGTGGTGAAATATAAAATATTCGGAAGATATTAATCCACTTGACAAATACTATAAAGAAGTTCCGAAGAACGAATAAGACCCAGTAATTCATCAAAATAGGAACTTTTTTAAGTTATAGGTGTTGGACACTTTGTTTTCATGCGTTGAAATCAATCTTCAAATAATTTGACAACGGTTCCACGTTTAGCAGGTTGTTGATCTGTATTCCTGTTAATTCTGAAAAATACTCAAGAATGGTCAACGTGACCATAGTTTAATAAGTGTTCGAAAACAAAAGTGCTGATCGTTTTACATTGGAAGTGTGTTTTAGGGCCAAACATAAACTCCTGTATAAGAACAACTAAACTGATAAATACTTGTTGAGTCCAAGAGGTGGCTCGTGCTTAAAACATCCTTCAATCGGCTTTTTGACTAAAGAAGATAATATCGAAGTTCCAAAGAGCAGATATCTGAACACACTATTCTTTTAAATCTCTGCTGCAGCATCGAATTTGAATTATACGTTCAAAACGAAGTTTCTTAGGCACTGTATTTGTTTTTTCCTTGATCCATATACTATGGCCAAGAAACAACTAAAATTGAACACAAACTGAATGAGCGTTAAGTTCTTGGAAATCTTAGAACCATAAACATGAAAAAGCATGGGAAAATCAATCTTCCACTAAGTATCTATCGCCAACTGGATATACAAGTTGAACTTATCGCCCCCATCTTAGATTAAATTTTACATTCGAACATTCTTAAGTTTATTCAGTGTATGTGATAACACAAATCCACAATAAAAAGGAGAAAAACTGGGATATATTAAAAGAGAACAATGACATTGTAGTTCGTCTTTATCTCAAAAACCGACATCCAGAATTTTGTATACAGAATTATGTGGAAACTACTACCACCAAGACACTAACCAATGATCCAGTTTTCGAAATATTAACATACAGATCTGAAGCAAAAATCTAGAAAGTAAAGTCAGTATACACAGTTCTGGAATACTTTCTCAATAAATTGAGTTTAATGGCATGTAGAGAACTGTTTATACATAAATAGTAAAGAACAAAATTTTCAAAATAACATGAATTCATTATATTTCAAGGCTGCTTATCAGCTTATGAATGACCATACTGACAGCTTGGCATCCTAGAAATACACTGTAATTAGTTCTGCGTACATTTTTACTTCAAAAAGTAAACCACAAAAGAATTTTATTTCAATCTCTACTGATTGAGCAGTCCTAAGCTATCTTATTTTTTGATATAATTCAAGCGTGCTACTGATAACAAGTAAGTAGTTTAAAATATTTTACATATTTTGAACCTCAAATGTGAGATTTGACTTAATTATATAGTATTACCTATAATTTAAAATAGATTAACCGAATGAAGTAAATGAATCGAAAAATCTATTCAATTTATTTTACGAGAGAATAAAAATGCGTAACTCCTACTGTACAACATCAAACCAATATTTTTATAATAAATTAGAAACTATCAACCATATAAGTAATATGATGAATAATAAAATTCCAATGAGTGATGTAAATAAAGATGATTATAGTTTAAGAATGGTCAATTCAATATCATCAACAACATTACCAAAAACAATACTAAATCCTTATAATAATAATATCAATAATAACAATAACAATATGGATACAACAATGGAAACGACATCAGTGCATACTACTTCTACGCTTGTTAACTGTAGTAGTTTTGTTGAACAACAAAATCTATCACTTACAAAAAACGAACCAAATAATGATAATGGGATAACTAGAGACAATTCAGTGGATTCAATAAAACGTTCATCTTGCGGTGAATTCAAATTAAATGAAAGTTCAATAAATGGATTCAAAGAAAATCAAAATAATATCTACAATATGACTCCAGCATTAAAACAAGTAAATAAAATAATATTAATATTTTCAATTTACTACATTCTTTGATAGACTGCAAATAATTAAAACAGTTTTTGTTTAAGTTTCCAAATTACTACTCTTCTAAAAAGATGGCGATGACTATTATATGTTCGTACTTAAGATGGAACATTGTTTTGTATAATGTTACGTACCACGACGCACAATGCTGACTAGTGTTGGATACGGATTTAAGAAAGTTAGACTCGGCCAAACAAAACATGGCATCAGCCCATAAAGTTATTAACTTCTTGTCTGAGCCATGTTGGTAGATGCAGACTACTTGGTTGGGGTCCGCATGATTATCGTAACCAATGGTTGGAGACTCTTGGTGACATGGCTCAGAATCGATCACAATGGTGTAGGCGTATACACTCTCTGCATTCTCTTAAACTAAGAGATTAAAATCGCTTCATATTTTTATTTCTACAAACTAACTTTATTCCTGTACTATATCCTTATATGCAATCTTTCCTTTATATAATAAACCATTGAGTTAATTGCACCTATGAATTTGGTGTTCATCTTTCTGTGCTAATGAGGTGTGGCAACTTGGACCGATGCATAAATGTGCCTGGTCCTACGTTGTAACTGACTGACTGACTTAAGTAGACAAACTCTAATTCGTAAGAAATTTAGAATAACTATTTCGCTAAGTGAAAAACATTGTTCTGTAGGAAAATCTATCGAGTTTGGACGTTCTGTATGATTTTGTAATGTTTTGTGATTATTTGTGTTTATCAGTCAATAGTGAACTCCCGGTTGAATAATTAAGCTGGAAATACTTCATATTCGAAATCTTGATCATTTGAACAAAATGAAATGTCATCAAAATACTGATTCTTTTTTTCCTGTTTTTAATTAGAGTATTAATTTCAAAATAAAAACTTAATGACTAAATAATTAGCGCATTAAGTGTAGTAATTTTAGTTATTCCTTCTAAGCGTTATAATTAATTAGATCAACGTTTAGATTTGATAGATTTACAAGTTCATCTGTATTTTCGCTACAGATTATTGAACTCAATCAGATCATAACATTCGTATACTCGCATACTACTTCACCGTTTTATACTAAAATGAACTAAATACTATGTTGATGGAGTTTTGTTCTCTGAGCTGGATGGTTTGGTCGTGGAGCTTCCATTGTTCTTCTGAACATCATCGCACAAACTTCAGACTACTATCTGAGCTACAAATCTTCTCCACCATCTCAGAACTGAATACTATTTTAAATCAAGAAATTCAGTCAGTAACATATCCATATGTTCTAAAATCCAATTATGCCATATTTTTTAATTTATTGGTATAGCTACAAGTCTTAGAAGAGGATGATTAGTCGTGATAACCATGTAGTTATATAACTATTAGTATCTGTTGAAAATACAAATTATATACTACTAACTAGTAATATTTTACTTAATATTTTAGTTAGAAAATTTAAAAAATGGAATACAATCTAACGTAGACAAGTTATCTATAAAAAATCAGCTTTTAAAAGATTGGCCATCTATACTAAAACGATTAATTTATCAGGCAATAACGGACAATCACACAACTACTAATAAACTTTAATTAAAAGCAATCATCCTATGGGATTGTTGCGTATGAGTAAGTGTATACAATATTACCTGTTCTGTAGAGCATCTTATTTCACTATATTTTTCTACACAGAATGCAACTTTTTCAGAACTACTTAATGATTCTTAAGCCTTATGAATTATTTATGTATAAACCTTTTCCAAAAAAAGTGTTCCGTTCTGATGTTTGTTTAATTGAAATATATATATATATATATATATATATATATATATATATATATATATATATATATATATATATATATATATATATATATATATATATATATATATAATTGAGCAAAGATGGATAGTGGCTAACAGTGGAATGAAGGACTCGCATTTCTTCATTAGCTGCTACCCATCTTTGCTTAAAAAGCCTGTGACTTAAGGCTATATCGAGGCAATCCGTATAGGATGCACATATGCCAACATGAGACTGATCAATTGCAGTCCTAAATAACAATGGGAAGATACAAGTAAAACAACACCAAGTGAATATATAAAATTGGTTTAAAAAAATTCATTTACTAATATATCTGATGCAAGTTCAGAGATAACAAATCAACAAGAGAAAAATCATGATAGTTACATCATATATAGTTATGGGGAAAGAAATTCCAAAATAAAAAAAATTGATCAAAGCAAATTTAGTTACAAAAATATTTCCTCAGTTGTCAACAGTGACTATACTAATAGATGATTTGATCTAGATGACAGGAACCCATAAGAAGTGGTTAGAAATTAACACATATTCCTATCCGTTAAATCAACATAATATCAGGGGCTTAATAATAGCATGTGCATTTCTATTTGATGACGTTGAACTGTTTCTTTATTGAATTTTGTTTGGTTTGGTACTAACGTTTTCGGTGAAAAATTGTGAGATTGTATACCAAGGCGTCCTAGTCCTTGAAAGTGATATCAACCTACTGTATGTGTAATCGTTTACGGAGGTATGATTTAAGCAATAATCTCTTTGTTCACTGCTATGCTTAGTGCAGTACGGACTTCTTATATTATTTAAACAATATCCCCTCTATTTTCACATACATTGTATAAACATTGTGTAATAGCTAAACGAAATCCTTTGTACATTACCAGTCTGTATATACATGTATTCAGTTGTCTCGTTAATTTTATTTTAAGAACCTTTTGCTGCATAATAAGTATGGCAGATAGTGTTCTGGAGCTTTTGTATTTTTATGTATATAGTATTTTAATCAGTCTACATCTGATTCCACCAGAAGAAATACAATTAGTAAAGTGTGACGAAGCTAGTAAATTGTATTTGATAAAACAACCCAATTAATTTATATGTTATCTTACTTAATTTGTTCAACGCCTTGAAATTACTATTTAACGGATAAATCATAACATTTATGATTCTTGATCAACCAGTTCTATTCACAATACAATCACACTAAATGTACATCTCTCAGTTTATAAACAGATATTTATCCAATACTAAAAGCAGCATAATCTATAATTACAATACATATATGTAAATTGAAATCACATAATGGTTAGTTCCTATAAAACCAAATCTTAAAGTTGACCCCCCCTCCTCAATATTACTACTTGTTCACAGTAACTAAGATAGAAAAAAATAATAATTTTTTCCCTCAAAAAGTCACTTCTTTTCTAAACATATACATATATTTATATAATTTATATTCATATTCAATAATAAGAAAGAGACTTAATTCAGATCAGTACAGTTATATATACATACATATAGATATATATATATTATAATATCGATGAAATATACATACTAATGTATCGATGCATAAAAATAACCACAATAATACTAATTAATGATAAAAACAATAATATCCTTCTTTTCTTTTTTTTTCTTTAATGAAGAAATGCAGGAAATTATTTTTTTTTAAAAAAAAGAGAAGACAAAAAAACAGAGGGAAACAAAAAAAGAGAGAGAATGATTTGTATTTTTATAATTTTTTGTACATAAAAAAGACAATAAATTTCAATGAACTGAGTTGTTTATTTTTTCTCTCTTATTATATAAATAATTTTATAAAAATCTAACAAGTAATTCATGTGTATATATAGATGGATGAATAAACAACCGGTTGATCATTAAATAAATAATAAATAAATAAAAAAAAAGAGAAACACAATAAAAGAGGAGAATGTGACTGACTGACTGTATCATTGAAACAGTAAAATACACAAATACATACATGTATATATATATATAACAGAAATTAAAAGTATCTTCTTTTCATATAGAGAGATATATAGAATAGATTAATTTAAATATTTTCTACAAGAATAACTGCCACAATTGCACGGTAATTTATCAGATTCTTTAGGAAAACGATAATCATATGTCAGTTCTTCACCAGGATAAATTCTATAAATAAATAAATAAATAAGTAGTATATGAAGGAAAATATGTATTAACAACAAAACAATTAGAATGTCATAAAGAGAAACTTTTAATTTATTGAGCAAAATACACTAACAACAAACAAACACAAGTTCACTTGATCTGAGAACAAGAACAAAGACTCAGTGACCAAGACCAGTAAGCTAGTTATTTGATGCGTCCCAGCCCCGCTAACTAGAGGGAGAAGTTCAAGCTTGGAATGGGAAAGTATATTCTGCAAACAGCCAGCAACGAGCGATAACAACAAACACAATTCAAAACGTATATATACAGTGCAAAACCGTCCTTGGAGAGAGTTACTAAATAGCATACTAAAAAACACAACGGACCAATAGCATTTAAGATATTTCCCAGTGGGAAATACGACATGAAGGTGACAAGAGCGCCGTTGGCGCGAAAACAAGGGAATTCAAATTTCCTAAATAAAATTACAAAATTAGGTCCTTTCCCAAGTGAGTTCTGGGGATCTAACGTCCCCAACAACTCACTGTCAATAAACATGGTACAGTATTTTCAAAAAAAAATCGTATATGAAAGTGTAAATTACTTTAGACAGAAAAATAGACTGTCAGTTTCAGTTGTGTCAGTATAAACTATAGACTTTCTATACGAAATTTTTCAGATATTTGTGACACCTTAAGTGATTAGATGAGGTTACTTTTAGACATACCTAATATACAGTTTTGGTCTTAATACAGCAATAATAAGTTTACTTATTGGTTTACAATTTCGATTAAAACAAATAAAATCAGAAAAGTGTAATATCTGAGGACTGAAAACATAATAATAACATTAGTAATCGACAAAGTCACTGGATCTTCCTGTTCATGTAAAGAAAAACCTTTAATTGGAAATATTAGATGAAACGGATACAAGAATAAAGACCTGGACAATATTATTCATACAATTATTTTATTATATTCTGGTGAATTGTGTGAAGTAAACAAACTTTTAGCTAGCTGAGTTGTTTGGAAGGATTACTCTTCAAAATGAGGCAAGATATTATGAAAATGTTAAACACAAAAAAATTTACTGGAGTCATAGTAATCAGATGCCCAGCAATGACTAGCTTCGTAATGCATCTTCCAACGTTCTAATGTGAAGCTGTGATCTAGGCCAAGCAATATATCATCAAATCAGCTGCCCATACATACTCTCCAGTTGTTATAACAAAAAACTTCTCGACCTCTAAGTTTTATCTCTAAAAAATCTCCATATAAATCAATAATAAGGAAAATAAATTTTCTAAATAATAACGTATACATGCGTATTACTTACTTTCGTTGGGCCAATATAACAATATGCTTTTTATCATCAATCGACACAACTTTAGCATAACAATTAGGCTAAGTAAAAAGAAAGATGAAAAGCACTGAGATAGAAAAAAGACGGAAAAGGCACAATTCAACAATAAAAAATACCATAACAAAATCATCATTCGAATCAATAGTAAATACTATCTCGACTCCATGGGGATTGTTTAATAGTTTGTCTTGTCTATGTGTATTTAATATCGTATTATGCACTTCATTATTCTTGTTCAGAATTTGTGTTGAAAGATTCAGGAAAATAAAAATAAATCACAACTTGAGTCGATATTTAGTGGCCCATTATCTGGCTCCATTTGGATCGTTTCTAATTACTATCGATTAAGCCAGGCACTTAGAGTTCGTTCACCGAATGAGTGAAGTTCGAAATGTTCATCGTTTGTGTAGCTTTGCAGGTTACGTTTATTTCGAAGTCTGATTTACCACTTGAGTAGTGGTATGATGATATTATCGATTGAGTAAGCTACGTTGAGTGCGTTCGTCGAAAGTATGGAGTGCGGACGGTTATTCATTGGCGTAGTTTGATGCGTGAGGTTCATCATTGGCGGGCTCATCATTGTTGTGACCCTAGATCTATTCGGCTTACTCACCTCCACCGCACGTCATTTTGTTTTGCTTCGCTTTCCGATCAACGATTGTACGAAATATACGTATTCAAAAATCCATTATCGTATTTGGCATACGATCAAATTGGAGTCAGATAATGGGACACTAAATATATACATATTTGTAGATGATATCCTATAATGAGTACTAAAATTACGATTCATAAATGAAGTCATTTTTGTGAACACAACTTTTCATTATAATGCATTAGGAAATCTTAATAATTTATAAAGTAATCTGAGGAAGAATTCCTATTTGTTATGCATAAGTTGTAAGTGAATAGTATATTGAAAATTGTTAGAAAGCTGACTAGAATATATTTAAACATTATGAATTTGATAGCATACACTGACTAAGACCTTTTCATCAAATGTACATTTATTTCGTGAAACCAAATACAATTCTATACAGACACTTTTAAAACGATGAACGAATTCAGTCAATTATAAGTAACACAGAACTAGTCATATATGTACATCGGTTCCATACTAGCGAACTGAGATGAAATGGTCAAGATAAATTGCAGAATAGTTAAATTAGTAACAGTAGTAATAGAAAATATGATTTGAGAGAAAAGATTGAATTCGCAGAATAAACAATTTCTAAACTTATGATTTGGGTAGAAACAGAGAGTGTATGCATCTTCGTCACTGTGATAGACTCTGAGTGGTATATCACATAATATTTTTAATCAATGGTGACATTAAGTGTGAATAAATTAAACTGGAAAAAAGGATCTTCGCGATAAGCACCACCCAAAAAACACCCGCATTTTACGTGCTGTAAAGCAAATAATTTTAACAACAATTATACTGACTTAATTATTCACTATAAAAATTCTTGTAATATTAAAGGATGGAGATCGTGAAACTGCTCACAGACAACCATTATTATATATTGATCGGAAAAATCCTTGGTTGTGAGTTGGTTTTACAATTACCATTTTTTCTTTACACAAGAAAAAATAACATTTCATGTGATAGTTACCAAAACAGATAAACGCTAACTAGGTAAAATTGTAAGAGGTGAAGAAGAAAAGGAAATTCTACAAGTATTGTGAAATAACTTGGAGATTTCTGATTTCCATTAGTAGTACTGTAGTTCGATTAAAATATAAATATTTATAGATACAAAACTACACATACATCACATGCATGGTTGATAAATCGAGCAGCGTTTCCAGCATACGTAGCATCGATAACCCAATCTGGATCTATTCTGAACATGTAACAATCCACGCCAGTTGCTCTATATCTTAATTCGCGAGCATCACAAATAATACTTCGTATTAACTCTCCAGTATATTCAATAACCATTTCGTCTTCTCGAAATTCTCGTAAAGCGAATAAACCACGACCATGTATACGAGATGGATGTACAGATACACGATAAAATCGAGCCAATGGTCCTGATAACAATCGACTAAATTGTGTAGCAACCTTGAAGAGAAGAAGATCAATGCAGATAAATAAAGTCAAGTGATATTATTATTGAGATCATAAACCGATCAATTTTATACCATTATCTCCACAACCCTATACTGATGATATTATTATCATTGTTAATTGTATATACGGGAAATACTAACGATCGAACGGTTAGTCAGCATTTGTTAAAAGTGGTAGTTTTTAAAGCTACATGGAGTTGAACGAATTAAAAAAAGTATTTTTGAAATGGGATAAAGAGAGTTTAAGTTATCTAGTTTTTTTTATGACAAGCCAGCTCTTTTTTTTAAAGGTTAAGCTCGATAACACTTTTCTTATTCATATTTCTGAAATGACCCATGCTGTTATCTGATTCGTTATCTATCCTTTTAGTTAGCTAACTTTATGTGCCAAGTTTATCGTATGTTACTATGTAAAAATTATTTCTTTTCAACTTTTGACTTCTGTTCGTGAAACAAGGCTATCCCGAAAGTCTCGTCTTCTCTATCTATTATTACAGTGCAAACTATTAACGCTGGATCGTTGTTATTTGTCGGAAGCATGGTCTTTTTAATCGACGAGCACTAAGAATTGGACAAATATGAGATTGGTTACTGTATAGTCAAATAAATTACAGTACTGTGGGAAGTCAGTTTCAATTTAAATAGCTGTGATGACATCTCAAACTATGAAAATATCAATTCTTCGAAAATTGCATTTAACTCTTGTACTGACGAGTACTAACTAACATGAAATTTAGGTCCGAGATACCTTACTGAATAACCTCAACCACCTAACACTTCACAGTCCTACAAAATACTAATATTATACCATCAGAAAAGGACAGAAAAATAAATAGAAAGTTATCAAGTTCCCTAAAACCCACTAGTGGAATAAGCTATTACTAAACTTACTGTTCCTACATCGTTCTCGTCTTCTTCTTTGTCCTCTTCTTCTCCTTCATCTTCTTCTTCATGATTCGATGATACGGAACAACTGTCTTCATCATCAGAATAATTTATCCCAAACACTTGATCAGTAGAATTGACAAACTCACTGTCATTTACTGATTTTGGTGGTGTAGACTGTAATGGTATGCCAGTTGCTCGTACAACAGCTTTTGCTATACATGATTTACGCAGACGTTGTGGAAGCTTAAGTTGTGTTGCAACTAAGAGAGCAGCTTGACGAGCAGCTTCTCTACAAGTGGCTTGTTCATTAGGAGACAAAAGTTTAGCCGGCTCATTTGTATTAGCTAAGGATGGGTCTTGATAAGGAAGTAAATTATCATCACCTGAGCTAACTAAAGGTCGTGGAGGAGGATTAGCTTTACAATGAAGAAATCCAAGAGGATCATGAGCATGGTTGCGTGGACGACGAGGCTTCGTCCATGGGGCAGCGCGAGCACAGCCTTCAGAACAGGGTACAGGAGGAGTGAACTGTGAAATAAAACAAACATTGAATCAATAGAAATAACGTGAATGTTTATATAACCATTTGAATAGACTAATCACAATCAAGTATTTTACAACTACTTACAGTTTTGAAAAAACTATATAAAAAGAAAGTTAGTATTATCAATGAAATGAAGTAACATTAATCTGTTACCGTTTATTTCAATTATCATCACACAAAATCTCAACCATTCATTTATTTGCAACCACAAATAAGTAAAATATGAAAATATGAAAAGAGATGTTGTGGTATACCTTTTGACGTAATCGATCGATCTTCTGCCAGTGATATCGAAATCTATAACGATAGCAATGAAGCGCTCCACGCATTTGTTCGATTAGAAATATTGTATAACGATGATTTAAGCCGAATTGTGTCCATCCATCAATAGCTTTTTTTATTTAGAAGAAAAGAATACAATTATTAATACCAAAAAACCGACATCACAATAACGAGATCAGAAAAACATTTTTAAAAAGTAGAAATCATCTAACAGTTACAACTATAAAACTTAGTACAGATTTATGCAAATTAAGAATTAAACATGCTTTTGTGTGATAGCTGGTAAACATATAACCGGCAGTCACGTGCACTAGTCTCTAAATCACCGTTTCATAGAGTACAATCAGCTACTATTATATTACTGCAGTCAAAATTACGTGTGAAAATATAATTTACTATAAAAAGTTACGATTAAGTATTCACCTCAAATAGTATTGTCTTAGCGCTCGTACAGGTTGTAAACCTGAAATTTTCCAACCAAAACTATATATATATATGATACGAAAGACAACATACCTGTACAAATCAATGGCTTTAAACCTTGTTTTTCACGTAGAGCTGAAACACGCATTATCACAGCACGCCAAGCAGCCATTGGGCTATTAGCTGAACGTACCATACCATCAATGGAAAAGGTAAGACGAAATGATCTTGCCTATTAAATAGAAAAGAAAATAACTATTGTATAAAGAAAACAAAGATAATGTATTAATCCTATCACTGTTATTTTTATACTATGGAATGGATTAAACAATTTTATAAATATGCATATTGACAGTGAAAAGTTATGAAATCCATCTAGCTTTAGGAATAATATAAAACTCAATGACCAAGTATTATACACTTATTTACCAGCTAAATCCAATATAATCAATGATGGATGATTAACAACTACCCGGTGAACCGAACCTTACTCTTTCAAAACAATGCAAATCTGTGATCTGGAAAAATATGTATTATTATATGTAGGCTAAAATAAAATAGATTTTAGGAAACTGTAAAGCGGAAAAACTTTGTAGTTAAGTTTAGCAATAAGTACGAATACAAGATAATCATTAGAAGTCTGTTATTTATTTGTTTCAGTGTTTAAAGTCTAGTCATTTAATTAAAATAAAGAAAAGACTCACATGTTTCTCAACTTCATTCTGATAAAGGCGAGCATGATTAGCCTGTTTAGCCTTTGACACTAAATGAGCCAATTCCTGTTGTCTGATACGATCTTCAATCCAACGTCGTTTTCCTGAAGGTTTGGCAGACGAGGGATCAGAAGTAACACGAGCACTTTTATTTGCTTTTATTATTGGGTCATTTTTATTAAGGCGACTATTTGGAAGTTGTGATTGACTACGTCCAGAAGCTGCTGTTCTGTGAGAATATGAACTACCAGAGGACACAAGTGAAGATGAACGGGTTTTATACAAACGTTTATGAATAGAACCAGATCCATAGTCAGGATCATCGTCGTCACCAGTACCATCAAATTGAGGGAGTAGTTTATGTTCAGGTTGGGGTAATAAATTCTAATGGGAAATGAAAAATAATAAAGAATTATATAAGTAAAAGTCTGGAAATAATTATGTATTTGTAGAAAATTTAGAAGTGTCCCTGATAATGCTGGTGTCGTAGCACCTGATTCAAATTAACGCAAACGGTCCAAAATCTAGTGACAGCAACTATGAAAAAAGTCCCTTTCTGATCGATGGTGGCAAGAATTTTTCTAGAAAGGTTTGCATTTTTCATTAATAAAGTTCTTCATTCCGCTGTCAGTGAATATGTTTAAAGAAGAACACATGTTCGCTTCGTACTCGACGTCCAAAGTCACTTAATGTAACATATGAATATGTGTTATCTTTAGTCAGTTAAAGTAATCATAAAGAATTTTTTTATTAAGGTATAATATGCATTATATATAACTCGGATAAATATATACTGAAAAGCGTGGAAAAAGTGTAAAATCTAATTCACTTTCAAAGATAAACATAATACAACATAATAAATGGGGAAAATAGCTTACTGTTGAAACTACTCCTCGTTTATTCTGACTAACACTTGTAACATTGCCAATACTGAAATATAAAAAAAGTAGACAACATTATCATCAATACGTTTGACCATTCGAGAACTCATTTGGCTTAATGATTGCTCTTAAATATTTAAAGAAATGGTAAATACTATTTTTAAAGCAATTAGTCCCTTTTATAAATTTCGATAGAACAATGAGAAGACTATTTTGAAAGTTATTTTATTTCATAATTGAAGTAAAAGCTACTAAAATCTCAGGATTGGATTACTGTCATTAAAACTGATAAATCTCTTAACTTAATGCTTGATTCGGTTTCCTAAGCTCTTCTAATAACCCCAGGCTAAATCTACACAGCAACTTGAACACGAGAGAATAGGGGTGAAATATGGAAAGAACGCTTTACTCCAAGGTTAGTTTATGCACAGAAAATCTAAGGTATTTATAGCATTTCAGATGACCTTGAGCTTCTGGAAAGTTCTGGAACCCTTCTAAACACAGTAGCAGGATAGGTAATTATTCAATCAGAAATGTGACACGCGCATCGCAGGCCACATAGTTGGGTATCTATGAAAAATCGACCTTATGGATTACTACAATATAACATAGTTTTCAAGGGAGCACTGTTGTGAAGTTTAAAAATCTTAAAATATGGATAATAAATGCTAATTAGTCACACTTCTTTTTTAAATTAAGCAGAGTAAGATAAGTGAAGTACGGTACATATGTTGAGTTATCCTACTTCTCTAACGGCTGATGGCGTTCAGCTAGAAAATGTTAAGAATTGCAAATAAGTTTATCATCTTATCACTTACTACCGCCTATTAATTTCTGTGTTATATAGGGTATCAGATATTGATGTTCCCATCAGTGACAAGGCAATATAGATTCATTCTAAATTGATCTTTGTTATCAATTTTTAACACTAAATCATTCTAACTAGTTATTTAATTTCTAACAATACTATATGTAAACATGATCGAAAATAAATTATTTATTGTTAAAAATAAAATATAAAACTCACTTTTGAAATAAACCATCTAATTGTGTTGCTAATTGTGTATCTTTTGTCGGTGTTGTCAATATTCCACTCTTTTGATTTAAATGAACATTTTGAATACGTATAACAGTAGATCCAATAGATTTATTATAAGGCAATGTTAATGATTTATTATTATTTGTATTAACTGTGATAGGGTTGACAGTGGTACCGATATGATGTGTAATTATATCACCATTATACTGATTTACAGGGATTATTGCAGGAGATAAAGACAAATTATTATTGTTATTATTACTATTAACAGATATAATATTTGGCTGAATTTGATTAGGTAAAATAAATGTTTTTCCATTATATGCATTCATCAAATGAGATTTGTAATGTTGTTGTGTTTGTTGTTTATTAGAAGAAATTATATTGGTATAATTACTTTTATTAAACTGTGTACTATTAACAGAAACTGTTATACATAAAACGGAAGAAAAAGAAGAGAAAAAATGAAGTACAAATCATTTGATACTGAACAACACTAAATAGTAAACTGTAATAGATCTGTAACAGATGCTTGTTGGTACCACTAATAACAACAAGAGTGACTATACACTCAGAGACACAGTAATTCATTTAGAACAAAACTAGGACATCAGAACCATTTTTCGAACCAGATCATTTAGCAAATTATCCATGGAAGTGCTAACTATCACATTTCCCTAGTAAGGTTATCTGCATAAGTGAAAAGCAAAAACGCATGTCTACTGTTTAAACCCTGGTTGAAGATATATATAAGTTTCATCTGAAGGAGACAGGAAACTCTCTAATCTCAGACCATTTAGGTATATTGGTTTCAGAAGCCTAGAACAATAAGGGACTCAGGAATCTGATGTAGCAACTACTTATATCGGATTTAAGTGCTTGAGTTATATTACACCCGTCACACAAGACTAACGTTTTTATGTTAAACACAAAGGTTGGATGAAGCTATTGAATAGTGTGACAAACGTAAAATTTGGCAATAAGTTTGCTCGTGGAAGAAATGACGAAGAAACCCTCAATCGAGTATTCCAAAGTAATCGTCTGATCTTCAACTAATAGTTTAACAAGCAACTAGGTATTCAAAAGTCAAATGAATTAGAGAATGTTACACAATAAATTATTTTACAACCGCTGATTCATTTTCATGAATATCTAATCTAATATCTTTATATACATGAGAAATAACATTTAAAATAAATTTAACAAACAAAAAGTTTACCTATAGAAGGATTAATCCCAATTTTGTAATTTAATTCTGTAGGTACAATATTATTTATACTATCGGGCGTAGTAGTTAGATTAGTGGCATTGACGTTCATTGGTATCTGAGGTGTAATGTGAACTGGGACTAAATTTTTTTGAGGTGTTGCTAACAGCTGACGTTGCTGTAAAATCTGCTGATTCTGTTGCAAATTCGATGAAGGACAAAGTGATACTGTAATAAATCAATGAAATTACGATATTACAATGACATAATGCTTGGTGCGAAGCATAAAAAGAATGTTTAAATAAATAATAAAAGTCAAGAACACACGCATAAAATTATAAAACAGATAAACGTCAATAAAAATGCTTTCACATAATAACACTTAATGAATAGTATGTACAAAACCAAAATATCGAAGTAGTTATGTCAATTTCAATTGATGATATAATACCAGTATACCATCCAGTATATTGATAAGTTGTATTCACACTGTCGTTATTATTCTACATTTGAGAAATACAACAACAATTTTATAAGTCTAGAAGCATTGTAATAAAATGATAGAATTTACAACAATTATATACCAACTTAAATGAAATAAAAATAACAAACGCATTAAAACTACATTGGGGAATTCAGTGAATTTTGTCTTTCCTATTTACGCAATTTATTTTCATCAGGTACAAATTATTGTATATGGTTACGAGTGTAAGCGCTAGTAATACTGCCTAGTTTTCAAAATCAAAATAAGTAGGATGCGGTTTGAAATGGTGACTAAGTGGATGAAATTAGAACGGCTTAACTACTGACCCCCCCCGATCTATCGACAGTAAAGAACTTAATACGAGTATTCTAACACAATAATTCATTTCATAAGAAATTCTTCTGCATACACACACATATAATACTTGTATTCACAGGCATTAGAATGAGGATTTATTTGAATTAACTAATTTAAAATTATGATTTGTGCAGAACAATAAGTTAAGTGTAAACAATGACATAAAAATTTTAGTCCGATAGCAGTTTATCACACAGCACGACAAGTACTCTATTCTTGCATCATATTTAACAATGAGTATTACCAACTTGTGACTTCAACCTTCTAGAAGTGTAGATAGATAGATGACCAGTATAATAAGCACACGAAAGTTATTACATAAGACCTCAAGTTTTATAGTTGTAACGACTTCAGTCAATAGGACAGAGTCCAAATATGCAATATGTCTATATAGTTATACATCTATATCGGTGAGTGATGTGTATTTTAGTGATGTCAACGTCCCCTCTCTCCAAAATACCAAAGTAACTAATAACAACCAACACAGAACCATTTCCATTAAATCTAAAATAATATTACATATGATGTTGTGGTGAAAAAAAACAGTTAAATACAAAACAGATCTTACCAGTGTTTAGTATTTTCAATGACGAATTTTGACTGGTTAAAGCAGATGATTGAATAATCTGTCCTTGATTTATCGGGTTGTTAACTGTGTGTGCCATAAGCTGAAAACTACTAACTGGTAAAGTTGAATAAGATGCGACACTAACTAGGTGACCACTAATAGGATGACTCATCAAAAGAGGAGGTTCATACCCAGTTTGAGGAGAAACAATAGATGAGGCATTAGTTAGAATAGCTGTTAACGTTCTAGAAGCATCTTGAACTGGAGATAATGTATTATCAATACTTTTGACATTATTGTTAATACTACTGTTAATAATATTAACAGATCTGTTGTTCAGAGGAGTTAGCAGTCTGATACGATTATCAACATTGACTAGACGAGGATTTTTATAAACTGGAGTTGAATTACTAGGATTGACAACAGGCAATTTAGATAAAATAAAAGATTTATTAGAACTGACATTCGTGTTGGAAGATGGACGTGAAGTAGGACAAGTTTCCATGTAACCGGAAGTTGTATGTACTGTTTGACTCTGCTTTACTTGAAGAGTATACGGTATACGAGAATCCAACTTTGACCAACTCCAATAAATGCGCCTTGCACTAAAATAATAATAATAATAATAATAATAATAATAATAATAAAGATGAACACGTCATGTTTGATAACCCTAAGACAATAATCATAATATGAGGTATTAGACTCATGTAACAATCAGCAAGATCAATTCACGTTAATTGCTCGAAAATGAGCAAAATTTTAGAATCCAAACTTGAGTAGAAGAATAAAAGTCTACCCTAAACATAAAATAATGGTATATAGTGCTAAATACAAAATAGGTGTCCGAGGAACATCATCAAACAATACAACTGAATCCTACGTATTTCTGAATAAGCTGACAACTATAAAGTGAGAACACCTTTCTATGCAGAGTATATCTGATTGACAATCGATAGCTTTGATAGCAAATGAAAAGCATCTCTCTCTTCTTTTATCTAAAAATACAATGTATGAAAAATTCCCATACTGTGATTTAGAACACTATGGTCAATTTAAAAGCAAATCTTTACTCTTCTTTCATATTATACGTTCACTCTTATTTAAAATCGGCAAATGAATCATTTACGAAATAAACCCAGAAAAAGTATCTCCATTATACAAGTTTGAAAAACCTTTCTAAACATGTTTGTTACACTTGAATGGTGTTAAAAGTATAAGGGTGGTTATCACTTCCCGGTTGCCCACATTATGGAACGGTTCTTCTAGAGGTACCTGAAAAGGAAATTAGGTTAGAGGTGATCTTAGTGACCTGGTAGCATGACCGCAGTGCCCAAGTGACAACTGGTTAAGGCTGGTCACACACTACATTTCTGTGAGTAGTTTTCGTGCTAGCTGGAGACGGAAGTCCAACTTACGTCACCACCTATGACGAAGGCGAGATATCCGTCTGTCAATTAAGGGACGAGTATACTGCGCGGCAGTTCGTTCTATCCTACTTTACAGCAGCGAAACATGGCCATTAAGAGTAGAATATACTCGTAAGCTACTAGTATTTGACCACAGATGTCTTAGAAATATTGCTCGCATCTGCTGGGATCAATGGATAAGTAATAGTGAGGTTGGCGAATGATAATAGGGAACGATGGCAAATCAGTTCATGAGTTTGTGAATCTACATCGACTGAGATGATTGGGCCACGACGTATTACGCATGTCCAACCACCAACTACCACGATACGCAATTCTGACCAGTGTTGGATACGGATTTAAGAAAGTTAGACTCGGCCTAAACAAAACATGGCATCAGTTCATAAAGTAACTAACTTCTTTTCTGAGCCCTATTGGTAGATGCAGACTACTTGGTTGGGGTCCACGCGACTATCGTAACCAATGGTTGGAGACTCTGATTGACATAGCTCAGAATCGACCACAATGGTGTAGGTGTATGCACTCTCTGTCTTCCCTTAAACCGTGAGATTACTTTATACTTTCCTTTCTACAAACTAAGTCTTTCTCCCTGTACCAAATCCTTATATGCAATCCCTTTTGCTACCGTTAAAGTAACTACTTCTATGAATTTGGTGTTCATCTATTTGTGCTAATGAAGTACAGGAACTTGGACTGATGTATATGTGTGCCTGGTCCTACGTTGTAGCTGACTGACCGTTTGTTACAGAATGTTCCATATGTGTTTGAAACAATGTAACGATGTAATCCTCACTAGGTCGAATAAAAGTAAACAGAATTCAATATAATATACAGTTAGAGGATAGAATATTCTATAAAGGACATAATACCTATTAATATCGGGCAAACACTAATGTAACAAGCAACTTACCGGTAATTTATAGGGCACAAGTAATTGCTCCTAGTAACTGTATTACGTTCGTCAAAAGAACCTGGAATCCATTTAGCCATGGCTAAAGAGTCTGAAGCTTCACGAACATCTCCCAACCTATCAACACGTAAAGATCCTATGGTAATAACAAGATTTTTTGCAGAAATCCCGTTATTGTGAAGAAAAGAGATTGAATTTGGTGAAACTGCAAGTGTAGATACAGCTTCTTTTGCAGCTCTCATTAATTCCGACTGTTCATTATCACTCATTAGGAGATTATTTGAAATAAGATTTCCATTTATTGATTGAGGATACACTGATGCTGCAAAACAATCGGATGGGACAAACACTCGACGACAAACAAGCAAATCTCCTAAACCAATTGGCTGAATAAAAGAAAAATAATATGGAATTTTAAGGGCGACTTGTAAATTGGAATCTCGAAAGTAGTAATATATTATATATATATATATATATATATATATATATATGCATACCTCTAAATCGTCAGCAATAGCTTCTTCCATTGATGCAAATGAAGGATGATCTGCAAAATCAGCCGGATTAAATGATCCAGCTGAAAAATCTTCATCAGATGAATGGTCCCATGATTCAGGATAACCGAATTTTCTGTTATGGTTTCCTTTGGATGACTTTCTTAATGAATGTAAAGCTTCCGCAAGACGTTGGTTCATAACTGTATGATGACAGACTGGAGAACAAAACCAAGAACGATCAGCAGTAAAAACACATTGTGGTAATGGAGGGCAACGCCTTAGAGCACAAGAGAAATGCACGGCACCAACACAGTCCAAATCACAGTTATTGGATGAGACTAATAAAGCTAGAGGACAAACCTCAGTCTTCATATTAGAACAATGAAGAGTTGCACCATATTTGCCACAATCAGCACATTTGCTGGAACGACCTCGTCTAATAGCGTCTGACAAACCAATTAGCTCACCAGAATCCTCTTCATAAACATCATTACACCATAACGCACAATTTATGTGCACCTAATTATCACAAAGAATAAACCAACATTTAAAAAAGACGACCAATTTATAGAATACGATCATCTGAACTGTTTTATACATAGATCGATAATGATTCATACTTGTGGAACAATCGCCGTCGGTATGTTACCTGATAGATGATAGTGGATACGAACCTTAACAATTAATCGGTATTCGAATATTATGAATAATTGTCCGCTGTCTTCACTTAATCACCTGGATTTTCGCATTCAAACAGATGACGTAAAACCTGTAAGATAAGCTCATTTAGTCAGCTTGTAATCTACGTCTGTGTGGTATGCACTTTGTATCATGTATCTTTGGAAGTATGTCCAATTGACAGTAACTGGTATCTGAACTCCCCTTTCTTTGTGAACCATGGAAAAAATCAGTAAATTTACGCATTGATGCTGGTGTTCCAAATGTTGGTTATGTAGCACAAGAGAATAAATGTAGTGCAATAATGATTATAGATAGGTATATAATCTAAGTCAACTTTAGCATACTCATGACGTAGTTCTGAACAATATATCTCATCAGTACAACAGTAAGTTGGAGCTTCGAATTAAAACTGGTAGTGATCTTATTGTAGTCTTCCTCCAAGTCCTTAGGTAATAACATGACATGGTTATGTCAATTAGTAGTAGCCAATATTAAGTCATCAATTAAATAATTCAACAATAACTTACCCAAGTGTCTGATCCTGTGTATAACAAGCGCCCCTCGATATTATCATCTCCATGATAACCACATAATAAACAACGTCTTGGATCTTCATCTTCTAGATCATCAATTAAATGCTTACGCAAGGCATCAGCGGCAACCTTTTTATTCAACTCCTCTTCTTCATCAAGGTCAACTAAACGGAATGATGGAATGTGACCAGATAAAACAATCGGTTTTCTTATCTCCTCTTCATTCCAAAATTTGTCCAATGCGAAATAAAAGCGTTCAGAATCAAAGGTTGCTAATTCTGTAGATAATTTATTTTCACCGTTATCACCATCTTTGACAGGCGATAATGATTCCACTGGGATATCAGATTCTTGCTGATTAGATTCTTGATTTACTACTGTATTAGTGTTTAATTCATTATCATCTTTAATCACCTCATGATTAGATAATTCTAGATTGTTATTCATAATAGTGGTAGTGGTTAGTGAATTCAACTGAATTAATTCAGAATTATTAATACAGTTTGGTATTTCAGCTACACTATCTGAAGAATTACAAATAGAGGACACGGTCGGTTTACATTTACTATTTACGTTATTTTCGAAGTGATGAGAAGATGGGACTGATAATTCATGCAGACGTTTCCTGTACAACTTGATTAAATGATTTTGAAATTTCTTGACAACCACTAAAACGAAATGATAGACGAAAGAAGATAAAAGAAACTCAAATTTCACCATTTGTAAGGCACCAAGTATACATATAATTGGAATACAAGTACAAAAAATAGCCTTCAATCAACGAACTTGTATGAAAACCGATACGGTATGAGCGATGGCCTAAAGATGGCAAAGACAAACATCTATATGGATATTATTTAATCTGGGGATTCATAGGGATGTGAGAAAATCTATAACATGCTTTAGGATTTTTATGTTCATTCTCTACTGTCATCTTTATTTGCACTCTTCAAATATCATTTCCCTTATGCTTAAACAGTCTTTTTATAAATGTTTATTGACGGAATGTAGATTGAGAGGTGACTAATTAGTATTATCAGTAGTTAACGTAAGGAGTCGTTGATTGTGGATATGTAGTTGTTTTCCTATTGAAATGATATGAGTATAATAAGTAGATGAGTTAGAAATACTTTTAATAAACTAATGCGAACTGTATTTACTATGTTATGATTAAAATAATGTGTGCGAATCGATATTAAATAGCTACGTAGAACATTGTTGATAGACAGAGATCCTTGTTTAGGTAGATAAATCATGACTATACTATCTTGTATATAAGTGAAAACTTAAAGTTGTCTCACTACTAGTGAATTAACTGCTAAATGTATCTTCCTTAGTGTAGATGTGACATGTATCAATAGTAAATGCTCATCACTTCGTAATCACGTCAATTTTTTAATCGTGTTTGTGCTTTTTTGCATATTACCTATTACAGACAGTTATGTTTAAACGACTGATAACTATTACATTGTTGAACTCGAAATTGGTTCCGTATTCTAAAATGATATCATCTTTGATTATCTATTTTGTTTGCATCTTATGTTTTACAGTATTGAGAACTCTGTGATAAATGTTTAGTCAATAAGATTTGTGAGTCATATCTCAAATAATGTATGCCGACTAACAACCTGATCATATGTGTAAACTGATGTGAATTTTGTAATTATATTCAGAATATTTATTATTTTTATTATTATTACCATACAACACCGGTTGATTAATATGTATACTTATTCTGTTGGAAATAAGAGTTCAGTTCCATGAACAATTTATCAATTCGCTAAGCTTAGAAAGACTAATCTACTACACAATCCTGCTAATATAAATCTATTTTTGGGATTAGTTTAATATGCGCGACAATTAAAAAAACAGAAGACTAACATTCTTCTTCGATTGAAGACCAATGTTCAACCCATCGATCATCACGGGCACTTTGTTTCATTTGTTCAAGCATTTCCACTTCATGTGGACGTTGACAACGAGAACGTCTGCATGCAAGTAAGAACTGTTTAGTAAATTCTAAAGGATCTATTTCTGGTGATTCGTACAATTGGTATTTTGGATGATACTCTTTCAGGTGTTCAAGCACGTGTAGATAACATGTTGAAACAGAATTTACATTATTAACTGTTTGACCACATGAAGGATTTCGAATACGTGAACAGTTTTCATTTAAACGAGCAATAACTGGGCACATTAGTTCATGAAGTTCAATTAAAGAACGTTCTTGGAAATGTTTAGTAACATCGCTAAATTTCCCATTAGATTGGCGTAGAATATCACGAACTAGAAAGAAATGCATAAATAATCGATTCTCATTAGTTTGCTTTAAATAATGATTTGATATCATTTATAAAAAAAGTAAATGAATGAATATATGTTAATGCCTTAAAATATACTTCAGGTATTATTTATGTGGAGGAGTAACAAAAAAATTCTCAAATTTGGATCACCTCTGACGTCTTATTGTATCAAAACATGACTGATCTACCAATCACAAGTTCACTTACGTCACGTTTAGTGTTGTACTGTTTACAAGAACTAGCGATACAATTTGGTAGCTCAAACTGACAATGGAGAGGAATTTGAAATTGAGATCGACTGATTGAGAATCGAATGTTTTAATTACTAAGCTACACCTTAATAGCGACTTCCTTAACCATAAGGAGACACTAACGTAGCCACGAGTGTAATATTTATTTGAGCACTTTAAAGAACTATATTAATAGAATTATTTTATTAATAATCCTAACAACAAGAATGATTTAAATATTAATATACGCTACCACTAATCCAGCCCCAGTTTTCTATACCAATATTCATAAAGTAGTTGATGTATCTCCAAACTGAACAAAAGTTATCGTAATTACATACTTAAACTTTTTTTGGTGCCCTATCGTATCGTATTCCTAATTACAGCTCCTAACTTTTCCATTCTGCTATATTATTGTTATTTGTCTCTATGTGGTGAACTTCTCAGTGCTTAGTAGTATGAAGTTTTTTTGTGCCATGATGAAGCAAATTAATAGAAGTTTCACAAGAAAAGTACAACAATTATCCAACCAAAACAAGCCACCCAATGCAAAAAATTGAATTGACATTATAAAACAGCTTTTAAATAACACTAACGCTTCGCATAGATTACATAAGTAGAAAGATAAAATTATTAGCATTATTAGTATCGGCATGGTTTAATAGATGAATATAATTTAAAAAGTCAAGTGAATATCAAAAACGTCCCATAGTCATATATATAGTGTTACAGTGAATTAAAGCTAACAATTTATGAAAAGAATTAATGTCCTCACGTCATCTTCAAAAAGAGGAAAATGCTCCACACACTCAGGGAGTCGCTCTTATGCTGTCCAAAGTAGCACGAAATGCACTTGTAGGATGGGAGTCTCACGGATCCAGAATCATCAAAGCATCATTCAAAACAAAGAAGGAGGGGATCTTAATGAATATTATCCAATGTTATGCACCCACCAATGATAGCAACGACGACATTAAAGATCAGTTCTACGAGCGGCTGCAGTCAATCATTGAGAAATGCCAAGAAAGGACCTAACTATTCTGATGGGAGATCTAAATGCCAAAGTCGGAATAGACAACACTGGATATGAAGATATTATGGGACGACATGGACTGGGAGAAAGAAACGAAAATGGAGAAAGATTTGCAAATTTTGTGCATTCAACAAATTAGTCATAGGAGGCACAATATTTCCACACAAGCGTATACACAAGGCTACATGGATCTCACCGGACCACACTACAGAGAACCAAATAGATCATATTTGCATCAACAAAAAATTCCGAAGGACAATGGAAGATGTGAGAACCAGGAGAGGTGCTGACGTAGCTTCAGATCACCACCTAGTTGTAGCCAATTTAAAACTGAAGCTAAAAAAGAACTGGACAAGTGGACAAACAGCACTACAAAGGTTCAATACAGCCTTCCTTCGAGATACTGACAAACTCAATGAATTCAAGATAGCTCTCAACAACAGGTTCCAAGCCTTACAAGATCTACTGAAAGAAGAAACTACTATGGAGGACAACTGGAAAGGCATCAAGGAAGCATTAACTTCAACGTGTCAAGAGGTTCTGGGCCTAAAGAAACACCATCATAAGGAATGGATCTCTATAGAAACACTGGACAAGATCAAAGAAAGGAAGAACAAGAAGGCAGCAATTAACAACAGCCGAACACGAGCAGAGAAAGTCCAAGCACAAGCTGAATACATAGAAGCAAACAAACAAGTGAAGAGGAGCATTAGAGCCGACAAGAAGAAATACGTGGAAGAACTAGCAACGACGGCAGAAAAAGCTGCTAGAGAAGGAAATATGAAACAGCTTCACGATACAACGAAGAAACTAGCAGGGAAATACAGTAAACCAGAGAGGCCGGTCAAAGACAAAGAAGGCAAGCCAATCACCGAAATTCAACAACAGCGTAACAGATGGGTAGAATACTTCGAGGAACTCCTGAATAGGCCGGCTCCAATGAATCCACCGGACATCGAAGCAGCACACATAGATCTTCCTATAGATGTCAACCCACCAACGACGGAAGAAATTAGAATGGCCGTCAGACAAATCAAGAACGGGAAAGCAGCAGGACCCGACAACATACCAGCTGAAGCACTGAAATCAGACATCGAAGCAACCACAAGCATGCTTACCTTCTATTCAAAAAGATTTGGGAGGAGGAACAAGTGCCGATGGACTGGAAAGAAGGACACCTCGTCAAGATTCCAAAGAAAGGAGATCTGAGCAAATGTGAAAACTACAGAGGCATTACACTACTGTCAATACCAGGGAAAGTCTTCAACAGAGTGTTGCTGAACCGGATGAAGGATGCAGTAGACGCCCAACTTCGAGATCAACAAGCTGGATTCCGTAAGGATCGGTCGTGCACAGACCAAATTGCAACACTACGGATCATCGTCGAACAATCAGTTGAGTGGAACTCATCACTATACATCAACTTCATTGATTATGAAAAGGCATTCGACAGTGTAGATAGGAGGACATTATGGAAACTTCTTCGACACTACGGAGTTCCTGAGAAGATTGTCAACATTATCCGGAACTCATACGACGGACTACAGTGCAAAGTAGTGCATGGAGGACAGCTGACAGATGCATTCCAAGTAAGGACTGGAGTCAGACAAGGCTGTTTACTCTCTCCCTTCCTCTTTCTTCTGGTGGTCGACTGGATTATGAAGACCTCGACATCTGAAGGAAAACACGGAATACAATGGACAGCTCAGAATCAATTAGACGATTTGGACTTCGCAGACGACCTAGCCCTCCTATCACGTACACACGAACAGATGCAGATGAAGACAGCCAGTGTAGCAGCAGTCTCTGCATCAGTAGGCCTCAGCATACACAAAGGGAAAACCAAGGTCCTCAAATTCAAAGCGGAAAACAGCAATCCAATCACTCTTGATGGCGAAACTCTGGAAGATGTAGAGTCCTTCACATACCTAGGAAGCATCATCGATGAACAAGGAGGTTCAGATGCAGACGTAAAGGCGAGGATCGGCAAAGCAAGGGTCGCATTCCTACAATTGAAGAACATATGGAACTCAAAACAACTTTCAACCAATATCAAAGTGAGAATCTTCAATACGAACGTCAAGGCAGTTCTACTGTATGGAGCTGAAACTTGGAGAACTACAACAACCACAATCAAGAAAGTACAAGTATTTATAAATAGCTGCCTACGCAAGATACTCAACATCCACTGGCCGGATACCATCAGCAATAGCCTTCTGTGGGAGAGAACAAACCAACTTCCAGCTGAAGAAGAAATTAGGAAAAGACGATGGAAATGGATAGGACATACATTACGCAAATCGTCAAACTGCATCACGAGGCAAGCCCTAACTTGGAACCCTGAAGGGAAGCGAAAAAGAGGAAGGCCAAAGAACACATTGCGTCGGATAATAGAAGCAGATATGAAAAGGATGAATTACAACTGGACGGAGCTGGAAAGGATTGCCCAGGACAGGGTTGGATGGAGAATGCTGGTGAGTGGCCTATGCTCCTTCACGAGGAGTAACAGGCGTAAGTAAGTAAGTAAGTAAGTACGTCATCTTCAAAAATATTGCTCAAAAAAAAACACCAAAGAAACTATTAACCTACCATCACTAGCCATTTCATTTATATTAAGCCATGGAAAAAGAGTGTCTGTCATTGTAGAAAGCCAACGAAGAAGTCTCCTTAATCCAATAGCTGCCGGTGAACTGACTGGATGAGCGGACAGACGATGGAGAATTCTCGTAAGTAAGCGATAAAGTAATGAGCGCTGTACGAATTTAAAGCAATAACATAAACCGGGCATAAGAAGACAAAGTATGCTAATATGCACAATTAATATTAATGTGACTAATGAAAACGATAGATCAGCCCAAAATTTCATTCATAATCACTAACATAAAACACAACAAACGGTCAAATAAAGTCAGTCGGATACAATGTAGAACCAGGCACACATATGCATCAGTCCAAGTTCCTGTACCTCATTAGCACAAATAGATGAACGCCAAATTCATAGAAGTAGTTACTTTAACGGTAGCAAAAAGGGATTGCATATAAGGATATGGTACAGGGAGAAAGACTTAGTTTGTAGAAAGGAAAGTATAAAGTAATCTCACGGTTTAAGGGAAGACAGAGAGTGCATACACCTACACCATTGTGGTCGATTCTGAGCTATGTCAATCAGAGTCTCCAACCATTGGTTACGATAGTCGCGTGGACCCCAACCAAGTAGTCTGCATCTACCAATAGGGCTCAGAAAAGAAGTTAGTGACTTTATGAACTGATGCCATGTTTTGTTTAGGCCGAGTCTAACTTTCTTAAATCCGTATCCAACACTGGTCAGAATTGCGTATCGTGGTAGTTGGTGGTTGGACATGCGTAATACGTCGTGGCCCAATCATCTCAGTCGATGTAGATTCACAAACTCATGAACTGATTTGCCACCATTCCCTATTACTCTACGTCTAACATCAACTCAACATCAATCGCACGAGATTCTAGGGTCTTAGTCATGGAGGCCTGCTGGCCGATTTGACATAGAGTACTTACATCGAAGGCTCCAATTAGTAGTTTAGAGCAAGGCTTCAGTATAATCAGGACAGTATTTCGCGCACTAAACTCGTTGGATATGGGTAAGCTTGAAGAGGAAGTCAAAAGAAGAAGTTTAGAGTTAATAGTCGATGTAGTAGAAATAACAGTAGAGTTGATTATGAATACAGTGATCTTGAGTACTGTTAGAGGTGTGAGGGTGGTCATCACTTCCCGGTCGCCCACATTATGGAACGGTTCTTCTAGAGGTACCTGAAAAGGAAATTAGGTTAGAGGTGATCTTAGTGACCTGGTAGCATGACCGCAGTGCCCAAGTGACAACTGTTTAAGGCCGGTCACACACTACATTTCTGTGAGTAGTTTTCGTGCTAGCTGGAGACGGAAGTCCGTGGGATAAGGTGAGGTGTTCATTTTTAGGGTCGATCTGTTCTAACCCCACCCCTCCTTGTGGGAAGGCAGCATCACTATCATGCTGGCTGTCTGAAGGAAACACCTTACTGACGTCACACTTCTTTAAAGTCATCAGTACGACTTCACCTTCGGACCTTGGATTTACTGCCTTTAGTCTTACCGTTCTTCAACCGACCTGTCTGGCATAGTAGGATCTTGAGGAACGATTGTTCCAATCAGTATAGCTCGATTGGTTGATTATGATAGGCAAGCCTGATCCCCACGTCAAGGTAACAGCAACGATAGGTATATGAAATAAAGGCACATTGTTGAACCTCATTTTACAGTTCATAGTTTATTTATCAATCTTCTGATCATTCCTACACAAGTTTTCTTAAAGACCATAGATCTAAAGCACTTTAACATGATCTCTTTTTGAAGCACATATTTCATTCAATATGAAATTTGTCGACTAAGCATAAGAACAAGATACCATAACAACTTTATTGGAAATTTACGGTGCTAGCAGGAATTAAATTTCAATGAATCAACACTTAATACATATTAGAAAGTAGATTTTTAGCTTTACATAGTACTCCCCTCTTAGAAAGAACAGGATAATTAAAAGCCTTTTATAAAAAGGTTATCAAATTATCGGTTCCTGAAATTCGTATACTTTCAATGTACAGAGTCCCATGTAATAACGTTATGTTTTCAAGTAAAGACGACAAATATTTGCCTTTAAGTTATCATAAAATATGTGATATGTTGTACATATTAAAGTGTATATCAAATGTAACACTTAAAGGATCATTTTTATATTATGGTGCAGGAGAAGATTAGAAGAAAGCTAAGGGTGGCCAGGCCAAAACATGGCACAAGTCCATGAAGTCAGTGACAAGTGGACTGAGCCATGTTGGTAGGTGTAGACTACCTGGTTGGGGACCGCGAGATGATAGCAACCGATGGTTAGAGGCCATGAATGACATGGCTCAAAATCGCTTGCAATGGCGCAGGTGCATCCACTTTTTGTGTTCTCCCAAATTCTAATCTCAATTATTCATGTCCCTTTTTTCTCTTTCCAAATTTATATCACCGGATTATACTCCTTGAATGACATCTTTAAACCCTAATCGTCCAGATTATTGCTTATATTCCTACTACCTCTACCGCTATGGGATTCGAATCGACAAGTGCATCTCTGTGCGAATGTGGTATGGCAACTCGGACTGATGTACGTACGTATGAAGTTCTACGTTGTTGCTGACAGGCTGACTATATTAACATTGAGAAAATAAAATAAGTGCTTAACAAGACATACCGGACTTGTCCAAATTTGCTCTGATTCCTGATCAACAAGCCATTGTGCATTGATTGGTGGTGGAGTTGAACAAATTTGATGGTAATAACGTGAACTCGATGAGCTAGATGAACTATAACGTCTACGATTGTTCTGATTAGGATTGTTATCATGTACTGTGGATTCATGAAATAAACTAGATTGTACTGAACTACTAGATTCAGTTTTAAGTAATGATGATGTATTAACAGTAAGTGGTAATTGTTGGTTTTGTGAAACAAATGTTTCATTTGGTGAAACAGTATGATTACATGTATTTCTGATGGGATCCATCATATTTGATGTTTTGTAAGAAGAATCAATTTGTAAACATTGTTGGGATGATGAATAAGATAACGAGCTACTACCATTACTAACTGGACCTAAGGAAATATCACCCGTATTATTGAACGTGTTGTTGTAGACAGTTTCACACGACAATTTATCAGGATGATGATGTACTGGATCGTTTGTGATATTATCTGGGAGATAGACATAGGATTAACAGAAACAGTATTGAATTTAGCATGTTCTACCACAGCCGGATCCCATAAAGAAGCCGCAGCTTCAACTGCAGCAGTTAATTCATCTCCAGAGTCGGAATCACACACTCCATCATACTGTAGACATATTTTAAAAAAGGTTTAGAAAGAGAATGAATTTTAATTTATAAAAGCTAAATTTAACTTATACATAGCCCCCAAACGACCTGGTACTTATTTATTTTTTTTGTTTGAACACATAAATATTGGTACATGGGGGCACCAAATATATATGCGCAACACAAATTTCATGCTATTCGTGGTTAAATAAATAAAATCTATAGACCAATTTCCAACAATTGATTTATATGACCAAAGATATATAATAACAGCTATTTGAAAACAATCACTTGAATTACTTATATTTTGACGTTATTTTTGAAAGAAAAAGTCACAAACTAAGTAATAAGTCAAGCTAATAGTCAAGTAAAATAGATAATTCCTAAGAGTAAGGGAACAATAATTTAGATAGAATAGCATGACGATTTAATTTTATTTTGTTAGGATTTTGTTATGGACTTCTCATAAGCTGTTTTATTTTATTAAAATCAAAATTGCCGGTGAAGTCATAATGGTTACATGAATGAAATAGAAAGGGAGGCCTACCTTGGGTTATGTATGAACATTTGTTAAAAAGGAATAAAGGTTTTCCTTAGACGAATTAACATAGTCCTTATTTCATCAGACCACATTTTTTCAACTCCTTATCCGCATCCCCATCTTTCTTAGTTTGTTATTAACTAATTGACTTTAACTTATATTGTTTTGAAGTAATATTAAGTCACGTTTAGATATTTCAGATCAGAAATGAATTAATCTCAGTCAGATAATCACTTGGTACTATCACCATTTCAATGTTACAGGAGTTTCTTTTGAATACATCATTTACTTGTAATATTTTACTCAGTAGATGTAAACCATACACTTATTTTTTGAAGATGAAAATAATACTCCTAAGTGAGATCACTTTCCCAACTATCAAACTTTAAGAAATTCCCTTTAATTTCTTTCTCTGTTTCCCACTTTATGGTAGTAAACAAAGGAAAGTAACCATAGTTTAAAAAACACAATAATATTAATGATAACTTGAGTAGTAGTAATGGTAATATTATGACTAAGACACTTTACCTGAGGGAGGTATTGTTTTACTGTAGTTGATTCATCTTTATAATTGGTATTACTCCAATAACCAGGTGATTTACCACTAGAAACTAGCCATTGTATTAGTTGGACTATGAAAGTAAGTTGACGATGGTGAGTTCATTGACGAACCATCACCAGGACCACCACCACTACTAGTGATAGTTTGATTATCAATTCGATTAGATTTACGACAAACTTGCACTAAACCAGCCATTCTTTCCATTAATGTATCCTGTGCTAAAATTCGTAGTTGATTTGCACCATTATTACGATCATTATTATTATTTCTGTTGTTAATATTTGAATGCTTACTCCGACTTCTCATTGATGCATCTTCTGTTTCTTTATTTTCATCGCTGAATTCACTTTCATCATCCGATGCAGTTTGATCTGTAAAATCTAATTGTTGTTTGGATGAAGTACTATTATTGTTATTGTTACTACGAGAGGTGTTTGATTTTTTTTGTTGAGATTTTTGTTCTCTTTGACAAACGGAACAAGAAACAACAAATTTACTCAATTGCCCAGCTGACATTCTTGCAATTAATTCATATTCATCAACTATGAGAAAGATAAAAAACGATTTTAGTTTGATTTTTTAAGAAAAATATTTAAAACAATTAAAATCATGGTTATCAATGTTAAAACTTTAAAAGAAAATGTAAAGGTTGAATAAATAACAGAAAGTCAATACACCAGGATAAAATCATCCTCAGAAACCAGAAAACAAAACCCTATCGTTCTACAAGATGTGAGAAATATCTCAGAAACTATTATAATTATTTTTAAAGTCTTTGGGATTAGTCATGTATAAGAGAACAGAAACGCTATTAAATTTTATTCAGATACAAAGATAAACCAATATTATCTACAAAAGAAACTGTACCGACTGTGATAAACATTACGTTAGACAAAGTGATCTCTGCTCTCTATCTACGTATGTAAAAACAGACTAACAGTAGAACAGCTTATCACTAACATCAGTACACTCAGACAGTTAAAGACACGAATTAGATTCGGGAAACGCCAAAGTTTTAGATCAAGGAAATTCAATGTTTTCCAAAAACGTTCTGCGAATATGAAACTCAGGTCAATCAATGATCAGTAAGCACATCAACATAGAGCCTACTTACCAACCAATGTATAAAAGACTAACCAATCATGTATGCGAAGGTCAACAGAACTAAAACTTTCAACAAGAATATAAAGGCAAGCAAAGTTGATAAAACCTCCAAAAATAATTACACACAGAGGAAGGTTAACAGAATAGGCTGAATTCGCGTATGCGGATGAATAAAACAACATACTTCAGCATGAAATACGTGCAGACGCTGCCCAGAGCAACAATGAAAGTTTCACAGTTGAACCTCAACACAACCAAAATAAGAATGACATATATAAGCGGACAATACTATTTTTAATTAGAACGTCATCGGGCTTTACTTTAATATATATGAGCATTTAATAAAGGCATTTGATAGCGTGGACAGAACAACACTATGGAAACTTCTTCGACACTACGGCGTACCTCAGAAGATAGTCAATATCATAGAGTTCATATGATGGATTACACTGCAAAATTGTGCATGGAGGATAGTTGACAAAGTCGTTCGAAGTGAACACCGGTGTTAGGCAAGGTTGCTTACTCTCACCCTTTCTCTTTCTCCTGGCGATCGACTGGATCATGAAGACGTCAACGTCTGAAGGGAAGCACGGGATACAATGGACATATAGGATGCAGTTGGACGATCTAGACTTCGCAAATGATCTGGCCCTACTGATCCAAACGCAACAACAAATGCAGGAGAAGACGAACAGTGTGGCAGCAGCCTCAGCAGCAGTAGGTCTCAATATACACAAAGGGAAAAGCAGGATTCTCCGATACAACACAGCATGCACCAATCCAGTCACAATTGACGGAGAAGATTTGGAAGATGTAAAAACCTTTACATATCTGGGCAGCATCATTGATGAACATGGTGGATCTGATGCAGATGTGAAAGCACGGATCGGCAAAGCAACAGCAGCATATTTACGACTGAAGAACATCTGGAACTCAAAGCGACTGTCAACCAACACAAAGGTCAGGATTCTCAATACCAATGTCAAGATAGTTCTACTGTATGGGGCAGAAACCCGGAGAACTACGAAAGCCATCATCCAGAAAATACAGGTGTTTATTAACAGTTGTCTACGCAAAATACTTCAGATCCATTGGCCGGACACTATTAGCAACAACGTACTGTGGGAGAGAACAAACTAGATCCCAGCGGAGGAAGAGATTAGGAAGAAGCGCTGGGAGTGGATAGGACACACATTGAGGAAAGCACCCAACTGCGTCACAAGACAATCCCTCACATGGAATCCTGAAGGCCAAAGGAGAAGAGGAAGTCCAAAGAACACATTACGCCGGGAAATGGAAATAGAAATGAGAAAAATGAACAAGAATTGGATGAAACTAGAAAAGAAGGCCCAGGACAGAGTGGGTTGGAGAATGCTGGTCGGCGGCCTATGCTCCATTGGGAGTAACAGGCGTAAGTAAGTAAGTAAGGTTATAATGGAATAGAATGTGTAACTACACATAATCTGTAAAAATTACAAATTGATAGTAAGAAAAAAGGTGTATTAGTAGTAGTGATAAAAATAATAAAAGTTCTAGTCGATAATTCAACAAGTGAAGTAGGTCAAACTTGGATAAATAGACTTTAGAATAGTAACCACAAAAAATCGTTAAACTTACGTAATAAGAAGTGTGTAAATAATTAGATAGCGAAGGATATAAACGGAAAGAGGTGAAAAATTACAAACAAATAGGGGACGGGGAAAAACTATTAAAACCATTCACCAAGTCATATCTGACCAAAGGAGGGGGACAAGATGTGTTATGAATTTCTTCTGAACACATAAAATATGATTATCGGCTCGGATCCCTGTAGCTTCTGCTACATGTAGGAAACGGGATCAAACCCACAGGGAAACAACGAAAATATACGATAAATCACCTAAAATTATTTGGTTTTATCCATCATATGATCACTACCAACCAGGTATGCTAAGATAGAACTGCGTACCATAACTGTCAGAAAACATGTAGGTTGCGGTCAAAGAGTTAGATGTAGTGGTGGTTCAAGTAGTAGATTACGAGTAAGAGCAAAGAACGCTTTAACTACTTCGCTTCAAACAGCTAAGTACCAGTACCATTTATTACACGAGAACGAAAATAGGATTCAAAGTCCAGTGTACGTGAACCTTTACTTGGGAAATGAGTTACTTATTTCAAAAAATCCAATCATGTTGGAAACGTTAATCTAAACCAAGTGTTCCAATTACTGAGCTAAATATGAAATTAAACAGTTACCAAGTGCGCATTAAAACTTATTTACTACAAATCAACTCCATAAATTTTCATCACTCAATACTCATTCTTCCTTGATACATTTGTTATTATAACTAACTTATCAATCACGCACAGAATAGCATACTTGGCTGTACTCCACGCTCGAAATGAGAAGGCTAATGATACTACCAAGATTCCGACACAATTTTAAACCATCTAAACCAAAACTAACTGATTAAGTTTACTGACAAAACTGATTTAAACATAGTTGAGAATAGAAACTACAATCAAATCAATAGCTTATATACAAAAGTAAAAGAAAGGCTTTAAAGAAAACATCATACCAGTTAACCTTGTACATGTTCTATGCATCCAAAGTTGACAACTATCACACTGGATCATTTGTTTAGTGGTTGGTAAATAAGCTCGATCACATTCTGGACAAACATCACCTTTAGATTCTGCCTGACTACATGCAGCACATTTATTTGTTTCATATGACCAGGCTGTATAACATCCACGAACCGTTGAAATAGGTGTAGCACCATCACTAGTCTCAGCTGGTTTACAAGCTCTAACTCCACAATGTAAACATACTGAACATTCAGGACAAGTCTGTTACCATGAAAATAAAAGATATATTTATGACACCTTTTTTCGAAATGAACAATGACAACCACAAAAATGTGGGAAATAACCATGTGTAAATAAGTAGGTATCATTACCAAGGTTTGATTGATAATTTCGAATAAATTGAGCATTGGCTCGATTGTTATAAATAAATAATATATTTGTAATATCCCAATGAGTAGAAAAATTAGATTTTTTGACGTTTCGTGACTTGGCGTAAGCTACTCCTTCAGAGAATAAATAACCGAATTGAAATTGATCCAATTTGGTCATTCATTCTCTGAGGAAGTAGCTTACACAAAGTCACGAAACGTCAGAAAATTTAATTCTTCTACTCAGTGGGATACTACAAATATATTATTTATTTACATGTGTAAATAAGTTTCATATCCTTATAGGATAAAAAAGAATAGGTGACTTTTTGTACATTCACTAACTCTTACATTCATATGGGTATCTTTTTTAAAGCAAGAACGAAAACTAATCGTCCGGCAATGAGAACGGATTAATTGGAAAGCTCTGATTTTAAACCAATGGTCTTTATGGCCTCCAAGATCATGAGGGGACCTATTTTCGGTCACCCGGTACCGTAGAACGGCAGCTCCTGACGCTGCTCCACTACCATTTGAACTAAACCTTCAAGTCAAAGGCTCGGAGAGCAACCAATCAAGAAAACCATCTGTATTTGTTTGGTTTTCTGGACAGTATCGCAGTCCATATATAAATTTTATTTTGTATACAGCATTCTATTTTAGTGGTCACTTGGATAAGATTTTCTGTAAATTGAACCAATAAAATAAAATACTATCCACAAGACGATTTATGGACTATGAATAAATTGTAAAGATAACAGAATGTTCCTATCAATGAAACAGTTAGTGAATAATTTGTACTAAGTGTTACCAGTATTTATTAATAACTTTAAAGTGTAACAATAAACTTGTCTCATACAATAATAAATTATTACAAAATTATAATTACACTTGAAGCAACTAACTAATCAAAAGCGGCAGTAATATAATACACTGATTTCTTAGTCTGAAAACAATTTCAATACAAGTTTCAGAGTAGCAAAAGTAATAGTATTATCAGTAGTACTAGGAAAGATTAAGCACAGAAAAAAAAGGGAAGAACGCATGAGGAGACTTCGGAACCCGAGTTCCAAAGGAAGAGGCAGAGAGTGAAAGCAGGCATGTAGCACTTCTACTGGTTTTTCTGAAAATACAAAAGAAACCTTTTAAATATGAGATTTCAGATATTCCGAGTTATTTTGAGGCAATTCGTTGTTATGTAAATCCCCTCTTTAAAGTAAAACACCACTGTAAGGATTCTTCTATTTATCAACTTCATTTACGTCATAATGTCCAAATAATTTAAGTAAAAATTAAACTAAAATAAACGTTAATTGTTTATTATTCAGTGCTTCTCATCATGCGTGAACCACTATTCAAATATAACAGTGGTTACATAACTGTGGTCAACGTTTGTCTTACCAACAAACTTCAAATAAGGAACGCTATTTCGCAATAAATATATGAGTTACTGGTTAACGGACAGAAATGTTTGCGAATAGGTGATTTCAGTAATAATTAATAAAATTATTCCGTACACATTAACCCAACTAGCTAATAGATTATCGTTTAACCAGGCTAGGAGACTGATTCTAGGTCATCGTTTTTTTATGTTAGACTCTCAGTTTTCAATGAACATATTGTAAGGATAGTGTTTTGTAAACAACTTCATGGAACACAACCACATCATTTGTGCATTAAAGGTTAATTAAAATAATCACATTTAAATAAGGTATAACAATGGTGATAATATATTATGAAGTAAATACTAATGTCTCAATATTTTAAACAAAAATGTTTCAAAAAATAGACTTTCTGAGAATAGTTAACCCTACCCAACATCCTCTTTGACTAGTTTTAGCTGGTGGAAAATCAGCTAAACATTCTGGATGATAGCCGGTAGAACAACGTATACAACGTAGATCTGAAGCTGGACGACGACAGACCTTACATGTGGTGCAATTTCGGCATACAAAATGTTCTTTCCGACGAGGTCTGAATTGTCGTTCAACGCAGTAGAAATGGAAAGGTTCAGCACAGGATACACAAAACAGTAACTGAAAAAGGAAATACAAATAAATATATCATAGACTACGTTACTAAACAATCCGAAAAAAGGAAAAACCGATCTGAAATTAATCAGTTGACCTAAAACATGTTAACTGATGACAATAAACTTGCGTATTTGAAATGCGATACATGATTAAATGTCATACTGTTGGTCTAGTTTGATTTAGAGAATGAATATTCTTAAGTACCGTAAATAATGTACTGAAACAGCTGAAGTTTTTCTTTACCTAGCGTCAGATAACTCACACAGAGAAATTTGATATAGACTGGAGGATTTTTTAATTCATCGAAGGGCAATGATTGAGTGTGTGTACATTTAAGATGTGTACAAGTATCAACCACATTCAGAAAATACGATAACTGGAATCAAGATACGCAAACGGTTATGAGTAAGGTCCTACATCCTTTACACAAAATGCTTGATGTTAGTGATTTTTGTATATATTAGCTACGTGACACGATGATAAGATATGTGACATGGAGATAAAACCGTCAAATCATCGAAGTAATAAGTTAGGTAGCTAAAATACTTTAATCATTGGATGAATAAATCACCTACAATATGTTATCATAGAAAACGTATGATCCGCACGAGTGATAAAAGCAAAACATGTAAAACGGATGTTGCGTTGAACAAATAATACTAAAAGCATAAATAGACGCTCCACTAATCCCCTATCGATCTACCAGTCATAAACGAAGAAGACCTTGAGAGTCAAATTTACATCGGGTCAAGTTATCATACATCATATTGGCTCAGTAAGAGGAAATTAACGACAATAAAAAAGAAATTGAAGTAGTAGTAATATCAAGGACAGTAAGAAATTAAACATAAACAATAGAATTCAGAAAAAAAAGACTGGAATCGAGGCGTAAAAAGTAATGATAATAAAATTCAAGATCTATTGTAAAATAAGTAATGAATACATTCATGTTATGGTAACTAAACAAATCTGAGCCATATCATCACCTAAGGTCTTGGATCTATATATGAGGACTATTTCATGAACCTCAACAATCAGTCCATGAAATTGACTGATTCAAGGTCTTAGTTTGGCCGCTCTCAGTCTTCTTTTAACTTATTCTTATACTCGATGTTATTTTGCATATTTAAGTAGGCAGTGTTAGTAGGAAAATGGAATGTAAAATTTGACTTTAAAGATAAAGACACCAACCCTTGAATGGTCATCCTCGCCTGTTGAGTCTAAATACGTAGAGTAGTCAGTAGTAATGAACAGTTTTATCTAACAGAGTATAAACAGATAAACTAAAATTTCTGAACGCGCTAATGATGAGAACGGGAATGTATATCTAATGAAATCAGCAGACCGATAAGCCGAACTGAACAATAAAGTAGAGAAATAAAAACATTGTAAGAAAATTCGATTACAAAAAACTGGATTACAATATAAACTAACAAATTAAGGCACAATAGACGAGTTTTCTTTAACTGACCTGACCTCCACCACTACCACATGCGTAACAGATTTCTTTAGGTGGAGCAGCTGCCAATGTTGTTACAATTGCGTAACCTCCTTGTGTCGCTAAGTCACTGTCAATTACTTCCTATAACGGGAATAAGTAAATAAATGAAAATTAATGCTCTTAACTTTCTGAACTTTTTCAAGATAAATAATATGCGACAACATTGGTTGAGTGATAGTACAAATATAGAACTTTCTATCTTATTATTTAAGCATATGAGCTGATTTGCGTAAAATAAGAGATATTTTTATTCAATAGGGGAAAGGATTGTTCAGTTACAAACCACTTGACTTAGACGCTGTGGATTTAAACAAGAAAATTAACAAGTACTATCCGAAACATAAGATACACCAAGTATTCATTAAAATTACATTTAAAGATACATGACTAACCATTAACGAGTGGGCTGAAGTATATACTATATAGATGTCCACGGAACTAAAAAGATCCAAAAGGATGATAAGACATTTCAAACCTTGAACACGAATTTCTCGAAAAACTAACCAAAAATTAACCGCAAACGTTGATAACCACATATAGGTCCATGTATTATGTTGTATGCGTGATACTACTCTGATAAAATGATCAAAGTCAACGACCATATAAACCGAAATCCAAGTCGATATATTCAGTCATAGATTCGACGTATTATGACCGAAACCGTGGCATGATAAAGAAACAACTTATTTGCGGTAATAAACTATGAAAATTTCAATCTAGGTGTTACCATTTACCGATAACAAAAGATGTAATCCGATTATAACCAAGTCATAAAAATCACCAATAAGTTCTATCAATATTCTGAGGATAATTTATATCACCATCAAACTGATTCCTGTAGAAGCCAAAACGGAGTTATACGAAACTATAACAGTAAATTTTATCTGAGTACTGACAAAAACTTTATGACGATATATTACTAAATCTAATACACAATACAGAAAACTTAAACGCTAGTCCACATAAATGTAGATGTGTATCTCCTTACTGGCAGTTAACACAAACAAGACCAATCAATCTAGTATGAGCACCTAGGTCCCTGAAGACAATGATTAATTGTAACGGATTGACGTAGCAGACAAACTCTAAATTAGCTATGATGGTTCGAATGTAAAAATCATAAATTATCACTTCACATACATGAAAATAACCTTACCCCTTCAACTGGACGGACACGATCTAAATCTTCATTTTCATCATTTTCTTCAATAATCGAATTGAAACGCATTCCTAAATCTCCACCACGAACAGGTGTTACTTGAAGTTCAGGACCGACATTTAAATTGTTTACAGGATTTTTAAGCTTACGACGATATGAATGATTTATCCCATTGGCATGGGTTTTCCGAGAATAACTGGATGGTAACCATGTATCTAATTCAAGCTGTTGCGCTAATCCAGGCACAGTTTGCAATAAACTAACTGATTCATCTGGTTCATCTTCAGATTTATTAGGGTTAGATCGATTATTTGTATGATTAGCAGTGTTCGTTGATAAAGCACCTTTATATCCACTTATAGGTAAGTTTGAAGTTGAACCAGGTGAAGGATAATTTGATGGAAATTTAACCTAGAGACAAAAAAAAGTGTAAAATAAGTTCATGTCTTCTCATTGCATTATCGTAAAATAAGTCGCTTAGGATAAACAAGTACAGAAGAAAAACACCTTTTATCAAAAAGAGTAGGCTATATTTTCGGTAAATATATCCTTTAAAAAAATACATTTTCATGACAATAATAATTTTGTAGGTGCCTCAATAGCTTTACAGAAATTTGGGATACACTAAAATTCTGTACATATAAAAAGTTATCGTTTCCATATAACTTATTATTTGAAATATAAACGTGGATCACAAGGGATGGCACATAAAATAAACTAGTATTATTATGTACTCAAATTAACCCCAGTATCGTGACATAGAGCATCAATAGTTGGGCAAGCGTTAAACATATCCTGACTACCACAATTTCACCAACAGATTTACCACTATTATTTACAACAGACAGCGAAATCACATCCTGGGTGAATCCAACATACACAAGCAATTCTCTTGAGAGACTTACGATCACATTTACCAGTAAACACCAAACAAGAAATATTGCATCGAGATTATCATTGGCACACCCACAGAGCAACTTTTGCATTAAAAACTGATTACGAATTAATACAAAGTATTGTAAGAAGATTGTACAGAATGGTGAAAAAACTGTAAGTTTATTTATCTCAGATACCCAGTACAGGTCTAAGTACTACATTATTGCATGGAAACTGGTAGTAGAACTTGAATGTCCAAACTACATTACACGAAGAACTGTTTGAATCTGTGAACTGTTGGGTGAAATCAAATCCCAAACCAGTAAGTCACAATAGTAACAGTTTATCTGGATATTACCAAGAAAACTGGTTAGAAGGGAAGACAATAAAAATAAACTTGCAAGGAAAGATCGATACCAAGCAGTCAAGGTCAAGATCAACGGAACAAGTTAACAGTCATATATGGAGAAATCCAAATACCCACTTTTATCTGAAGTTTGTGCCGATGATTTTGTCCAGAAGGACAATGAAAACTTTACGATTATGCTACCCAGCTCAGAGAACGAAACTCCATCGAAATTATCCGTCCGAGCTGAAAATCTTTTCACCAACGTTGAGGATGTTAGATCCCTACAACTCACTTGGTAAATTACTTATTTTTGTAATTTTATTTTGAAAATTTGAATTTCTTTGTTCTTGCGCCAAAAGCGCTCTTTTCACCTTTATGTCGTATTTCCCACTTGGAAGAGTCTTAAACGCTATTGGTTCGTTGTATCTTTTAGTATGCTATTTTGTAACGCTTCCAAAGGAAAGTTTTATGCTGTATACGTTTGATTTGTGCCTGTTGTAGTCGCTCGTGCTTCTGTCTGCTTGCGGAATGTATTTCCCCGTTCGAACTTGGACTTCTCTCTCTAGTTAGGGGGGCTGGGACGCATCAGAATAGCTAGCTTATTGGTCTTTGGTCACAAGTTTTTGTTACGTTCGCAGATTAGGTGACCTCGTAATCGCTTCAAACATAGCAACCATGTTACCAGCAAACAATTAAAAATGAACTTACAATGATTAATTCCATGAAAAACGAAAGTTAGTAGTAAGCATAATGAAAGAAATTTACGAAATCAGACACAGACTCATGAATACCTGGTCTTAAATCTAAGGGTTAGATACTCACTACGAGACATGAAGATCCTGAGTCCGATCTCCAGCGGAGTCTTGGTTATGCACTGAAGAGCCTCATACTTTGACAAAACAGGTGTTTAGTTCTACCTGATTTCAAATCATTGTTTGACTAAAACCACTATGCGATGTAAACTATGGGATTAAAATTAAAATGATCGCGAGAGCAAATAAAGAACAGACAAAGTCCTTAACTCAGAAATATTTAGGCAAACTCGGTTAACTAGCCCCATTCGATGTTTAACAATAAAGAATAGGTTAGCAACATAGAAACCCGATAAGTGAACACAAAGTAACAACAATTTATATGATTAGAAATGGGGAAGGACAATCTTACCCTTGGACCTGTTTTCGTATTCTGGTCAGCAGAGGCAGCCGCAGCACGACGTCTGAGACATATGAGTTCCCTGTATAAGTAAAAGTATAGTTAGTAACATTTAAATTACAAAAGTGAAAGGTTCGTACTACCTCAGTTTAGGAGCAAACACGGATACCAAATATATGATGAAGTAATCATTTAGTTGTGTTGCTTAATAGTACCTTGACTTTCCTACGTAAAATATAACATGAAACCCCCAATGAGTACAAGCTTTATTGTCAGTCCGTACATTTCCAAATTAAAACCGCAAAACGACAGGAACATTAGAACGTAGCTAAATGGATAATATTCACAAAGCATCAAATATCCAACTTAAATTACAGCACATGGGTCAAACATACAATAGAAAATAGAATACAATTAGAGACATGATATGATATAAAACAAGATTTACTTGCAAGGTCTCCCTCGTGGATCATTACTGTCAACTAAGCTGAAAAACAAAATAAGTAAAACAGAAAGTTTCATAATTAGATAAATATTAAAAACAAAATCGACATCAGAAGTGTTTATAGAAACTGTGAAATCAGACAAGATATCGTTACTACTACTCTTCAAACATAAGTAGTGTCAACGATATGTATAGAAAAGAAAAAGCTCATCAATAAAATTTCCCAATAAAGATGATATCTGTTTATCATTTATTTACAAGTACAAGTACTGCTTTTTGTTGTTGCGTAAGTAACTTGTTGAAATACCCTGTGCTGAGAATTCTATATTGTACCAAAATATAATATGGAATAAAGCCATTAATAATAATAATAATAATAATAATAATAATAATATACCTAGTAAAATCTGCAAAGATCGCAATTTCACAGTAAAATATTACACCAAGGGATGAAAACAATCTAGCTAACAGAAACACAGTAAAATGAACTTTTTATATCTATAAATCGGAATTCTTCAGTAATCACCACAATTATAAAGTGTTCAATCGGATCGCCAAGTCAAATAGAGATATCAACAATTACTTTTGGATTTTCTATCAGAGCTCTTTTTCACAAACTTGATTTTTAAGTCAGAAATATTCAGGAAGTATCGCCTATGAATTATCAAACTCATTACAGCAAAGAACTATGATACGTATAGCTCGCCAGATGTCATGACAAAACGTAGCATCAGTGCTTGAAGTCACTAACTTCTAGTCTGAGCCATGTTGGTAGGTGCAGACTACTTGGTTGGGGTCCACGCGACTATCGTAACCAATGGTTGGAGACTCTGATTGACATAGCTTAGAATCGACCACAATGGTGTAGGTGTATGCACTCTCTGTCTTCCCTTAAACTATGAGACTAAAATTATTTCATATCCTTCTTTCTACGAACTAACTTTCTTTCTGTACTATATCCTTATATGCAATCTTTCCTTTATATATTAAACCATTGAGTTAATTGTTTTTTATGAATTTGGTATTCATCTTGCTGTGCTAATGAGGAGCGGCAACTTGGACCGATGCATATATGTGCCTGGTCCTACGTTGTAACTGATTGAATGACTGATTGCTTATATGTGACGGATAAAATCTAAAGGGAGTTCGGTGTTTCGATATAGCTCAAAAGAAAGCAAGAAAAATGAAATTCCAAAACAAATTATAAAAGGCTGATAAAAAGGCTTTCAAAGTAAACCAATGATCAACATTTCACTAACCGACAATCATTACAACGTCCACATGGTTGAATAAGTCCTAAACATGCTGGGCATTGTCCACAACGATTCGGTAAATGGGTTGAATGTTGACTGGTAGACCCAGGTCTACTAGGATGAAATGGATTTTGTAGAGCAACTCCGTGACCACTTACATGAGCATCGTCTTGTTTAGAAGCAGAATGCTTTTCTTTCATCCTATTTGAATGAGCAGCAGAAGCGGCTAAAGCAGCATGCACAGGACTAACACCTCCGGGAACCTTGGCGCCAACGGCAGCCAAGCGAGCAGCGTGAACCATAGCCGACAAAGTTGATGAATAACGACTGTCTTCTACAGTAACACAGCGGAAATAGAGTCACTAATTACCACTAGCATCAAAGATAACAATATGAGGTCATAACTATGCAGAAGAAATTTGGCAATGAAAGACGAAAAACAGGAAAGAAATCTATACGAACTGGCCTGATGCATCACTTCATAAAGTACATGATGAAAAAACTTACGATAAAAATGTATAGAATAAGCGAATGGTAGATGATTTAAGGCATTATCACAATTTATACGATGGCGAATGTTATGTGAAAGCAGTCTAAAATATTACGGATCAATATTTGCAAAAATTGTCATCTAAAAAGCATCATATTTAAATTCTCATCTCGTTTTAAATATTCACTTTCAAAGAAAGGTAAATCAGGAGAAAATAATTTGGTTGCTTTCCTAAACCACTTTTTGTTCTGTCATTATTTATAATTAACTAAATGACCTTTCTGCAAACACGACTCTATGGGTTGTTATGACGGTAAATCAAAGCGACATCAATAAGTTTATGGGACGGGCAGAAATTTCTTGTGTGAAATGTTGGCTTTTATCTCTGAAAGTACACCCTGTAGAATGAAACTAACTGTCTATGAAACAAAAAAAACTATCAACTGGGAGGAATTTTAAAAAATTAGGATTAAGTGACAATTACTGTTTGCAAATGATACGACGGAAAACAGCAGTATATTTGTTACTGGTTTATTTTTTGAGACAATTTTGATTATGTCCAAAACTAAACTTGTATGATTTCTAGAAGCTTTACCAAGAGACCGCAATGTATCAACATAAGTCAACGCAAGACAGAATAACTGCTCAGTAATGAAGACCTAAATAGGACATCCACGAAACTTGTTCGGAATACCAAACACAGTTTTCTAAGTCAACATCACTTATTGAACTATGGCTTCCAGTATGCCTAAAAACAACCTACTGGTCCTCGATACTATTCATAGTGTTGCTGCCGACCGTAAGATACATCCTCACTTAAAAGAAACCGGGTTTCGCACGGATATAACAGAACTGTCAGCACCCTATCGCTGTACACAATTTTTATGGAGAAACTAACGTTCCAACGACTTGTTTACGTTTTCCCGACATTCAGTATACGAATATTGATCACATCTTCAACACTAACAAAAATAATCTTACAACTAGCCAGTTATATAAACCTATGTAGTAATTTTAATGGATTCCTGCCAAGGATGAGCGTAGGCATATACTTCAGTCGTTTTTGTGAAAGTAATTTATAATTCGATAGCTTTAAGTTTATACCATTCCTATAGACGGACTGTGAGTTAACTGTGAATGGGTTCTAGATAGCTTCTACTGTCACCTGAAGTACCCCTGTAGTCAAACACAAAAAATCTAGGTGATACTTATCACATGAAGTTAACTAAGGTTCATATAAAACGATTAGTAGGAATGTGGTTTACTGATTTTAGTACTTAAATATCAACTAATAGATGTGGTTTACAGTCTCATATGCGAACACATGTGTAAATGCTGAAATACATTTTTATTCTTATTCGATAACTATAAAGAAAATAAAGGATCTCCCACTGAATATTTTGCGACAAAAAACTTACCGCGACTAATAGATGGTCTGCTGACTTGTTTCACACGTGGTCTGAGTCCTGTAACTGGTCGGTTTCCACCTTTGTCTTCGTGTTTATTATTCATATTATCATTCGATTTGTATCCTTTAGATGATGATTTGGTTGAAGTTTCAGTTAAATTCCTATGACTGACTTTCTTCACTTTATCATTTGAACTCTTCTTATCATGCCATGATGTTGGATGTGCATGTCGCGTGGAATGTTCCATATTGCGACTATTACTCCCTTCAGAACCATTACTTACCTCGGAGGAAGCTCTACTTCGACGTCCACCGCTTATGAAGCCTAAGTAGCCATCATAATCGTCCAGAAAACGATGCTATTCGAAAGAAAGTATACATTTTAGCATTAAATGGGTATTAAGAAACATAAATGAAAAAAAATAATGCCTAACAGAACAAAAACCAGTCGATCTAACGATTACTTGAATGACGATAATCATTGGTATGATCAAGTTCCATGTCACTGGATCTGATAACTGACGGAAGCTCCTTCAACCCACTTGAACCGCCGGCAGCAAGAAGTCTGGTGTGAGTGAAACAGTTGGTGAAGTTGATGAGATACCAAAAATAAAATCTATCGGTGTATTGGGAGATGGACACTTCTCCAACGAACAGTCCAACTGGTATAGTGCACCAGCAACATCGATCCAACTGTCCTTTCCTACACGACCAGTCAGTCAGTCAGCTACAACGTAGGACCAGGCACATATATGCATCGGTCCAAGTTGCCATACCTCATTAACACAACAAGATGAACACCGGATTCACAAAAGTAGTTAATTCAGAGGTGGTAATATATAAAAGAAAGATTGCATATGAGGATAAGTACAAGAAGAAAGAATTAGTTCGTAGACCGGTGAAAAATGATCCACCCAACGAGGAGAAAGTCGGCGAGGAACTTCAACCCCAAAAGCGCCACAAATCACTAGGTCCAAACGACTTATCTCAGACCCTTTTTAAGGACGGTGGCGACCTTCTGATCATGGAACTAACTGAGCTGTTTGCAGACGCTTGGGAATTAGAGTTCCAACATCGCGGAATGAAACGATAATCTCTCCTATCTTTAGTAAATGTTTAAGTCATGCGTGCATCAACTATCAGGGTTTAATTCTACTTACGATTGCACCTAAATTATTGGCTTCCGTTATACTTCGTAGATTATTTAAAATCCGAGAAAGATTAACTCGAATGAAGCAGGCGGGCTTTCGTTCTGGCTGAGGATGTGCTGATCATATATTCACCCTTCGCCAAATGTTAGTACACTGCCATACTTATCACAGACCAACAAACGTGGTGTTTCTTGATACTAGGGCCTCCTACGATTCGTTGGACAGCACTGTTCCCTGGGATTGTCTATTGGAGAAGGGTGTGCCTGAGGAGTTTATTAACATCTCGAAAGCCCTATGTACAAACATCTCAGGCAGATTGGGGCATACAAATGCCTCTCCCAATTGTCCTATTCAGGCAGTGGGGTTAAGCAGGGTTGCCCAATCTCATTATTCCTTTTCAACTTTGCCATTGACGACGTTCTGGAAACAGCTCTGATAGAAGTAAATAGGATTTGTGATCCGGAGATGGCATATGCTTTGCACCTTCTAAGTGCAAAGTACCGTTACAAGACTGGGAGGAGCCTGTGTTTGCACTCTTTGCAGTGAGGAGTTAGAAGTAGTCGAGAAGTTCGTGTACTTGGGTAACGTGGCGTGAGTGACGCGATCAATCTACATATAGTAAAGGTCAGAGCGGTTTATGCCAATCTGAGCCATCTTTCACCCCTTCGTGATGTTAGTTTGACTGTAAAAAAAATAGGGTTTACAACGAGTCAATGAGAGCAATCTTGCTGTACGCCTGTGAAATCTTGTATCTACGAGTTGAAGATGTTAGGCAACTCGCGGTATTTGATCAAATCTATCTCAAAAGGGTTGCTAACATTCTGTGGCGACACCATCTTAGTAGTACACATGTTTCGAGACATTGGTTTGAGCAAAGTGACGATAATTTAATTAGTGTCATCCTAAAACACCGACTTCAGTGGCTTGGATATGTTCTACCAGTGTGATCTCAGAAAATTCCACATCGTGCATTATTTGCCGACTCTGGAACTGGTTGGAGAAATCAAAGAGGTAGTTAATTGATCACAAGGTGCTGTAGCATGAAAGTCGTGCAGGACTGATACATGCAGGTTCTTCACGACTCCATGGTAGTAGTGCAACACAGTGGATTGAGACGTTATCAGAAATGGCTCCGAATAAAAGCCAGTAGCGGTTCTGCCGTTATTTTTTACTTTCTTTATATGAGTGAAAGGAGCTTTTTTAACTGGGCGAATTCTCCCTCATTGGATTTCTATAAATTTAAATGCTTCTCCCATTATTTTTTGTCCGACCGTTGCTGCTACCTTGATGTGGGGATCAGGCTTGCCTATCATAATCAACCAATCGAGCTATACTGATTGGAACAATCGTTCCTCAAGATCCTACTATGCCAGACAGGTCGGTTGAAGAACGGTAAGACTAAAGGCAGTAAATCCAAGGTCCGAAGGTGAAGTCGTACTGATGACTTTAAAGAAGTGTGACGTCAGTAAGGTGTTTCCTTCAGACAACCAGCATGATAGTGATGCTGCCTTCCCACAAGGAGGGGTGGGGTTAGAACAGATCGACCCTAAAAATGAACACCTCACCTTATCCCACGGACTTCCGTCTCCAGCTAGCACGAAAACTACCACAGAAATGTCGTGTGTGACCGACCTCAACCAGTTGTCACTTGGGCACTGTGGTCACGCTGCCAGGTCACTAAGATAACCTCTAACCTAATTTCCTTTTCAGGTACCTCTAGAAGAACTCTTCCACGATGTGGGCGACCGGGAAGTGATGACCACCCTCACACCTCTAACAGTACTCAAGATCACTGTATTCATAATCAATCTCCCCAATAATTTTTTACTGTGTCTTCTTATTTATTATACTCAAATTCCTCTCCCTATTTTGTCATAATCGCATTTTTTTATTGTGTTGCACATATATGCTTTGGATCCCGTGTGTAACAACATGTACATGTTTAAATAAATGAGCGAAATTGATGTGTGCATCTAAGTAATTTTTAGCTTTATATGAAGCATAGTTTAGCCCAAAGATCTATACATGATCACCGAGTTATTTCTGATGCTATCTAACTATAAATTTGAACAAGAAATATCTGAATGGAATCAGTAATGAATTTCTAGGATGCTGGAATGTGTGCGATGTCATAAAAATATACTAAAGGATAAACTTGAAAGCCGATAATTAAACATGCGTCTTAAACAGAATTATAAAATCTTGTCACAATGTTAACTTACATTGACTTTTAGACGACGTTTACTCCGAATAATAGGTACATCTGTTGGGGATGGACTACGTTTATGAGCTCTAGATTTGGTAAGCTTGGTCACAGTGGGGACCTGTACATCAGATTTCATTGGTGGTGTACTTGCAGAATCGTCAAATGAATTTGATTCCATATTTTTGTCAGACTCATCATTTATTTCAGTTTGCTCTTGATTATTAATATCTGAGGCTTCATCAGTATGCTTGTTTCTTTAACTTCAGAGTTTTCGTTCGTTTCAACTAAAACCCCTGCATCTTTTTCTTCAGGTAACTTTAGCTGAATATTAGTAGTAAGATCATTTTGAACTGGTATTTCGGCTTCAGGTGTTGTTTTGTTGATTGCTTCATTCGACATAGTTAGATTTCTATTTTCTTGTGTCACTACGGTATCAGGAAAGGACTGAATGTATGGATCGTTGACCTCATATATCTCCTGCTGCTTAACTGGATTACTTTCCAGAACTGTCAGAGTTTCCTTAATCAAGTCATCAAGAACACCTAAACACTCATTTCGGCTTTCCGATTCGTGGACATCAGGTAAAGGTTTGTTGCTGCAAGTTGGACTCGTCACCAAAACGTGAAGTTGATCCTCTGTAGAAGCTTCAGTTGTTGTGATTTCACTAAAACTCTCATTTTGTACAATGTTTGGTGACACAACTTTTTCTATTTGCGGCAATGAATCAGCTACAATTAGGGTTTCATTACATGAGCTTTCTGGTTCGAAATTACACTCCCCTATCACTGTAGGTATACGAGGGGATACATTTTCGCTGATCACAGTCAATGATTCGTCATCTCCTGTTCCGAGGTCGACTTTTCCATTTTTAGGAGATAATGTAGCCTTAGCGCATGGACTTATGGCAGGAGGACTAAATCGTTTATTAGGAGTGATGATGGTAGTCGCTGTCTCCTCAGTAGTAGCCTTTAACCCATCCACAATTTTGTTTTCGTTCTCTGGTCCTGGTTTATCATCATCCGAAAGGACTTTGGTTTTACTGCATAAACTTCCTGATAAAGATTTACGAGACTTCCGCAGATTCGCTTGTGCTATCGCTTCAGCGGCTCTGGCCGTTAGACGTCGTTGGCGTTTCCCAACTGAAGAGAATGTCAGTTCCTCAGACACATTACCTTCAACTACGGTCGGTAACTGACGGTTTGGATTTTTCGATTCTGTAACATAAAAAATATTTGTTGGGATTTTAGAAAAGACATAACAGCCCAAATAGGATTTATAAAACTGGAATTTTATCTTACACACACAACTTCCAGATAATCCAGCTTTTTTATAAGCTGAAGGAAGTGATACTTTTATCGGGCTTTTGTCATCCTGCTACCTATGATGTCAGGAAAGTTTCCAAGTATGATGATATGATAAATGAAATTCATGATTACAGAAATTTAGGTACAAAAGTACAAATTACAAAAAGCATCCCATTTATGTCATCAAAATTATTATTCTCTAAATAATTTGGCTTCTTATTCAACAGAAGGTACTGTTTCGCATTTTTAAAAAACATAAATTACCAGATAACAAAACAGATCCTTACATAAAAGGACATCAGTTCAAGGTGTCGTGAAGCACAAAGAACGAATGAGATGCAAAAGTATTAAATAAGGATATATGTACGACAGTGACATATATGAAACATAATAAAAGGTTTAAGATTTGTACATGGATAAGCATTTGAATTATCTGAACAACTGTGAACAGTTAATGATCTTGTTACTTAGTGTCAGCTCAGCACCAAAATACCTTGGTTCATAAAGGTAATGAAGAAGGCTGGCAAAAGCCTATAAGTCTGAGTTATATAACCAAAAAATGTTCATTTATCTCACTAAAAACCTCCTTGTTATACATTATATGTGTATAGATGGAAGGAAAAATTAGACCATATGAATTTACCAAGTATACTAAAAGAGGCTTAGTAGCATAGGAGCATGACGTCAGAGCTTAATTTTTTCACCTGCTACCGTATGAATGTCTTCTTTGACTTTGTTGTACTGTCTAGTGGGTCAGAATTTTAGATTGGGATTTTAGCTTGGTCTTACCTTAAAATCACCTGTTTTTATCTCTAGCAATCTGAAAGAAACTAATGAACTGGCCTATAAACACTAAACTAAAAGAATCCGCTATATTTCCATTAGCAGTTTTTTTTAGACTAGAAAGGTTAAAGCGAGAAGAAACTGGTAAGTGTGATGGTCTGTTCATTTCTGTCCATACTACGAGAGAGTACAATCCGGCTGCAATCAAAAATGAGTTCCACAAGTTGATGATAATCTGGAGACATTGTAACACTACCTAACGTTCAGTGTGTAGATGGACGCCAGTCATTTAGACGAAATTTAACAACTACACTACAAACGACATGAACAACTGACACAAGACCACTAACAAGTCACTATCATGGAAAAATAAAAGTTTAGAGCACCCCCAAAATAACTATAGAAAGGACTGAGTGAGTCATCTTTAAGCCGAAAGTGAGAACTTACCGATATTCTTGACTGCAGTAGACTGTTTAGAGGTGTTAGGATGCGTCTCAATTAACTTGGGCGGTACGATGGCTTCATCCGACTTGATAGGTTTCTTTCTCTCTTTACATTTATCCCTGAAATCAGAATCATTTCAGAAATAAAATCAAACATAGAATCAGAGTTGTTTGCTCAGCCAACATTCTGTGACATTGTTGTAAAAAATCTAAAGGTTCAGCCAAAACATCTAAGGTTTCACTAACGTGAGGCTGAATTGTTTTCAACTAGGTTAGACGGTAAAGAGAAAAGGTATACAGATAGTCTTTGGTGAAATCTTGTTTAAATCCTATCCAACTTGCGATTGGATGGGACATAGTATAACATAGTGAAGTCATAACTAACCTAATACCACACAAAACTGGAACTTTTGACAGAACTTCTCGAAACTGGTGCTAGTGTTATACCCACTCTGAGTGTGACATGATAAGCTACATCATACTAGTCCTACCCATGCTTCTATCTGAAGGTTAGGTTGAACTTTGCCTAGGACGTTTGTCAGGTCCTATGCAGACTATGATTTGATGACCGTACCACCTAAATCAAATTTAAGCCGGGTCTAGCCACAGTCATTTACAATCTCGAAACCACACAGTTTTGAAATCAACATTAACAGCTTCAAATTTTTACCACATATAAACTAGTTGTGGCACATCTGTACTCAAGACAGCAAAACTGTTAAACAGACGGTCTTTGAGAATGTGTAGAACATGTAGTAAACAACAAATTAAGGAATAAGGAGATTTCTTTAATTGGTTCCGATACAGCTTGGTGTTTGTTGATGACTTCTGACAAAGAAAATTCGAGAAGACCATATGTTTAGAGAGGGGATTGACATAGCATAGGTAAACCTTAGGACTTGTAATTGATGCATGATAAACAAGATTAACTTACAATGGTGTACGTTCAGAAACAGTAGCTCGAGTTTTCTTATTCCTCTTCCTTTTTATTACAACACCACAAATAGCGGAATTGTGTTTGTTCTTAATACCATAAAGTTGAGGAACAGATTTCCAGTGTATAGGACTAAGATTCAAAGACTTAGATATCAAAGAAAAATTTATAAGCTGGTGTAATTTCGTTGTAGAGTCCTCGTCTATGTGGAAGAGTGAGCTATGTTGAGTAAAGCTACTCTTCCTTATCTTCTCGGCAGTTGAGTTATTACCAATCTCCTTTAGAGCGCACTAGAAAATCATAAATAGTAAGAGGTAAGTGTACTTGTTGATTTTGAGATGAACTGCACATTGTATTTAATTTCGTGTCACTCGCACTTTTTTCACTACATTCCGAAGACACCGAAGTATGATTGTGTGCAATGTTTGAAAAGTAGACTGGTAGCAGCTTCCTTAATTCTGAGTTGTTTTTGCAGAGATTTAACCAAGGGTGACTTCGTCCGCCCGGGCCTCCTCTTTTGGCCCTCCTCATCGGTAGCGCGTTTGCCGTTAAACCAAATGTGCCGCCAAAGATTTGAAATCCACTCCTCAATTAAATGATTGATCAGGCGTTTTAAACTACTGAGAAAGAAAACTTTTGAATACTATCGATGCTGTTTTATTTCTTTTTTTGTGACCTTAAATATGAAAGTTAACACTTTCGATTATTCGTCACCTTGGTTCCGTGACTCGCTCCAAAGTTGTCGACGGTGTATGCCGATTCTCTATCAGCGCATTTATCACCCTTACCTTTGCTGATTTCTCAATCATAAGCACTTTTGAACAGCGTCTCGTCTTTTGAAAGAAAAAAATCTAGATTGGAAAAATACAATCAGTAAAATCTCCATCCATTTCAATTTTATATACTTCATCATATGCGTCTGTTTCTCCTAAAAGCCTTAAACTTATGACCTTTGTTGTGATCCCTAAATTAGAATGTTTCAATGGCCTAAATTTATGAGAACATATATTTGACCCGTGATGTATCATAAGTATTTAAAATTATTATGTTGTTATAACCACATAATTATATTGTTGTAAGTACTACTAATTAACATTCGAAATCCTTAAAATCATAGCTAGCGGAATTAATGGAATAATTCCATTCATTTGTTTTTTTCAAACTACATTTACGGAATTCATTGCATTCAAAGTTGCAGTTACTCTAGATTCGAAGTGTTCGCTTTGGATGTAGCATTACACCTGTTTCTATAAAAAGTATAAATAAACCTTACAAAAGCCAAACAATAATCACTTGGAAATATTCTTTTTCTGCTTAGCAGAAACACGAAGCTTAATCAACCTAAGGTTATACATGTATAGTATTTAAACTGCCCAGTTCATATGCACGGAATAGTTTAGTTGTAGAATACTCATTTGGTCTCTTCGAAATTAAATGAGATGGCATATTAGGGCTTCTGTAAGGAGCACAGTTGCAATGGTGATTAGATTGTTCAAAGAAGTTACTCATGGACATTTACCAAGTTCGATAGTAATATATTTACAACAGTATACACAACCCAAGTTAGATTCAAACACAAAAACTGCATTTAAGCTGTAAGCTTCTGTCTATAAGGTCACTAGGATATCTTTCAAGAAGCATAGAGGGCAGCTACTCATGTTAATCCAGCACTCCATGGTTTACCACACAAAACGGCTTAAGAAGATAGATCTCTTTAATCTCTCCTACCTCAGACTAAAAATTGATCTGATTTTGGTGTATCGAATAATAAGAAATAGTTTCGGACTTGATAGATCCTCTCTCTTTCTTCTTACCAGATCATAAAACCTCAAAGACCATAGCAGGGGAGTACAGCAGCCAAAAAGGAACAGAATATCCGTGTCATACAAGTTTTCACAACAAGTAAGCAATTCTTGAAACCTGTTACTCGAAGAAGTGGCGTCCTCACTTTCAGTCAACTCATTCAAGAGAAGATTAGACATTCTCAGAAGCTTGCTAGGAAATAACTAACACAGGACGCAGGCCTTCTGTTCTCAGCACGCAAATCTGATTGCCCTAATTACAATTTTAATTTGTATACATCTATAAGCCTTAACTGACATCAGAATCTTGGCCGTTAAATCATTTTCACTAATGTAAAGACAGTGTATTCAAACTAACCATGAGTTTATGATGCATCATATAAATGGATCTGCTCTCGATCATCGTTTTCTAATATAAAACGTCTCTTCATTGAGTGACTTCCTGAGTCTATATCGTCAAACTGGACAAACGCAATAGTGTAATTAAGGTTGCGTTAGTTGATTTCATTCCTTTGAAGTCCTGTCAGTCAGTTGATAAGTAAAGAGAGGGACGCAAATCAAGTATGATTATTATAAACATAAGTTACTGAAAGCATAAGTAATCAGGTGACACCTGACAGTTCATCTAACAACATCTTAAGAAACATGCGTTTATTTTCTCACAAGTAAATAAGTGAATGTCCCAAGATTCGTCACAATAATTAAAAAATACAAATAAAATTCACACAAATACTGTAACGGAAATATAGTAAGTCGATTTTTCGCTTTGTTACATTTCATTTTGTAAAAAATCACATACCGACCGATCTCTGAGCTTACGTCGTTTTACAAATAAATAGAGCATTTACCCACTATTTTAAACTAGCTCACTCTAGAACTGTGTAACTGTAATCGGTTGTGTTATTTTGAGGATATTTGATCACTTTTTCGAAGCATTTGTTGATTGTTATAGCTGATATTCAGAGATATAGTCCGGTCGAGAAAAATCCATGCTATCAAGTACTTCACTCACTTCAACCTTAGAGAAACCGATATTTTGTACTATGTAAAAAAAGACGTTGCCGATAAAATATTCCTAAACTAATACGCGGGATTAGACACTCAAGGATAATTAACGTTATTTTGCTTAGTCCTAGATGCTGAACAAATCCTATTGATCAGTCTATAATCCAGCCAATGAACTAGCTGACTCAACATCAGTCTTAAAAAGCTAAAGAACCCAAATATAGGATGTCCAAATAAATGCTTTTAATTACGTAAAAAACTACAACACCATATAGATTCATTGCAGAGTTATCAAGTGAATTAGATAAATAATAAAACTTACATAACATAACAGTGTTTACTCCTCAAATATAAACCTGTATGCGTTCGAATATTTTGATTCTGGTTTTATCCTGACGAAGTCTTAAAATTTCAGTGATTTTTAGAAACTTCTCTTTGTTTTAAAGAACGCAAATGACTAATTGAGATAATTTGAATATTGTGTTATTCCCTGGGTAAATAAGTGAAATAGAGCCACACGTTGCTGGTGATCCGTTCGTTCATCATATGGAAGTCATCTGTGTAGAATCAGTTGTGAAACAGTTCCAAGTGATCTTATTCATGAATTCGATTTGATAAGGAATACTTTTTAATTTGGCCTTAGGATACTAAAATAATGTTACTTGTGTAATGTCAGTAATTAGTTTGGTGACTTTTGGTGGTACTGTCTAGGTTGAAACAAATAGAACCGAACTCACATTCCTGTACCCCGGTATCAATCGGATTTTCAAAATTTACTATTCACCTCCTTTCCAAAAGTTTCTACGTTTCACCACCTAAATGTATCCAAATTTAGTTCCCTTGTTAACTCAGAATTGATAAAATGAACATAGTATCCCATTATAAACGTTAAAAAAACAGTTTTCTCTTTTTTATCACTCATCAGCAAAAAATCCCCTTAGTAATCCAAAAGCCCAATACACCTGAATGAACGTAAGCTACTCGTAAGTAGTGTACTTTTCTACCTTAACTTTTTGGAACTGATTTTTTCAAACCCAGAAAACTAGTATAACCCATATTTATTTCTATCATAGTTAATAGAAAGCTAAAAGATAATATTGACTCATAAAGTATAACTCTGTTTATTTTTGTTCAGTATGTGGTACGACGAATTTAAAATTCACTTTACGTATTTTAAATTGTAATCGTCTAACATCAAATAGATGAACAGTATGAGAAAGTTGTTAACCAGTGTTTTTCTCAAAAAGTTTATCACTTATTTAGATCATTACAAAATTTGCATGTTTATAGATTATGTTATCTTATTACAATTTAGAAGCCGTTCCATCCACATTGTTAACAAAATGAAATAGTTAGATCTACAGTTATCCTATATATTGAATAGTACCATTATATTTTTCCATTGTTCTTTTGAAAAGACTTTTAGTGTTGGCAATTTTGTAGAAAGAAATTCATCGTAGCAATATTAGATATTATTTATTGTAGTAATTCTGATGTTTCTTATTTGCTTACTGAACTAATTAGTGAGCATCACTGAGAAGTCATATAACAAAACATCTGTTGCTCGTTCAATGAATATGATGTTAAAAAACCCCTCGAAACGCTTATTAAATCTGTTTGTGGGACAAAACTCTTGGGTTCATCACTATTCATTTGATAGATGGGTCATTCACGTAAATATTTGTAACATTTCTATTCGAAATATTGTAGCTGTACTTCTGTACATATGTATCTCAGTAATATACACATCTAATTTTCAACCAACAGGTTATGCATTCCAACACTAATTGAACTTCATTTCCTCAAGAACATGGGTATAATAGATAGAATGGTTGCGTAATTCCTATAGCGACTCTTATTCAGTCAATTAGTAAAGTGTGAAAATTCAGAAACCCAAAGATAATATTTTTCTGAGGATACGGTAAGATCACGGAGAACAAATAAATACCAGGAACTTCCGAATCTTAAGTAATTAGGTCTCTGAGAGTTAGTTATTCTGTCGAAGGTCCAATTTAAAAAAAGTAAATTATTCGAATAACTGATCAGAGACAAAACTACTACACTGCTACAGATTAAAAGCAGGAGAAGGATTTAATAAGAAACTATACCACCAATTATTGAGAATAAATTAGCCTACACATCTCAATAATAACCATATCGTCCAACAGTTATCCTCTCAATGAAACTAAAAGTATGGTTGGAGGAAAAATACTGTGATGAGTAAAGCAATCAAACAAAACATCTAGATAGGTGTGTAAATGGATTGGAAAAGGGATCTTTTGCAGTACATTTAGAAGATTAACCAGATATTGAATTCACAATGACAAATAGGCCTTGAATGGAAGTATTTTTACATTGGTTTTCAAAAGAACGAAATACTGTTCAGGTTTTTACTCGACCTGAACAACATAGCTTAATCCTGTGGAGCTGTCACATATGTTCCAAGAACCTTAGTGGACCAACTAACAGAATATCGTTCAAACCGTTTATTATTATTATTAGGTAATATAACTAATAAGCATAGATACAAAAGGTAAACGAATA